CAATGTGTTATCTGTGTCTACAGCTTCACAGCCTTGGTTATGTGAACTGAAAGGCAATAAAGCCATAACCATAAAGTGAATTACTTAGAAACATAACAATAACTCAATTGGTGGTGGTTGTGTTAAGATGTATTCAAGGTATATTGTACAAAACATTTTATGGGATACTGTTGACTTTTGTCATTCTCTATTATACTTTATTTGAAAGTAATCGTGAGTGGGGAGTGGGTAATCATGACGTTCAAATGGGCGGGATCATTGTTTTGTGCTTTGGACACGTTATAGCACTGTTAATACTACCTACTGTTTACGAGGTCTTTCACTGGTGTTTATGCCAACTTTGTTATAACAGCTACACTGAGTGTTTCCTACTCGCAAGGGTGGAGAGATATTCAATATGTGACAGGTTGATGATTGAATCTGTGCCCTTTATGTGTTAGTCTTAGTGTTTAAAGTTAAACTAGTACTAACTGCTCTTATGTGAAGAAATGTTAACAAACAGGGCTCCAGACAAATGGAAAAAATTGCTGACTGAGATTTACTGGTTTGCTTTGGTTGTTTTGCAATGTGTAATAACACCAAATATAGGCTTGAGATTGGAAAAGGGCTTTGGTCACTGAAAATTTACTCTCAGTATCTGAAAAATATCTGCCAACTTTGCCCCTGTTGCTCTGATAACTGGCCCATTATGTTAAAAGTATCACTTGACCCATTACTGATCCTTGGAGTATGTAGCACTGATACAGGCCTATACAGAATATGCTACCTGAATAACCTGACAAGCGTGACAGCTAACCTGTCTGTGGGAAGTGTCTTCACTGTATGAGTCGAAACTGGTCTAAAACAAGTCTATTTTACTAGTAGTACAGTTTTATTTATTTCATTGTCAATGAATAGTTCCAAATGTTTATATTGACATGCTTTGAATTTGGGCCATTGTCTGCTGTCCATAAGAGTGAAAAAAATATTGCAAAATTGTTGACTAGCAATTCATATTGAACCATGACAAAATATTTGAGAACATTTAAAATTTCTAAATGAGGGAGAATGTGTTCAACATGATAGCTGAACAAACTTCTACATTTGATTGACATGACCTACGATTGTGATGTGTTAAGTCTTTATGGATTATTGAAATGTAACATATTAAGCTTGAACATTGTTAAATCTGTTATTGTGATTCATGTTAATCTTTTGTGAGTAATGATATACCAATATTACATGTAGTTCCTGTGAAAAAGGATGTTCAATAAATGGCCATGCTCAGATTTCCCTATGATAGAATTGTAATTGCCTGGTATTGAAAGTAAAACTTGCGATGCAGTATGTCTAATAGATTATTTTGCAGGAGTAAAACAGTTGATTGTTGCTTTCTGTAATCATATGGTAATGCATTTTCTTTCCTTTGAGAAAAATATGTTAAAAGTGAAACTAGGGAGGCAGTTACATCTCATGAATCATTGTTTTGTTTCATGTCTCTCTACCTCCTTCAACTCGTTCCCCTCCTTCCTTCCCGCTTCCCCAAGCCACACCCACACATGTTTTGCAGACATGCAGTTTATTATTTTAGCTTGTAGAAGCAGCTGTAATCTCATCCTAATTTTGATGGGGTTTTTAACATAAAAAATAGGTAGGATGATGATGGCATGCATCACCATGGCGTGGGTTAAGTTGCAGGTCAGGTCAGTGTGTGACCTCTGACCACTCACATGTTTATAATCAACACCTGATAGCATTGATGCCTGCAAGCCTGGCATGCTAACTCTGAGAGTGAAGAACACCCGTTCTTGATAAGACAACCAGCACCCAAATCTTGTGGAGGAGATGTAATTACTTGTTCTCGACCACAAAAGTTGTCTTGTCAATAACATTGATGTTGGTTGATATTCAAGCTGTTAAGGTGTAATCTATATAAAGGAAGATTTTGTGTTGCAAACAGTTGGCTTGGATAGTTTGTCTGGAATATTTTTCTGGTTATTTCTGTCCGAGGTCAAGAAGGGGTCAGACTGATTTTTATCAGTTGTACCAGTCAGTTGTATTTAGATTTCTGTAGAGTGTTGATGAAAGATTTGAATAATATTTATCTCTTTGAATAATTAACTACAACAATAATTATTTTTCACCATCATATTTATATAATTTGTCTTAGTTACCTTTTCAATTTTGTGGTTGGTTTATATGGCTGAAGAATGTAGAAGTAGGTTTAAAAAAATATTAGAAGAGAATTTTAGAACATTTTAAATTTTTTGAATTTTTTAAAGTTCTTTAAACATGTTAATCCATCTTAGATTGTGGTAATAACACTAACATTAAACATCTCACATGTACACCCCTTGTGATTATGAGTAGGACATTTGAAGCTTTTTCCCATGCATTTACTGATCACCAACATGACTGATGTGTTTACATACACTCTGCCCAAAGCTGCTTTGCCTTCACACTGCACTTGTACAAGCGACACAGGGATTATGTTTGACTGACTGACTGTGTTATCACATACTTGTGTATGTTACAGTAATTACATAGTACATATGTGTCTTTACCAGTCACTGAGAGGGTAATTATAGGCTATATGGCTGGCTAAACTGGGGACATATTAGTGTTATCATTATAGCATGAGAAATATTGAACCACATGGAGGTGTGGCAATGCTGTGTGTGACATTGCCCGTGACCAAACCTGTTTGTCAGAGAGAGGCTACCGTACAGGTGGTGATGTCATCATGTTCGTGGGTCAGATGGGAGGGCTTGACAGCTGCTGCTGCCATCTCCATCAGCTTGTTGCTCTTATTTGCCCCCTGTTAGACTATCTTAGTCTCGGAGTACATATAGAAAATAGAAATAAACAATTCTTTTTAAATTGAAAAGGAGCCCAAGTGAGAAGGGAGGTTCATAACCTGAACCTGAGGAAATCTAGAATTGGTTCATATGGGGATTTAGCATTGTAGAAAGGGCAAGGCAGAAGGGGAAATAATGCTGTTCCGGGACTGTGAGACAGACTATTGCCCAGTATACACCTAAACTCTGTTCTGTCCCCAAGACCCTAGTGAATAGATATAAACAGGAATGGATGATGACCTAGAATGATTAGGCTCTTTGAATACACAATGCCATTTAGAAAGTGGTCAGGTGTAACATATGTTATATTTGGGGATATTTGGGACTTTGTATGCTGGCGATTAGGTGTCTAAGGGTCTGGGTTCGAATCCCAGATGAGATTCAACCTAACAAAAGTACAAGAATCTGTACTTTACTGCGAAAGGGTAATCCGTGATATAACATGTATCTTGTAACCCATTTTACGGTGATAACTTGCTGTGCTCATTTTGACATTGCCCTGGAATTTGAAAAGAGTTGGAATTAATATAACTGACTTTGTTACTACTTGTAATAATATCTGGACATAATTTTTGTTAATCAGCATTCATTTATTACAGTAACCCCATTACCCCCTTGTCACATAGGGATGTAGAGGATGAACAAGGTAGCCATTGTCGGCAATACTAGCCAGTCCTTTTAACAAAACACAAACAAAACCCAACATTTCAGTACAATATTGGGCAGGAAGTATTTCATGACAGCATGACATGTTGTGCAATGTAATGTGATCTACAAGGGCATCTACTATCTAATCTCCTAGTATATGACACTGTCCTTGTTTAACATTTATTAAATTAAATTTGGAACATTGCAGGGCACAAACACTGGTTCTGTGATATGCCATTTAAAAATAGTCAATATAACTTGAAATAAACAGAATTCATGATCTCATTGCTTTGATGATATCATAGTTACATTTTTGTACCTGACCCATTTAGCTGATTAACCTCTGTTTACACTTGCCTACAAATGCATTGTCATATTTGTTGTGTGTGCGCGATGTGAGCTCAAATTTCTCAACTGATTATTTGTTTTCCTTATAAAGAGAACTGTGTTAATGTTAGGCTGCAAAGTATAACTGGTATTAATAAACAACAAGCTGTTATATTTTCATTTATGTGGTCATTTATCATAATAGTTGTGAAAAATGTTAAATAAAATTGTCTGGTCAGCAAAATTTGAGACAGTCCTAACACAATTTCTACTGTTATGTCCAAAGACCATTCTGTCAGTTGTGTTTCTAGTAGGATGTATAAAACCACATGTCCAACAAATGTATCTTGACATGCTAGTCTGCTATTGTGATTAATTACAACAAATTAAACTTTGATTGAGCTGAGCATATATTTTGCTGTCATGTGACTTTCATTGACCAGTATGCAATATGCAGCTTCCTGCTTCACAACTCAGTGTAAGGGATATATTCTCCAACCCAGAAATACCGGTGCGGCCTGTTTTCTTCATGGCAAAGTATATGTGAACTATTCTCCCTCTTTGATGGAATACATATTGTGGATCGTAACATTCTGACATGGTGGTAAGCTTATCAAGGCTCACCTTGCCTTCAAACCCCTGATCAGGGGCGGTGGGGTAGCCGAATGGTTTAAGGGCTTGCTTGTCACCCTGAAGACCTGGGCTCGATTCCCCACATGGGTACAATGTGTGAAGCCCATTTCTGGTGTCCCCTGCCGTGATATTGCTGGAATATTGCTAAAAGCGTCGTAAAACCAAACTCATTCACTCACTTCAAACCCCTGATCAAGAAGAAGATTCTGCCACAACCAGGTACAGTGCTTTAAACCACTGTCACCCATGCCATGGGAACTTAAATGAGGTGAAACAATATGATAGCTTAAAACAGACAAACTTTCCGTCATTATATATTACAGTTTGAGGGTTGTGTATGTTGTTCAACATCCAATTGCCAGTGACAGCTGATATGGTTCAATATCAAGCTATTTATTTAATGAGAATCTTTGTGCTGAATTCATCAATATTTCAGTTTTTCAACAGCCAAGGATCATGAATAATACTTACAGCTGCATTAGCAGTTCTGCAGCAACTTCAAGTACCCTCTCTAAACTTGATTGCACTGTTACTAAACGTCCTTGTTGTTTACAGATGGATCGCCTCTGAATGGTTCCAAATTGATTGCATCTGTTAAAGCGGCCAACTTGAAGGATTCTGAAATTCAAACCCTGATCGAGATTCTCCTCAACCGACAAGGCATCTCCACATCAGGAGCAGGAGCAGCTTCAGCCACAGAATGGAACAAGGTCACAAAATTAGTCAATTAGATTCTTATCACATAATGTATTGGGGAATGAAGTACTTATCCATGTTATCTGCCCTGTTCATGTACTTTTAGTCAGATCTGCCGTGTTTAACAGAGTCATTCACGAAATGTGATACTATTGAACATTTGATTTGAGAGGTTGATATAATTATTTTTATTCATATGTCAATCTAATGGAACTTATGACTTGTTTATCTCCGTAGAAATATATATTCCAGTAAGTACAGTTTGTAGATGTTGATCTGTTAAACTTCAGGTATTGATTTCAAAGGTATTGACATTCACAACACACAGTAACATTTCAACTGTTTCACAATAGACTTTTTACAGTTCTGTCAATGAGCAGCTGGTTAAGTCATATGCGCAAGCTCAATAAGTTATTATGTTTCCCATTAAGTTTTCCTTTCATGCCATTGGTTCACAGTGACAGCTGCAGTATGTATTGGAGTATTGACAGCTCTCTTCCACAGCCAGATGGTAGCAGATTGGTCCACATGTACTTCCTGTATACCTGTCATCTACCTCAGACATATGTTGTTATGTTAGGTCGGATCAAAATGATAAATTTAATTTATTTTTTAAAATTGAAATACAGGCACAAATGTAACATATTTTAATTTGTACTTACTGTATATTGATTTCATGGCAATATGAAGGGATCTTCCATCAGGACAAGATGTAGTATGTAAAATTATTAACCAAAACACAGTCTGTGACTTCACCCACTACTGTGAAGCCAGAATTTAGTACAATTCTTTGGGTCATCTCTGTTCATACATGTCCAACTTATAATGCTATATTCTACTGAAAATGATGCTTCGAGCCACGTTCTGGTTATTAGTTGCAGCTTTTGGCACTGACTGTAGACAAACATGATATTGTGAAATAATTGTGATTTGTTTAGGATGCCACTAACCTGAAACATAAACCAGCTCAAATAGTGACTACATATGCAGACACCTAACAGCCTAAGATTCTCCTTACCCTTTAAGATACTTATTTCATTAAATAAAGTGATTCCAGCAAGCGAGTGCCAAACTGCTTCCCAGATGACTGCTTTTGATAGGGCTTCTATATATTTTCCTCAGAAATCTTTTCAGTCAAAAGACAGAATAATACAATATGCTTGAACATAAGTATGACGTTTATTTATTTCTTGTTTTTAGGCAAGTCCAATTGACTTCTTTATAGATGCATTTTTCCGGTTTAAAGACATGTATGCAAACTAGCGTTACATGCTCACTTCTGTTTTTGTCAATATCAACCAGATTCTGTAATTCCCTGTTGTACAGACAAAATTGTCGGCTCATCACATTTTCCTGTGGTTACTCAAAGTGTTCTTCATGGTGTAAATATACAGTGTTGTAATGTAAATAGGTGACTTCGGCCTGTACAACAGATGACGCTTTTGTCAGCATAATCATGATTACCTATTGACAGCCAGATAAGCAATATCAGCAATATCAGCAGGATCATTGTTATACTGCACAGCTGTTTGAAGTTTTCAGCTCAATCATACATTTAGTAAAAGAACAATGTATTTCTATATTGGTTTTAATTTCATACTGTATGGATCTGCAGAAGTACAAGATTAACATATCAGATCAATTTATTCTTGATTGAGCATGTCTATCAGCAGGATATGTATGGTCATCGTGCCAAGAGAACATGTTGGAGTTATGTAGACAAAAATAACTGTCTTTCATTATTGAATATGATCATGCATTTTCATGAAGTTTGAAAGTTAAAAATAAATATGTAGTGGATATAACACATTGCATAGTTTTACTTTGAAAATATAAACAATGCAATGTTTAAAATTAATGAAGATTCATGTCATAACTCTGTTTTATGATGATTCTTAGATACAAATATTACATACAAATAGAAATGCCAATTTCTGAACATGCTGAAGGAACCCTGGACCTTCCATTGATAATAGAACGGATTGGTCTTATGTGGATTCAAGGCAGATTAGGCACTAAGTATCACAAGCTTGGAACGAGTGGTTCAAGTGCGTGACCTGGATGACTGTGTGGCATTTTGCCTCCAAAGTGGCATTAGCATTGCTGGATATGATTACATGTATTTATAAGCCACCTTGATATAGCAGGAATATACCTATCTGGCATAAAACAACATTCATTCCCTCAAATACATTAGACATTAAACCATGAGATGTATAACCAAGGCTGGATTAACTTTATGATATAGATTACTTTGATGTTTATCCTGACCTTGTGGCTTTTGTTTTCTAGAAAAGCCAGAAGGGAGACCCCACATCTCTGTTGAGGAAACAGCTGGAGGAGAAGGAGAGGGCCCTGCAGGAAGGTGAGATGAGGTGGATATAGGGTGGGGGTTGTTATAGGGTGGGTAGGTAGATGTAGGTTGGGGAGTTGATACAAGGTGGATCTGTAGATGTAGGGTGGGGGTGAATATAGGGTGGATAGGTAGATGTAGGTTGGGGGTTGTTATAGGGTGGATAGGTAGATGCAGGTTGGGGAGTTGAAACAGGGTGGATCTGTAGATATAGGGTGGGGGTTAATACAGATGGGTAGGTAGGGTAGGTAGATGTAGGGTGGGGGTTGATATAGGGTGGGTAGGTAGATGTGTAGGTTGGGGAATTGATACAGGGTGGATCTGTAGATATAGGGTGGGGGTTGATATAGGGTGGATCGTTAGTTGTAGGGTGGTGGGTAGGTAGATGTGGGATGGGGGTTGATTCAGGGTGGGTAGGTAGATGTAGGGTTGGGGTTGATACAATGTGGGTAGGTAGATGTAGGGTGAGGGGTTGATACAGGATGGGCAGGCAAATGTAGGGTGAGGGTAGATACAGGGTGGGTGGGTAGATTTATGATGGGGGTAGATAAAGGGTGGGTGGGTAAATGTAGGGTGAGGGTTGATACAGGTGGGTAGGTAGATGTAGGGTGGGTATATGGAGGAATAACATCTAAAACATTTAGGCTGAGACTGTATGTAAGTAGTAAGTGATATCTTTTTTCAACTTTCAGAGCAAACCATCGCAATGTCTGCCAGCAGCCGTGTGAAGGAGTTGAGACAAGACCTGTCATCAGAGAAGGCCAAATTTGCTTCACTGGAAAAACGCTACCAAGAAAAGCTGAGTCTTCAGGAGCGTGAGATTGAGTCTCTTCATGCACGCATGCAAAACACCCACCAGCAGCACATGAGGGACTCGGAAGCCTTGCAGTCCAAGGTGGCCCAGCTTGAGACAGCCGGGGACCTAAGTGTCATACAGAAGCTCCAAGAGGTAGGTCTGAGGCTGCTGGTTGTCACTTTGAACAGTCATATGAATAAGGGACTGTTCATAATTTATGGCCAGGGGGGTGATTGTGATTTTTATGGAGAAGCTTGCACAATTTGAATGAACAACACCCCGCCACCCCACCCAAAAGTTTATGTACAAAGTAAGTGACCCCCCTGTATGTCATGTACAAAATCAAGTACCCTCCTCCCACTTCCAATATTTTTTACGCATAAGTTTTAAATATTTATATATGTACAAAATTGCTGACCCCCTAGAAACATGTGTACAAAATTGATGCCCCCAATCATCATCAAACACACACACACACACACACACACACACACACACACACACACACACACACACACACACACACACACACACACACACACACACACACACACACACACACACACACACACACACACACACACACACACACACAAATTATGAACGGTCCCAAAGAGCTTAAGATTCATCAGTAATCAGCTGTATGCATGTTATTTCTCCTCCGAAAATATAATGTTCTGATCTTAGTGACAGTACTACAGTTAATGTTGTATAAGCAGTTTTCTGTAACAGTTTGTCTGGCCCTTGATGTGGGAGCGATATTCTACTTAGAACACTGATATTGCTTTGATGTTACAATGATATTACTGTGATATTACAGTGATGTTGTACAGATATTAAAATTATATTAAAGTGATATTGCTGGGATATTGCTTACATATTACCAACAAGGTTATGAACCCAGTTACTGCTTCCTCACAATTTCCTCTAATTTTGTTTTCTAGGAAAAGAAGCTCTTGAGTGAAACACTGGCCAAAACAGCGTAAGTATAATTAGACAAAAACTGTATATACACTTTTAAAGGTTTTACTTTAGGATTAATTCCTGCTGTTAATTCTTCTAAATGCAAAAAGTCACAATTTTCTTACTTGTACATATTAAATGAACAGAATATAAAGATTGTCTTTCTGTACTCAGAGAATGAAGGCAGTCTGTATGTGTCTTTAAGTGGCTTATCAAGCAAGTCTTCCCTGTTTTGTTGCCAGGAGTGAGAAGACTATCTCCCCGGCAGAGGTCAACAACCTCAAACAAAAGGTGCAGATCATGGAGAAGGAACTGTCCAGCAATGCCATCAAGCTGAACGCCTCCGAGAACGCCAAGAAGTCACTGGAACAGAAACTTGCCAAGTTTGAGGAGCAGCTGAAGAAACATGATGCAGGACAGGTAAGCCAAGATCACGATGGACACACAGTTTGATTGGTGTTGCAGGATACAGCTTTGTAGTGGTTAACAAGTGAAGGTACCCATGAAGATCCGGGTTAGAATTGGTCATCAGTAAGTCATGCTTGTCGTAAGAAGCAACTAACGGGATTGGGTGGTCAGGCTCGCTCACTTGGCTGACACATTGTCATCGTATCCCAATTGCGTAGATCAATGCTCGTGCTGTTGATCACTGGATTTTCTGGTCCAGACTTGATTATTTACAGACCGCCGCCATATACCTGGAATAAAACTAAACTCACTCACTAACAATTGAAGGAAACATGTAGAAGAGATGGAAGAGATGAAGCTTTGGATGGTCAGATGTGTTGATCTGAACAGTATGATCATGGAAACATTCCTAAATCTTATTGGGCACAAATGAGGATGAGGAAACATTGATATTATAGTAAAATGTTTCTGATAAAAAATTATATTATAATGCATTGCTTATAGCTGGAGATTTTGACTTTTCAGAAGGACTCTGATGTCCAGATGACTCGCAGGATGGAGGAAGTTAGCCAGGAGCTGCGTCGTGCCGAAGCCCGAAACGAAACACTTGCTAATGACAAGAAGAAGGCTAGTACAGAACTGACCAAGGCAAATGATGCTCTGAATATTGCCCAGCAGGAAGTGAGCACACTCAAGTCAAAACTGCAGGAATTGGAAAAACATTTGTCAGCCAGCGATAACCAAAAGGAACTTGAGACAAAATTACAGGTACTGTCTTCTTATTGTTAAATAATCATCCTTTGAAATTTGTTTGACTCTTGGTATCTTTTCTATGAAAATGTTGGGTGTTTGTAGTTGTATGTTTGATGACTATGGGATTTACTGCTGGGTTGTTCTCATGCCTTCATCTTTCAGTAATGTACTACTCAAAAGAAGTTAAGGACCATTCAGTTGTTTTATTTTACTATACAATTATTGACTTCTAGTGAGGTTGATCCAATGATTTATCGACCTTGGACATGTGAGGTCAATACATCATTGGATCAACCGAACTGAAGTCAATAATTGTTTTATTATATGACAAGGGTACTGAATACCTGTTCTTCTGTCGCATAGCATACCACCGATGGCATTGCACATGACCCAGAGGTGCAGACATTTTGATACAGATGGGACGTAACTCTAAACCAACACAGTCATAGGGACGAAGCGATGCCTATCGCTTCCTTATCTAGCATGATGCACGCAATGCGGAGTTCACAGCTGGAATATCCCAAATCTATTTTTAGCCACAGGAGGTTCTTGGATTGTTATATCAACCTCTCGTGACTTGGCAAGGTTGACATCTCTCAGCGTCAAAGCTGTCATGTGACCAAATGGGCCAATCAGCAGGGGGGAAATCTACCCGTCATATAATAATTCAGTTTGTCAGGGCATGCTAGATATACTATTGTAATATGAACTATTAGGGTAGTCTTAACTTCTTTTGATTAGTATACGTCCAGGCTTTCTCTTGCTAAAAAGTGAAGACAATTTGAACATACCAGTCCTGACTCATGCTTGTCATTATCAACGACACACAGTCTTATGTTACTGCATTCAAGTTACCCAGTACATAATTAAGATAAAGTTTCTTGACATTAATATGCAATATATTCCCAAATCATTCTGCCTCAGGATGATTCTTGTAAACAGTTCGAAGGGTAAATCTTTAAAAGTTGTTGAGAATGTTTCGGAATAGACTCCTTTTTCTTCTGTTGCAGGAATCAGAGAGAAAGAAATTGGATTTAGAAGGAAATATTAAAAATTTGGAAAAACAGCTATTTGTTGTCCAAAAGCAGCGAGCAGAGCTTGATTCAGATATGAAGGTAAATAGAAACCTAGATTCTCTAATATGTTCCAAAGCTCATCAGGCCTACCAAAGAAAACTTTCCCACTGTGCAGAAAAACGCAGAAAAGCCCACATTAATCGTGGAAATAGCAACATAAACACATTACCTCACTACTGAAACAGTAAAAACGGCAACGAAAAACTATGAAACTGCGACATTTTTATATCAGCAAACTTTGACCTCTCGAACTTTGACCTCTACATTACGATCCGGGCTTCTTTCCAATTTCCGAAAGCAACCGTGAATCGCCTAGCGTAGAAAAAGTATTAAATACTTAGAAATAATTGCTGTCAATCATTTCAAACGAATGGAAAGTAAACTAAACAAGTGTGCACACAAGTATCATGATGATAAATGCCAAATAACACAACAGAAATACTTAAAAGGAATGTAACTTTTGTCCAAGCTGGAAAATGTCAACCTGTGGTCGAGACTTCCTCTTCCATGCGCGCATGCGCAAAATCGAAGTTGCAGGCTCCTCGTTTTATGATGCAGTGTTAGTGATTTAAAGTTGCCGTTTTTACTGTTTCAGTTGCGAGGTATTATGTTTATGTTGCTATTTCCACGATTAATGTGGGCTTTTCTGCCTTTTTCTGCACAGTGGGAAAGTTTTCTTTGGTAGGCCTGCTCATGTTGAATGTTACATCACAACTTTCTAAGGATGTGTAGTTTCTTTTAAAAATAAGGGCCTGAAGATTTTTTAGTCAGGGCCTGCAGCTTCTAAAGTCTATGAGTCATATTGACGGGAAAGCTATTTTTCTATTTCGAACACTGTTCTTAATGGTAACATGTACCACCACTTGTCACAGACGCTGAAGCAAGAGAACTATGCCTTGGCAGAAGAGATGAAGACAACCAAGGAGAGGCAGGCTGGAGAGGGACAGGAGGCCCCAACAGCACCGGCCGGGGCTCCTAACGGGGATGTCCATGAGAAGGCAGATGGGAAGCAAATCGAAATCAGTCAGCATGAAAAAATGTAAGTGTTGTCAAGTAAAGACCTACCACAGGCCATTTTAGTGTGAATGCTATTCGAAGCTAAGAGGGTGTCAATAATTGTGGAAACAGAAAAATGTTCTGAGTTTAAAAAGTGAACTGTAGTTTGTAGAATGATATTTTCATTTCACTGCTCTTATTACATACGTATATAAATAACTTAGGAAAATCACTCAACTGGCTAGTACACACATGTATAAATATATCTGAGAACTATGTCATGGTACTTATACATTTTGTATTTGTAAGTTAGTTGTGTTTAATGCCTCTCTGAAGAGTATTGCAGTTATATCATAACCCTGAATAAATGTCAATTTTGATCAATTAAAAATGTTTTTGAAAAGGGTTATGTATAAGACAAATTAGTTTGACTTAAATGACGAATGACTAATTACAAAATCACTGAAATGCTAATGTGTTTACACTTCAGACTTGGAGAAAAAATTGCAGAAATTAGCAAACTGACAGTAGATATCCAGTCACAGAAACAACAGGTGTCATCATTACAAGAGCAGCTGGATGCTCAGAAAAAGAAGAATAATGTAAGTATAGACTTACCCTGTCCACTTGGGGTGTGATACAGTAGTTAGATCCCTGGTGTGGTGCATTATGGGAATGTATACAGTGTGGACCAGTGACTATAGTTTACCAGTACACCCAAACAGTCGGCACTCGCTCAGTGCTCTGTTCTGTTATTGGTATGTAGTGTTCAATTTTTTGGGCATTGTTAATTCACCTCGTTTATTTTTGTTGTCATAGTCCCAATGATACAGTCTAATGATTGAACCAAAAATAAAATCTTGTCAACCTATACTGACGTTGCATGGACCACACTGTTGACAGCTACAATGAACCTATGTATTCCCTGACCTGGTAAAATGGGTGGAACATGCTTTATCGGCTTTGGTTTTCAACTCGTCAGTCTGACCTGTAGCAAATCAAGGAAGAAATTGTTTTTTCTATTTATGTTTTTGAATTGTTACCCGAATGCATTATAATGTGGATGTTTTTATGACCATACTGCAGTGTTGGTTATAATGTCCACATAAAATAAGAGAATGTTATATTGAAACTACCCATTTGCTCACATGTAGTGTAATACTTATAGCTAGTCTGCACAATACCTACTCTTTCTCTAGAAGCCCTCACATGTTGACTAACCATTTTAGTTTGTATGAAAAACATTGACATTCTAAATTGGGAATTTACCTGCCACTACCAGAGCAAAAGTAAATCTTTATCAGCAGTCATTCAGAAATGTTAGACAATGCTATCAGTGCTAGTGTCATAAGGAAGGGTTTCACATGCTGCAGTTGTAAATCCTGAATTAAATCAAGCATGCAATTAATGCAAAATATATTAATGTTCCTTTTTGGCATTAGTTCATTGATGTATTTTGATCTGAACAAATTTGAATGGTATATCTCAGGTTCACTGTGTATGGGGGAGATATATAAGAAAACTTACAATAAACTTGCTAGATTTAAACTTCTCCTCACCAAGTTCTTCACTAGTAAGGGACCGTTCATAATTTATGGCTAGGGGGGTGATGATGATTTTTATGGAGAAGCATGTACAATGTGAATGACCCCCCTAAACTTTATGTGCACAGTAAGTGACCCCCCTGCATGTCATGTACAAAATCAATGACCCCTTCCCCTTCCCATAATTTTTAAGCATAATTTTTTAATGATATCTATGTACAAAATTGCTGACACTTCCCACACACACACACACCTCCCAAAACAAAATGGGTGACCTCCCCCATAAAATCATCATTTTTCGCTTTCTTTCCCCCCCCCCCACCTCCCACCGAGCCATAAATTATTAACAGTCCCTAATTGTATAATTACAAGCTACACACAGCTCACCCAAGAGATGAAATTGTCTAGTGTCCTTCGTTGACAGGGTTTTATAAATTATATATATATATCATGAATTTTGAACTAGCTTTAGTGATGATATGGCTGAAATGGGATCCAATGTGGGGAATTGTCTGTGTGGGGAATTGTCCTACACCCAGCTGAAACATTGCTGATGTGGCTATATATTTGAACTCACCGACTCTAGTGCAGTAACAGCAGGCATGGTGACTACATACCACTGCTGGTTCACTTTGAATAGATTGCACCAACTCATGTAAAAACATTTGGAAACACTATCCTGTGTCAGTGATCTGACTTGCAGAGCATTAATTTCATGGCTCATTATAGGAAGGACAGGGATTGCTGCTTGAATTAATTTTGGTGACACATCAGTTTAATGATTTACAGCATAATATAACTTCAGTGACCACAGATTAGCACAAGCATATTAAAGCTGTATGGACTGTTTATCGATTGACAAAGAGGTGAACGTACAAAGACAACCTGTGTGTGAATTAACATTCAACTAATCTGTGTTGTTCATGTGAATACTCACTTGTTGCTTCATCATTCTAACCAGTGCTAGGTCGTAGATCATGTCAATCGGTGAAATGATATTCTTGTTCATGTATTTAGGTGTACAAACATCTATTTCATTATGTTGAAGACGATAGCTTAATTTGACGAAACTATCTGGAAAATTCATAATAAAATAAGAGGAGTCGGTGTAGCGTTAACTTATTCAGTTACCATGGTTACAGTCAGCTATGATGTTGTGTACACTTTAGTGTTCTGATTACCATTGCAGGAATTACGGGAAAAGAACTGGAAAGCAATGGAGGCGTTAGAAAAAGCTGAAAAATCAGCCTCAGTTAAAGTTGATAATGCTGTCAAATCCTCTAGGGTAAAGCCATTTTGATTTGATTACCCTTAACCAACTTAGCTATGAGACTGACAAACTGATTATTTACCTAGCACAAAGTGTCTGCACAAGCCCACAGAGAATTCAGTGTTGCTTATATTATTTCTGTTGCTTATGTGGGTGGTATGTTAGTAACAAGGAAATTTTCATGATAGTTTTGGTTACTTTTTATAATGTAGATGTGCAAGGTTACTAACCCTGTGATATGTCCAGCACCTCTGCATGATTGATACCACATGTATGCTTGCATGATCAGCTGATGATGAAATGTTTGCCTTTAACTAATATGCATGCCCTTTGTCTTCTTCCACACATGTAGGATGTAAGTATGTCTTGGATTTCATGGGACCGGTAGCCTGGGAGTGGGATGGATTATCATGAAATTGAACTTAAACAAAACTTAGAAATACACCAGGATGCTGTTGTAGAAAGCAATCTTAGCGTTAAGGTGATTGTAACTCCCATACCTTAACATAGACTTACTACAGTGTTTTGTACAACAGCATCCTAGTTTTGTTGTTGTCCCAGAGTAGATAATCAGTGTTCAGAATAACTCCAGTACCTAGACAGACTAGTACATATGTTAAATGTACCTTCCCTTAGCAAAGAATAGTGCAAAAATGGAAAGATTTATTTAATGGACATTTCAACAATGCAAGATGAAGAGAATAAAGTGCATCGTCTCCCCATCTAGTGTGTATGGTACAGTCCTGTTATCAAGAGGCCTTTTGGACTGACTGGTCATGTGATCGCATGTGTAACATTCACTCATATGGATCTTATGCAAATTTGGGTCACCTTCATGGAAATCAATGGCTATTAACTGTGTGAAATAAAGTCAGAAATTTCACAAGACAACTGTGATTTGTCCGAATTCTCCTGATATATTCCTGGCCACTGATACTGACTGGCAGCTATTTTGAACACTGACAACCTAATCACTGAGGATTAAAACAATAGTCCATTTTCTTAAAAAGCAAATTTGTGACATTAGCAAAAGAGGGCTGTGATGATTCACCTTTATTGATATATCACAATATTGTGGCCATGTTGGTTATATTGTTCATGACGTTTGTCCTGAGACAAGTGAACTGAGTAGATATAAGAAAGATCTATCTCCAAGGCATTGAGGTAAATTGTTAATAGCATCTTCAAAGTTGCTTTTTCAAAGAGTAAAATGATCATGGCTCCTCTGGCTCAGTCTCTTCTAGTTTTAGAATTCAGAATACAGAATGTCAAGATGATATGTATAATGTCATACATCAAATGAACCAAACCAGTTTTCAAAAGTAAGCACAATGTCTAATGGTACTTGTCTCAACACTGTTGTTAAAAACCAAACATAAGGGGTTCTTAGATTCAAACCAGCAAACCTCATGACAAACTCAAGTTCAAACTGTTGTGATATGTTCCCATTTTGAGATAATGAATCTTTACAGCCATAGAAAAAGTTGATTCTTACCCAGGCAACATAATCCTGGAAGTGGGTTGAGGCTTATAGTTGAGTATGTAGAGACATTGATCCCTGTTGTGTGAGCCTTGTGTTGTCAACTATGTCTTGCTGGTACAGTAAGTTTAGGCAGGTAGTGGATAAGGATTGGGATCAATCCAGAAAGTCAACATTAATTTAATCTTTATTTGTTACAGTAAAACTAACCATGCTAAATTAGATTAATCTCTTTCCCTGAATTACAAATGACGGGCCAATTTGTTTTCTTGTTTGGGAGATTTCCTTGGCCAATATGCCACGAGCATAGGCAAATAACAAAATTAACAAAACTTGTCCGGAATCAATAGAGGTTAATTTACAAAACTTGAACTAAACACTTTAACACGAAAGATTGTTAAAAAAGAATTGTTTCAATGAGCCAGAACATTTTGAAACATTTAGAGTCAGCCCATCCACTAAACAAGAAATAAACTAGTCTGGCCTTAACATTTATTCAATGGGATAAACAGTTAGAAATTTGCTTGACTTTCTATTTTTTGTTGCCTTTTCACCTTTTAAACCTGCACACTTTACAACACAGTACATGCTTCAACCTTTGCACCCCGCATAGATTAGATATCTTTTTACCTTGATTCCTTTATCATCTATATGTAAGTATGTATGTATGTATATCTATGACACTTTACTGATTTGTGTGATTCATGTTTATTTCATGTTAATCTGAAATATCTCATTTCGCTAATTGTTGAAGGATTCCAAACCTCTTAACACAATCTGTGGTTATCAGCCCTTGAGCAAAATAAGTTTGAATGTCCTGTTATCAGTGCATGAATAACAATAAATATGTTATACAGGTGGTAGTACAGTGCTGTTGTTTGATCTGATGGTTGTGATATATTTATTGTCACAGTCACCTTTGTGACAGCTCTGTCTGAATTGAACAGATCACTATCTTCAAATTGGTGGGATTTATTTCAGTCATGCACCCATGAAGATCCGGGTTAGAATTGATCTACAGTAACCCATGCTTGTCATAAGAGGCAACTAACAGGATTGGGGGGTCAGACTCGTTGACTTGGTTGACACATGTTATCGTATCCCAATTGCGCAGATCGATGCTCATGCTGTTGATCACTGGTTTATGTGGTCCAGACTCGATTATTTACAGACCGCCGCCATATAGCTGGAATATTGCTTAGTTCGGCGTAAAACTAAACTCTCACACTCACTATTTCAGTCATGTGGTTTGACACCTATATCGGTGGGTCAAGAACACATTTCATGTCATTTATAGTGTTGCAAAAAGAACTTATCACATCATCCTTTGACAATATTAATTTATTGATGATATTCAAATGGTTAGATTAATCATAGGTTGGGGCTAAAATATTTCAATGGGGGTGTTATTTAGTACCTGACACTGAAAACTGTGACACTGATATACAAAGACTAATATATACTGGAAGGGGTATTTGTTAACAGGAACATTATTAAACCAAAGATAAGGCCCTGTTTGTGATTTTCTTTTCAATGTAAAGTTTACTTCAGTGAGTTTTCTTCCTCCACAGGAGAAGAGTCAGGCCCAGGTATCTGAAATAGAGGCTCTGGATAAAGGAGTCTTACAAAGGCTCTTCCCAGACATAGCTGTCAATGCCAAGCTGGTAGGTACACTTAGCTTACTTTCAGATCATAATAACACCATGTGTATTCCAGGTTGTATAAACTGGAGCTGCTGTCAACAACAAAGTCATTAAAATGCTTTTACATCAGTTAAGATTCTTATATTCATCCAAGAGTTACACTAGCTAAGAATAAGGTACCACCTTTTTTGCAAGCAAGTCAGTAACTTCTAGTCCCTTTCAGAAGTCGAAACCTGTACTTTCATGCTAAGTTCTAAATGTAGGGGGAACAAACCTTGATGGTGTTAAACTCTTGTTGTGATGGATGTGTGTTTTTCATTCAGGTTCATAATGACTGGATGGGTCAGTTTGAGGAAGAAGCATCAACATACATCACAAACGTCACCTCCAAGTCCTCAGAAGTGGGTAACATTTCAGTCATATATATAGGTTATCACGCGAGTGTGTTTTGGGATTTGGGATCCTGCATTAGGAATAATCATTGTATTTAGCGAGCCTTGGCGAGCTCAATACATAGTGTTTATTCCTAATGCAGGATATTAACCATCCCAAAACACACGAGTGTGATAACCTATTTATCATACAATGTCATTTTTGCTTTATAATTAAAAAAATGCGATTTCAAACGTCACAAATCATGAAACTAAACTTTGTGGAATGTCTATGACGTCACAAATATGTGCGGAGTAATACGTTACGTCACAAGCCCGGTGACATAATTTTCTCCTGATCACTCAGCGGTCATCTAGTTCCCAGTAAGCTTTTATGCTAAAGCAGGTATTGTTGTCAACAAATCTTAGCTTACGTTTGAAAAATAACAACAAACTCACGTGGAACTTCAGAAACCTTCAATTAACCTTTTGAACAACCAAATACGCTTTAATGTTAGCGTGACACTGTGCACCGTTCTCTCGCTAGTTAACACTGACAGTCGGTCGGGGAACTGATGTTGGTATCTTCGTAAGCCTATGAATTTCTATCTTCGCTTTGAAATCTACTCCATCTATCAAAACCAGGCATGAATTTTCTGGGATCAAAGCACTGACAGTACCGTAACCACGGCCGTTAATCCGGACACGACCGCCGACCCTTGACGCCATGTTTGTTTACACTGTGAAAATAGTCCCTGAAATTTGCATATGACCTCTCTAATTTGCATCGATATCCGTATATGACCCCAACGGATACCGAAAATATCCGTTAGCTTTATCCTGCCGAGAACAAGATCCATTGTATGATAAAATCCTTTTACTATGATTGTCCACTGTAAAATCAGTAGAACCAGCTGATCTCTTAAGACTCTGATATTATACAACCAAAGGCTTTTATGAGGTCAGTTAGTGTGTTAATGGACTTGAAAAAAGCAAAGTCAATATTGGTTTGGGGGGGGTCCATAAAAACCTCATTTAACATCTCTTATTATATATTAGGCCAGACCAATTTTGTTTCTTGTTTTGCAGATCTGCCGGTCTTATTTTTTCAAGAATAAGAAAAAAAAAAAAAAATTAATTTTCCCCGCTCAAAAATAATTTTTTTAATATTTTTATTGGCCAAAAATGTAAATGTGCAAAAAATGTTTTTAGATTGTATTTTTGCCCCATATACACTTCATAAATTGCCAAAAGTAAAATACTTTTAGTATTTAAAAGGAATATTACTTTGACTGGTGATTTTTTATTTTTTATTTTTTTTTCCTCCTGCCTTTAGGTTTTCTGAGGACAAAATCTGTAAAACAAGAAATAAAATTGGCCTGGCCTTAGCATAAAATGAAAACATTTTCACTATATTCATTGGCTGAGAAACAGTTACGTCTACAATGTCCCGTAAGTTCCACTCCTACAGGGCCCTCTGTCCTCCATAAATCCTGTAAATATACCGTATATCACCGTGTGTATTGCAAGGTTTTTTTTACAGAATTAGAGGAGTAATTCCATGCCTAGTCACATCCCAGCTTGGTTTCAATACTGTGGCCTTTTGTCAATTGATGACATAACTATGTATTGTTTTATCAAGATATTTCGAAATAACAGATCATGGGTCAAGAGAAATGCTCTGGTTTTACATACAAGCACCCCACTAGTAAAGGAATGTTTGGAATGTGTGGTTCAGGGCTTCAGTGTATAAATCTTTTGTTGCAGAGTGCCGCGCAGGATGCCAGGGTCCAAGAACTTACGTCCTCTAATACAAAGTTACAGTCACAAGTGTCTGAGTACAAGCAGCTGGTTACAGATGCTGTGAGTTCTCATGTTGTACTCTTGGATAACAGAAAACACATACATAAGGGCAGATTGAGACAAGTTAGAAATAAGGAAAACTGATGATATTTGAAACATTCTTTTTAAGAATCATCTTGTACCCGGTGTGTTGAACGCTGTATTGTGTGTGTTGTACTGTAAGAGATCCTGTATTGTGTGTGTTGTACTGTAAGTGATGCTGTGTCTAGCTGGTTGTATTGTAGGGGACACTGTACTCTAGGAGATGCTGTATTTGGTATTTTGTTTAACTGAAGACCCTGTTTGGGGGTGTTTTATACTGCCTTGGGTATTTTGTATTGTAGGAGACCCTGTCTTTGGGTATGTTGTATTGTAATAGAATCGTTAATGAGTGTTTAATTAATTTTGTGTTAAACATCCCATTCTGCAATAATCCAGGTGTAAGATGGCATCCTGTAAATCATATGGGTCTGGACTACATTAATCACTGATCTGAGCAACAATCCACCATGTTGGTGTACAATGAAACACTGTTAATAAAGTCATTTTGCCTGATAACCCTGGTCAAGTTGCCCCTGTATAGTGTAGGGGACATATTTTTATCCATAATCCACATGGTTGGACCTGGTTCGGAGTATGCTATTTTTAGCAGAACCTGTACTGAGTGTGTGTTTTTTGTTGTTTTTTTGCAGGAGACCAAACTTCAGCAGCTGGAGAAGAGTGTGGAGTCAGAGGAGAAGAGGTGGCAGAAGGAGCTTCAAGATGCACAATCCAAACTCAAAACGGTTAGTACACTTCTCCCCTGACCTTGTGTGTGCATAAGAGTGTGATGTCATGCATCCGTATTGATTCAGTGACTAAATGATAGATAAATATTAAAACACTTACCCAAACATATCATGACAATCTTTCAGCTCCATTTACAAAGTCAAATGACAACTGATGAAGAAATTATAATTCCAATTACTATTCTTCCATGATTTCACATGGAACAGTATCAAAGTGCATATAATGCAATGCCAAAATTACCATGTTTGTTTGCACATGAAACATTGTGTAGACAGTGATATAAAAAATATATTACTGACCAAAGCATGGAATGATCCTCCAAAGGTTTAATACCAGAGTTCTTGGATGCAAATAGGTACAAATGTAGCAGTTAATTGAAGATGAAAGAAAAATCACTACGGTGGACCACATTGAACTATTATTAGCAGCAGAGAGAAATGTTATTGTGATTTTCAGACTTTACCACAAAGGAACAGATTTAGATTTTGAAATATCCTTGCTGTTTAGGGTTTAAAAGTTGAAAGTATGGTTTATTTGTTTAGGAAATGACAGACTCAGATATATATCTATACTATTGTCCTATGATCTTAACAGCCAGAATACTGATCTTAATAAGTATTTATTGGTTTCTTCCTCACTTTATCAGAGTACAAGCCAAGTTAGTGAATTAGAGGTGATAATGTCACAATACAAGTCAGAGGTGACAGTCATCAAGAAATCCCTAGCTGAGACAGTGAGTGATGAAGCAGGGGAGATTACTCTGCCCTGCACAGTCAGTCCTTGTGACCATGCTGCTTTCTCTGTGCTGCTTTCTAAAACACAGCATTTTATTCAGTCTTCAATTATCTTGGTTTCAAGTTAACATTTGACTCATTATTAACAGACCTGACATCATGTAGTGGAACTGTCTATTTATTCTCTGTCTGATATAATCTTTGGGACAATATGACTCCTGGAATGGACTATTTCTTAAACTCTCACTAACAGTGTTAAGCCTTGGATTCAGGTTCACTAACACACATCAGCTGCATGTCAGCTTATGTTGCTTTTCAGCATTATTTGACTGTTGAAGCACCATGTGGTATGCCTCTTCACAGTGCAAACATACCTTGGGCCTCTTGGACAAAGCAATCTTAATGCTAAGGCTATTGCAAATCTCATACTGTGGCATTCCTTCCGAGCAGTCATTGCATTAAGATTGCTGTGTGCATATGGGTCTTACTTTTATGGTCATTTGCTGGTTTATACATTTCACCTTGGTCACTATTTTCTTATAAGTACTGATGGATTTCTTTTCTAGCATTGATATATTTCATACCCTCCTTGCTATGATGTGCATGCTTTTTGTACTCCTGTGTATTTGATACTGATATCGTGGCCAATGTTTGCTTCATATGGCTTCACAGTATATCATCATACCTGGGGCTGTAATGATTCTCTGCAACTGAAGTAGGATTGTAATGTAGTATCATGCATTTATAAGCACTGGTACTTGTGAATCTTAGAAGTTATACCAGTATTGTAAAATATTTTCCAGTTATTATTATCTTGTGCTGAGTGTGTATCTAGATTCAAATACTATGACAGAAAATATGAAGGTTTTTGGGACTCAGTCAGTTCTATTTCCTATGGGTTGGCGGTGGGGTAGCCTAGTGGTTAAAGCGTCCGCTCGTCACGCTGAAGATCCGGGTTCGTTTCCCCACATGGGCACAATGTGTGAAGCCCATTTCAGGTGTTCCCTGCCGTGACATTGCTGGAAGCTGGAATATTGCTAAAAGTGGCGTAAAACCTTACTCACTCACTCACTATTTCCTATGGAAACATGACCCGTTTAATCTGTTATATGTTATATTCACACATAAACTGTTATGCCATGTATAGAGTGTCAAGCGCTAGTAGTTCAGTGAATCGTTACAACCCTTGTGTTTTAGAACACTATATAATCTATATAATGTATCTATTTTAATGTGTCCATAAACACTCAGGTTTGATCATTCATGTTGCATTTATGTACTAATTGATAGCTACAACATTTTTAACTGATAGTATAGATACTTTGATGAAGGTTGATTCTTTTATAGGATTTGATACAGGGAAAACCACACTATCATTCATATTCTATTCTGCAGTTAAAATAGCATGGCGGGGCGGTGGGGTAGCCTAGTGGTTAAAGCGTTGGCTCGTCACGCCGAAGACCGGGTTGAATCCCCACATGGGTAAAATGTGTGAAGCCCATTTCTGGTGTCCCCTGCTGTGATGTTGCTGGAATATTGCTAAAAGCGGCGTAAACCCAAACTCAGTCAGTCAGTCAGTAAAATAGCATGGCAAAGTTCCAGATTGTATCATCGGTATGAGAAATGCTATAGCAGTTTTCTCCCTTTGCATGTTAACAGACTTGTATTTATATTGCTGCTTGTGTCAATTACTGTCTCTATCTGCACAGGAGAATCGCTTAGGTGAGGCAGAATCCAAAAATCAGCAGGTTAATGAGAGTAGGGCAGAATCTAATGCAGTTGAAGAAAAGGTGAGTTCATTGATATTTGATTAATTATGCCTTGTATAAGCATGACAAAATTATCCAAGGTTATGTATAATTATAATTTCATTAATGACTACTTATGATAGCAAACAGTAGTAGAAATACATGTACATTTTCATTAGTCAGCAAAAATGGTTTGCTAAAGAGTTGTCATCTATCCAGTGACAAAAGTGGTTGGATTGTTCCTAACTCTGCTCTAATTATACTTCTCCTTATTGGAGGAGGGAAAGCCTTGTGGTTAAAGCATTTGCTCATCACTGAAGACACTGATTTCCCACATGGGTACTATATGTGAAGCCCATTTCTGGTGTCCCCTGCCATGATATTGCTGGAATATTGGAATATTGCAAAAACAGCATAGAACCATACTCACTTGCATGCTAGATGAGCAGACATATAGCAGTGAATGAAACTTTCAAAAAAAACTATGGGCAACAGAAATATCAACAATGTATTGGTAACTAATTTAACAGGGATAGCGCCAAACTTTACAAATGATTGAAATTAAGCTGGTCCTGGGGCCCTTGAGTATTTAATATAGCACTTGACTGCAGAAACTCCCACTAAGTCTTCAACTTCAATATTGTGATCATGACAAGGACCCTTGGTCTTTCATGCTTGATCACTAAATGACCTAACATGTCCAGAAGATTTATCTCCCTTACATCATTAAGCGATGTAGACAGTTGTGGGACTGACAATGGATGTGTGATGTTTCAGTGCCGTCAGCTCCAAGACCGTGTTGGCCAGCTGGAGGAAAACAACTCTCAGTACGAGAAGCAGGTGCAGGAGTACCGGAATGTCCTTGCCCTCACGGTAGGTCTAGTCTCCTCAGCACTGTATTTTGTGATACTGCTCAAAAAGCACTAGATTCTTGTCATACCTATTGAAATCAGCCCACAAACCACAAACCTGATCGACTCATAAATTAACTGACTGAACCAAAGACCATTTACTGGACTGACATGGGCTATGGACCAAATTCAGAAGTTGCCAAGTGTGTATTATAAGGATATGAGTTTCATTATCTTACTCCTATCTTCATTAAAGGTGTTGATATTACAGTATGTGACCAATGTCACACCTGGACACAGTCTCTAATTCAGGACAATCATCAAATGTTATATTGATATGAATCATGAGGCATTAAGAAGCTGGTATCATGAACAGGAATACATTATATGGACTGACAGCTTTTCTGCTTATTATGCAATATATTGGGAAAATCTGAGTAGATTTGTTTGGTCTCTTGTGTGAGTCTCTGTATTCCACTTGTCTCTGCAGGAGGACAAATTGAGCCAGCTGGAACAGCAGGCCAAGACCGAGGAGTCCAGGTGGCAGGACAAGATCACCAAGACAGAGACAGATCTTCAGCAGGTCAGTCGTCTCACATGTGGAAGCATGTGTCCACATTACTGGGCATGTAATGTTTACTATAACTATTCATATTTAGGGCAGAATCTTTGAAGGTACCTTTAATGTGTAGAATATTTTAGATGAAAGGATAAGATGAAGAAAATAACTCTTTGTACAAGTTTCTATTGTTATTTGTTTTTTTGTTTCAAATGTTGTATTATTTTAATGGTTAATCTAATTTACTAACCTATTCTCTACCTTATTAGATCTTGGTACCTCCTTGGCTTGTGATCGTTGAATTTTTTCAATACCAATAACATCAGCTTTGATAAGACGTATATTTTTAGTGAAGTAAACAAAATTCAAAACAAGAATTTTTCTTGAACAATATTTAACAGATTCTGACTGGCACAACTATTATGGCAAATCATGCTCTAGATGATAGATCACTGTAGCATGATATATCCTCAATGCACAATATTAATTTCTTACAATATCCACACATAGTTATGACTGTCTTGGGAATTCAAATATCTTGTATTTAATATCTTGTATTCTGGTTATGGTTGTAATATTTCATTCTTTAACAATAATACCTATGCACACACACATACACATCATTCACCTGGCACCAGTAGATATTTATACATCTGTGGATGTGCATGCAACGTATGAGTTTTCTTTCAGTCCAAAAAAGATGTGGAGTGTTTACAAGAGCAGGTGAAGAAGTTTCGAGGAAGTACTGAGGTAAGCACTTTCTTCCTGTGATCCCATTGAGTTGTGGTGTTGTGGGCTGGGGAGTTACTGCTTGCATGGGCTGAGGATGGTTGTTAGGGCGACTGGCAGCACTGGCACCTGCACTGAAGTTTCAACACTGTCAAAAGCATGGGTTCTGCTTGGGGAAGTTTGCCGAGGTTTTCTTCTGTTGGGGATGGGGCTTCAACCCTCACAGTTGTATGACATGGGGAAGTGGTCATGTTGATGTGGCAAATTCAACTTTTCTCTCAATTCTGATGCTGGACATCTTACAAATATTTAAAAAGTATGATCTTTTGTGATCAATTTTAAACAGGATCATCCAAATACCCAGACATTTTTTCTTTATCTTTTCCATTCATCAAACATTTCTCATGCCCACGTCACTCACTGCTAATACTGATCATATGATGGGACATTTACTTATGTATCATACCTTATATGGTTATTAGGGGTTGGCTAATGTTATTGTAAGATTATTTTACTTGATTTGTTATTCTATTGTTACATTTTTGTTTCCATGTAGCTTTGGTGTATGTTAGATTCTCTATTCTAAAAACCAAACATAATTTTGTTCTATTCTCTCATTGTATTAGTGTGGATGTTTGTCCCTTATGCATGTTGTCTGTCAAATTTGTCAAGCGTAATTATGTACTTTTACAAATTCATTTACAAATATATTATCAGATTTAAGCACTTTCATCTCTTGTTTGGTTGAATTAATTTGCTCTTTTGTATTTAAGATTCATATTCCATATGACATCATTAGTCCTAAATATCCATGATCATAGAAAAATATCATTGTAGTTGCCCCAAATGTTGATATATCGAAAACCATGTTATAACTTTTGAAAAAATGCTGGACAGAGAGGTTGTAAATATGTTTCCCCTTGATGCTATTGTTTTGGTAGTCTTCCGTGGTGTCATATGGAGAATGTTAGTTGAATATTGTTTTATGCCCTTCACTATCACCCCATAACCCTAGTGAATTATGTTGTGAGTTTGATGTTGTCTGGTCCGTCCATTCTAGGATCTCTCTGATTTGTCTTTCGCATACGGCATCGTAGAGAAAAGTCTGCCTCGTATTATTGAAGAGGTATGCATCCAAAACCCAGTTCTCATCCTTGCAATGCATGCTATTGTGTACCAGCAGATCACTGACAGACAGTCAAAAGGCACTTGGTTACAAGTGTGATGCTATCTTAGCTTAAGACAGCTTTATATGCTTTTTATAACTAGCAGCTATGTTTGTGTGCCCTTAAGGAATTATGAACTTAAAACGTTACCTAATAAGAGCATTATTTCATTATACTTTTGTATTTTAGTTGAATTTCGTACTTTTCAGTATATTTATATTATTAAGCTACAAAATGATTTTTAATGCTACAAAATGTATTTTTAGTAAAAGTATGAAATGTGTGATGTACATATTTTAGTGTTAATTCATATGTTAATCCTTAAGCAAACTATTCCCTGACATTATTATGTTTTGGAGACATCCCAGTAAGTCAGTTCTTGTGTAGTAAGCTGATAGGCATTTCCTTACCATGACTTTCTGCCTTTGTGACTGTCTATCAATGTCTGAACCCACTATAACTGCATGGACCCTGTGTGTTTAACATGTTGTGAATGGGGTTCAAGTGTCTTTCATCAATGGTTTTTGTTGTGACATTCATCTGGAACATAACTCGATTAATTTGGTCATTCCATATTCATATTTCACTAATAACAAATTGTGGTATGGGCTAGTCCAGGTCAACTAATAGGTATATGTTTGAGTATATCAGTTGTCCCATGTACTGGATCTTTCATTAGGAATATATTGATAAATATGGTTACCCCATTACTAAGCATTGCTGAAGGAAGAGAGATCTGATCTGGTGAACAGTCCCTTTTAGGTGAACAGTGCATGGAATGTATTGACGTAGATCTTTCAGAACTATAAATCCTTTTTATTACCTTTCTTCTTGTTATATGGGTCTGGGTATCTGTAGAAATTTTGATCCGTATCACACCATTCAATCCCTATTATTTCCAGCTAACGGTGATAACAGCATATCCTGTGAGAATAATGTTCTCAGCTATGTATATTGTATCATAATTATTATAACTGTTATTATGTTTACTTCAAAGAATCAGGGGGCAGTGGGGTAGCCTAGTGGTTAAAGCGTTGGCTCGTCACGCCGAAGACCCGGGTTCGAATCCCCACATGGGTACAATGTGGGAAGCCCATTTCTGGTGTCCCCGCCGTGATGTTGCTGGAATATTGCTAAAAGCGGCGTAAAACCAAACTCAGTCAGTCAGTCAGTCAAAGAATCAGGGCGGTGGGGAAGCCTAGTGGTTAAAGCGTTGGCTTTCCATGCCGAAGACCTGGGTTCGATTCCCATATAGGTACAATGTGTGATGCTCATTTCTGGTGTCCTCCCTGCCAGGATGTTGCTGAAATACTGCTAAAAGTAGTGTAAAACTAAACTCACTCACTACTTCAAGGAATCTGAGCCATTATTTAGCTTACCTGACTGAAGGCAAGTGAGGTCAAGTCATGTTCAAGTCACATTCCTAATCCCACCAATGTTCACACCCCAGTTAGTTGAAGAGGTTTGACAACACTTTTCAATATGGTTGTCATGGCAGTCATATTGAAAAACCTCTTTGTAGCAATAACTCAGTCATTCTTTATATAAAAGTGAGGAAATTTGTAGTAAATAGTGGGGCTCAAACTACATGTCCTAAATATAATTAGCTCATTGAAGCTGCAACTTCCAATATTTGTTTTCACCAATTATAGGAGTTCAAAATCCAAATTTTACATATTTACGGCTTTTCCATCATATTGAGGAAGCCATTTGTGTACAAAATGTAAATGCATTTGGGAGTTAATTATTTATTTGTTGGCTGACATATTTCAGGTGAGCTGTACTATTTAGATTAGATATTGTGGAGAAAAAGTTGTGTAATTATATCTTGCCTATTCTAGTATATGACTCAAAATGATAGTTATTTTAACCTTTTGTTTGCAGCTTCAGAATAGTATGACTTCCTACAATAAAACTGCTTTTTTGGCCTATGTCCTTGTGTGCTTCACGTGTGGTTCCCGACCTTCTACTGACCAAGTTATTGCCTTTTAACGAGTTGAGAATTTCCAAAACTGAATATCCTTAAACATTTATCAATTATCAAATTCTGCAGTATCATATGAATACAGTTCCATTGACTGACTTGATTCATGTTTGTGATAAGGGGAACTATCAGTCAGTCATCACACAAACAGTGTATCGATGGAACACTTTGTTAATATCAGTTTCAAAATATATTTGATAATAGGTAAGTGATATGAGTATGACTATAATGGCTTCCAAATAAAAGTTTTGATGGCTGTGGAATTATGTGTTGAAGTATGAGCATGGTTGCCCAGAATGTTCCTGGGTTCCTTTATTCCCTGCTCCTATATTCCCTGCTTGTCTCCCTTGGTAATGAGTTATCTCACCTGGCTGCAGATGGAGGTGAAGGTCGAGTCTCTGGAGAGCCAGTTGAAGGCCTCTGAAGAGAGGTGTTTGATGCTGCAGAAAGAGTCTGAGGAGGTAACGCATGTTACAACACACAGACATACACACACGATTCCTGCATGAAGGTCTGACCCTGGTCCTTGACTCCACTGTTATAATCAGTTTAATGACTCAGATCTTGGTCAAACATTTTAGAAACGGGGTTAACACTTAATTAATGTATGGCTTTGTAACAAAACATCTGGTGAAACATTGTTATTTTGAAGACCACTAAGATTTCTGATTATTTTTAAAAATTAAAAGAAGTGTGGTTTTATGACAGTGTTATCAATGTAATCAACAATGTATGACGAGATGTAATAATGCTGACTGACTGCGTCAGACCATTATATATTTCTGTCACATCATGAGCTGTGTTTTTTATAAACTTGTTATGACAGTGGAGGCACATTTTCTGCAAATGATTCAGAATTAATGTCACTTGTGTTTATTTTGTAACATATGGTTGCTAAAAACATTTTTGCTTAGTCAGCAATCTTTAGAGTGCAACCATTACGGTTGTATCTGTCTACGAGACTCTATGGAATCAATCTGAATCAGTTGCCTTGGGTTTTCTGCAAAGGATGCTTTATTGTTTTATTTCTACGGGGATCTTTCTGCTGTACTTCTTAAAAAAATTTGTTTCTTTTTCTCTATTGATACTGAGAACATTTTCTTGCAGGCACAAACCAAAGTTGTTACAGTTCAAAGTCAGCTAGAAATTACAAAGCATTCTTCAGATGATTTAGAAGCCCTTAGGCGGGTAAGTGTTGATGGAGTCTTTTAAGCTTGTTTTAATAGTCCTGACATAGAAATCTTTCAGGTGCACTTTGTCTAACATATTTTGCGACTGTAGGAATATGATGTAAGTGCTTTGAGCTATGACAACCTTGAAAGAAGAGAACTCAGTGACACCAGTCAAGCTATCTAAACCCTTCCATCAAGAGAAGTAAATACTGGGGTCCATGGACTCATGATGATCAGCAGGTGACTGCGGATAGCGGATAAGGGACTGTACATAATTAATGGCTAGGGTTCGAGATGATGAATTTTATGGAGTAGCATGTACAATGTGAATGACCCACCCTAAAATTTATGTACAAAGTCAGTGACCCCCCTGCATATCATGTACAAAATCAATTACACCCCCCCCCTATTTTTAAGCATAGTTTTTTAATATTTTTATGTGCAATACTGCTGACAAACACACACACACCCCTGTACAAAACTGATGACACCCCTACCTCCCAAGAACAAAATGGCTGACACCCCACCCCCCCCGTTTAAAATCATCATCACCCCCCTAGCCATAAATTATGCACGGTCCCTAATGCAGTCCAGCTCTTTCATAACTATCATTAGGCCTATTACAGCTAGCATGTTGCTCTCAAAGCACTGCGATGGTATGTGGTGGTTCAGACCACAGGGTAAGGAAGTGACGTGGAATGAAGTTGTCATGGTTACAATGTGGTTATGATATGATCATGAAGAAGGATGTAAACAACCCTTAACTGATGCCTTCAACTCGGTTGACATGCCATATCTTTACTTGCAGCGGATCAAGGAGCTTGAAGATTTCTTTGAGGCAGAGAAAAAGAAAACAAAAGATCTGTCCACAAATATTGTGAAGCTCAATGGCATCATCAAGACCGGTCAAGATGCTCTCAAGCAGGAACAGGGAACTGTAGAGAAACTCTCAGAACAGCTCAATGCAGCACAGGTGAGTAGTTGCCATATACAGCAGCCTTGCACCAACAGACTTTAAAGAAGTATATGAGTGACTGAACACTTCATATTTTCAATGTCTCTTCAAGAGGTGATGTTTATTATTACATTTAACCTTTTTTATGTAACTGACATTATTCTACTTCCATAACTATTTCCTTAATCATTGTTGAGTAAAGTTTGTAATTTCAAATGCAAAATTAGTATATGAGTAAGTAAAGGTAAAAACCCTATTGGCTGGTCCTTGATAAGTATAGCAAATGCAATTTGGTTGCATTTTGCCTTCATATTTCTGTCTGCCATAAGACAAGATTCAAGAATGACTCAATTCAGTTAGTCTTAGCAAGTGTAAATCCGAACCTTTAAAATGCATCGTATCACTGCTCCACACATAATATACCAAGTAGCATCTTGACTTTTAGAGCAATACAGACCAGAGCAATGACCTTGACCTTTTAATGGGAACTCATACAATGTTTATGACCTCCTACGAGACTAATGCAATTAGTTTGGAATGGTTCAACATTTCTTCCTGCCATTTTATGGAACTTTTTCTGTTACAGTCAGGAGGCGGAGGATCTGGGAAGGGTGTGAAGGAGGTATTGTGACCAGCAGACCTGTTCAGTATGGATGTGTGCGGGGCCAACACACAGGGTAAACACAGGCAGGAGGCTGGCTCACTGGAGCATGTCACACTAGATTGTCCACACACAGTGTCACACAACTGATCAACTTCTGCAACATCATGCCTAAGTGCCTGCTCACGTTTTAGATTGTTACAAAAAATCTTTCGAAGAGAACTCAATTGTTTTAAGAAACGCTTCATTTTCAACTCTTCAACTTTAGCCATTAGTCTGTAGCCTGAGTGTAGTTAAATTCTGTTTGGTCCATTAAGCTCAGTCAATAACAAAAAGTAAGAGCCATTTTGAGGCCAAGTGACTCAAAGGTGTTGGCACAGACTGTTAGTTGATGGCAACAGTTAGATCATAAAATGCGATATATTTAAGTTCATTAAGTGGCATTTAGAAGCTGATATGATGAAGAGCAGCAATTATTATGGATGGACAACTTCTTTATTGGAATAGTGGCAATGTTTAGGTGTAGATGCTAACACCGTTATCATTACTTGCATTCCTAAAAATTGTTCCTTCTCTGCTGAACTTCGTTCAAGCACTGCTTGCTACTCCGGCATGATGGCCATCAGTTGAGCAGACGTAGGCATGCCACTGCAGGAATGAGTTGATGACTGAGTTTGCAGCATGATGTGTTGTAACAATGTCAGATCCTCACACAGCCATTGTGATTACCCTCCTCCAATCTCCACATAGTAGACAATGACGTGTTAGCTCCACTGCCTGTCTTCTTGTGTGTTGTGTTTCTGCCATATTCAACTGTTCATACATTTCTCATTACATAGTTTACATGCGTTTCTAGCTAGCTTTTTTCCTTTATCAATATCAATTATTTCTTTCATGTAGTCAACTGTAAACTTAAATAGTTCAGATGTATACCTGTAATGCACCTAATTTTCTCTGCATGTAGATATATATTTGTACATAATGGTTCTATGTTTGCAGTGCCTACTTGCACTCACTGACTTATACCATGTACTCAGTTCTTGTTATCTATATACATCCTTTTCTAGTTATTCTGTTTCATTGTACTCATGTAGAGGCAAGTTTCATTGTTTATACGTCATAGTGTCCTTACTCTAGCCAGAAGAGAATTTGCTTGATCAAATCCCACTCATGAAGGAAACAGCCTAGTTATAACGGTTAGACTTCTACAGACATTGGAAGATTTACGTTCGTTACTTGTTTCAAGGTAACACCAGTGATTCATCTGAGACCTGAATTCCTGTATATCAGTTTTGTAGAACCTCACTGACTACTTACTTAAGGAAACTAAACTGATTTCTGCAAGTCGTTATCTGGAACATCGACCAGTCACATTCAAAGAACCAACCAATTGGTTATATCTGTTTAAATTTAAATTTGACTAAAAAAAATGTATCAAGAGACTCAAAATAAAAGCAAATATGGCATCTACAGTATATATGTTACTAGTTTGGGGGCTTATGGCACCCACATTATGCCTTATTGAGTTCTATACAATGCTGTATTTTGGTCACCTGTCACCTGAAGAGCATCTATGTAGGGACTGATGTAGAATATAGATGTTATGGTGAGGTTAGGGACTCCTGTGAACTCAGGAACATATCAGTATGAGCATTTAGAACATTTGGGTATCTAACGTGCAATATAGTTCAATATATGCAGTATAGCAGCTAGATACGTCACTGTTGAGGCACATGCCTTTTAGCATCTAGTTATTGACAACCTTATCAGTTAAATATTTACAACGGGATCAGGTAGTCAGGCTCGCTGACTTGGTTGACACATGTCATCGGTTTCCGATTGCGCAGATCGATGCTCATGCTGTTGATCACTGGATTGTCTGGTCCAGACTCGATTATTTACAAACCGCCCATATAGCTGGAATATTGCTGAGTGCAGCATAAAACTATACTCACTCACTCATTTAGGTATTTACACCTGACATTAATCAAATTGAATTTGGATAGACTGGTAGTAAGGTAGGGATACCAGCCATTGTAACTAGGTATTATGATGTGTGTGAAGACAGACAGTTAAGCACCTAACAGTTATTCTGAATCTAGATACAACTAGGGTTGGGCACTTGCCATCTGTGTGGCAGACTGGTTTTCTAGACATGGTTCAAGACTTGCTTTCATACTTATAGTTGAGGGCCAAACTGGTTGATAAGGAAAAACTCCTTGAACGTGAAATAATGGCAAACAAGCAACTTAGTCAACAACTGGTAAGTTGTCTTTGTTTCCAACACAAAAGTAAAGTCTTCAAAAACAGATCAAGGAAACAGTGACAGATCCAAGCTGTAATGTAATATTCTTAACTTTCAAATGATATAAAGGTAAAAGATTAAAACAAGATAACTGAAGTAAATAATCTGGAGTAAGTGAATCGATATGTGCATCCCTGCTATTTCAGCGCACACTTGACATATGACATAGGGAGGGACTCCATGCTGTGTAAGCATTGTGCCACCCACCCACTGTCAACACCACACCCACCCACACGAGGTCAATACTGTGTAAATACACGATGTAATCATGCATCATCCGAGTCTCCCTTTGGTATTAAAGGGCACACATGTGTAATGTTGGTTAAATATACTCAGTCATTATTGAGGGGTCACATAGGTAATAAGAGGTAAAAATGTACAGTTAATTTGCATCTGTAATGAGCCATGTTTTGCACATGTTGATTGTTTGATTGTTGTTATGCATTGCACACACATGGGATGAACCTCTGACTGCATTTGGCATGTGTTTTGGGTAGTATCACCTCCAGTCTTGCACTTTCCATTCTTCGTCATAGTCATCCAATGAGTGTGACTTTAGCATAAACAACATGCTAGTCCCATTGTTAACATACTCGCACTTATTGATGTGTGTTGGCCTAGGTGACCCTTCAATATGGACAGCTATAACTCATCTGATAATTTCTGAACTTTCCTCATGATGAATCAGTGGATACAATATTCAAAGGAACTATTTACACTGTCCTGACCTTTCCCAGCCAAGATAAAATAACCCAGCTGCACAGACTCTGCCCAATATCCCATACATTCTTGCTGTGTATGTTTACACTAACATGACCATCATCACCAACCCTCACCCAGTAGGGATTCAGGTAGCCGGAAACAAAATCAATGGTACCTTTAAAAATCTACTAGTATAACGTGTGATATGACCATGAGTCACTGAAACTTGACAGATTGAATAATTACTGACAAATAACCACTAGTTTGCTCAAATTCAATTATTTACTCACTGACTGTGGTATAAAGATAAAAAAATAATTGTTTTGTTTTTGTGGGTTCTTGATCTGGGCAGACCTGGCATATTCTTCTATACCATGCCTATTCTTCAAACCATGAACTGTCGGGGGATACCTCCAGTGTTTGAAAGGTTCTACAGCACCCTCTGTTACCACACATGGTGTAATGTTTTTAGGTGTTAACATGTTTTTTAGCAGGATTGGAAAAGATTCTTTTACAAAATGTTTGACATCCCCTCATCCCGAAGTACCTGCTTGATTAGTAGCTCGGTTTACATTATTTTCACTGATAAATTACACAGGGAGAAAGGATTTTTTATTCACTTTCTCAGCCTAAACCTTTTTTGTATTTATTATTTTTAGAAATATGTTTTATTGTATGAGTTTGTTTTTATATTTGTCTTGAATATATGTTTATCTATTATTATGAGTCAGATACAGAATATATTCAGCCTGTAAAATTTTGACACTTTTAAGTTATTTTTGACAGAGATATCACCGGACTAGAATGTGATTTCACAGTGTTGAACATGATCTTTTTATGATTTAATAATCATTATGAATTGAATGTCTTGTCATTTTAAGAGTCTTCTAACTTCACTCTGATATGCTTTGTTTTAGCCACTGCGTAGAACTCAGTCACTGAAGGTAGATCTGGCTTAGTCTCTTCTCACAATTGTGCACCAAGTGATCTGACATTGGTTGAGACATACAATTGCTTAGCTTTGCTTCCATCCATGCAAATTCCACTACAGTACTGTATTTCCTTGAATGCTTAATGTGAACATTATTCTGAATTAGAAGGATATATTGCTCACATTAAGTGATGTTTATTGCTTCCAGCCAAATGTCAGCTTGGTTCATGATGTGGTTTGAGATTAAACATTATTTTATTTGTTTTTAATCAATCCTTTTTTGTAAAAACATTTTTTACATTTTTTGCCAGTGAAACTTGATATGTTTTGAGATAAAAGTTCTTTCTTTTTTTTTTAAATGATTCTAAACTATTTTCAATTTTTTGTCAGATCTTTTCCATATGTTTAGGGTAGTAACCAGAGCTTCCTTGTCATTTTATGGGATGTTTTTTTTTTTCTGACTGATACAATCAGTCATTGCAGTTTTCTTCCCCGAGCTTAAAACCCTACAAAGCTTCATCCAGACGCTGCCCCTTTTGCCATCTCCAACTGTAGCATCTCCCCTACACATAAACAAGCACAATCGACGACAATCCAATTACATACCGGTACATGACACATCACTAAGACGAATACATTCACCCCTCTTGTTGCATATGAGCATCTTGTGGTTCTCCTAATGTCAGGACAGCCATGGCCAGAGATTTATCTGCAGGGCCAGCTAATGTTCCTATTTCTTTGCTTCACAGGCACAATTAGGTGTTCTGGTGAGTTGGACTCGGTGATGGCCGTATTGCTGGTGTACCCTGTACTCAGGGGATATACAGTTTATTACATAGGGATATCAAAAGTTTGTGTTTTACTTTGATGTAATACCATGTGGAATAAACGTTATCTTGTCATACACCTGTTATGGTATTTAGTGCATGTTGATAAGACATAGATCATAAGGATATTAATCATGATAATATACAGGTTAATGAATTAACATTTGATGTGTGAATTTCATCAAATAATGTATTTATCATGTTTATTGCAATACCATCCATCACCGTGATAAGTACTTCATCACATCCTCATGTTGCACATACGGTTGCTGCCATCATCCCTTGATAGAGTAGTCTCCCCTTGGTTGCCATGAATAACATGTCAACATACTTACCAATCATGCCATTATTCCCAACACAATGCACACAGCCTTATCTCAACACATGTCCTTGTAATTCCCCTGAGTGACAAACACCATCTGTATAATCAAATTTGTGGTGTATATTTCATTTATTCCTCCTTCACCTTGAGAAATATCAAATGCTGGTACGCTTCTATTTTGCTCAGAGAGGTTTATTTATTTGAGTTTCTTGTCCCCAAGAAGTATTGTGTTGTTGTTACTAAGATGAAATGAAGCAGATAGATCTGTGACATGTGGGTTGCAGTAGTTGTTCAACAGATAAACAGTAAAAATGAAGGTTATACACTGTATTAAAAGCAGCTAAAACATTGACAATCTGTTGACAATAAGGCCAGAGGTGCAACTTGTAAAGATAATTACGTGAATGTGTAAAGGAATGAGGCCACCTCCCCCATTATTGGCTGATCAGCGTGCATGTCTTCTTGAATGTTAGTCCTCTTGTGGTCAGTGTTTCTCATCTCATGCCCTTCCACAGAGCAGGAAACACTTCTGAAATATCTTTCAGACCCACTATACAACCACCGAACCTTTCTAAACAGATATTGTTGATAAACAATAACAGAGAACATGCAAAAAGGCCTTAAGACATTCTTCTTCGATTGGTCATAACCAAATGCCATATATATACTTTATATCTAAATAGTGTTGAAATGGATTGTGGATATTTGTGAAGATTGAGAATGTCTCATTCATTCTTCAAAAGAAAACATGACCAGTGTATGATATGTAATATTGACCATTTTAGATGATATTTTGTCCCACAATTTTAAGGCGAGAGATGAGAAACACCGAATGGAATACAGGTGGTCTTGTGTGCTTTATGGATTCTGCCAGGAATGATCATTATCTTGCATCTTCTCATTTATCCATCACACATCATGGTTTCAGTTGTAGTCCGTATTATGATATATCATTTCTTCTGCTAGGCTTACCAACCAAAGGTAAATTTCTTGCAAATTTGTGTGGAATCGGACTAACGTTACTTCAGATTTTTAATCTTGGTAGAGGTTAACCTAAAAGAAAAGCTTCAAAGCAATCACATCATGGGTGGTTCATAAAATCATCATATCTGTTTAAGTTATAGTGTACAAAGATGTCTTCATTAGAGTTTTCCTACCGTACATTGAAATTAAGTTAAATATGCATGATATGGAGGTTGTGAGTGTTGGTGATTTCCTTGTGTAGATATCTGAATTACGTGTTGTCCGATAACTCGTGTCTGTTTCTATACAAGGTGATTGGTCACTTCCCCAGTCAAGCATGTTGCCACCCCTAAAGCATTGTGGAGTATATGCATTGCAATGCATGGAAATCACTGCCATGTTGTAGTTACATTAATTCATTAAAAAATCTAAAAAATATCATTTTGTGAATCAAAACCTTTCATTTGTTTACTGCAAAGTTACACTTCCAAATCTTGATCCACCTTGCTTTGTTGTGGGTACATATGTTTAACTGACTCTCTCTTGTTACGGTTATTCAGAACTAGGCATTAAGTTCTGTATGTCTGGGATGTTAAGTCAATAAGGTTTCTATTGCTTTCTTCTACATTTTGGATTAGTAGGATTCACATGAAATAAAACCTGCCTCACATTTGTAGTTATTAATATCATAACAATCTTTGCCTGACTAACTGACACTTACACTATTATACAGCTTTGGTGACTTAACTGGCGATGATTCTAATAGTATTTTTTTATCCATAAATGAGACATAAATATATCTATATATCTTTGTTTCAAGTTTATTAAAAAAAATGTAAAAGTTACTCTTACCAAAAAAAACACTAGAGTTTTTTTGTATGTCTCTGTTCTTCTCCTTGAGTCATGTTCTTTAAATTTCAACTTCTTACCTTCTGAAACTAAGGAAACATGAGTGTCATTTTGAGATAAAACTGAACTATACCAGTTTTTGACTGCGGGATTACTATTTCAACTGGAATGGTATCCAGTTGCTTTGTTGGTTCTTTTATGTGTCTTTATCCTTCATGAAGAATAAACTAAAATGGTATTTTCTGCAAGGCAATATTAAATCTAAAATATTCATGTCTAATAAAGAGTTATAGGGTAAGGATGTGGCTTTTTATCTTATATGTACACAAATGGAATGATAGTATTTCTTTATTCCTATTCACAACATATTATCTTGTAACATACTCCAGCTTGCCATATGACCTTCACCTTAGGATCTTTTACTAAGATTACTCTTGCACATCAATAGATTCCAAATGAATGGGGACACCTATTTGACAATTTTCATATATTATGTTTATATTTGTCCACAACTCCTAGTTACTTGGTAACAGATAACCTGTTGTAATTGTTTCATTTTAACACTTAGGGAGAACTATTCTGTTAACCAACACTTGTAAATAACAGGCAGATGCCACATTTCACCTTAACATCTATGTATTTAACCATGATATAGTGAGCCAGACACATCTGTTAAATATAGAGATGACAATCCAGGGCTGTTATGTGTTGAGCCTTGTAATGAATGTTTTCTTCTGTGTACTTGCAGGCTGCTTCTCCGGGAAATGATGCGGGGACCTCAGTTTAACACCTGCTTTCTACTGGTTTAAATTCTGCCATGACGTACATCTTCATCTGGCAATGCCCTAGCCAGACGTTGTCATGTTGTCACTATCAACGCTATCAACCAGGTGGATGATCTTTGTGTCACCCATGGATGACATCTTCTCTTCAGCTCAGTCATATCATTATCATTTTAAATATACATGTACAATAGTTATAAGTGTTTGTATGACAGCAGTGTTTTTTACCATTGCTTGCTTTTCTCACTGGTGAATGTTCATTGTCTTCCTTGTCAAAGGTCAATGCATTGTAGGTCAAGGTGACTTGAACAAGGAAACATGTCACATACTCTGAGGACATGACATTTTCTTGGTTTGGTTTAATAAAAAATACATGCTTTCTATACTTAACAGCAGCATATATTTTATTAAATGATAGTGTATTGTAAAAAGACCTACTGACTTGACCTTGACCTTTGACATTGGCTGCCATGTTGTTATTGCAGGCCATGTTTCATTGTGTCAGGTAACCTGTCATCATTGCTGTAGTTGGGGTGGAAACTCTTTCATTAAAAAAATGTCATATTTTATGAGTACAGGTCATAACCTGGTAGAGACAATGCTGTCAGGACAATTATGTTTCAAATCAGTATATTTTCATATGTGTAAAACTGAAGCAGACTTATACTCCTAATTTGTCTCACTACAGTCATAATATGGTTAAGATGAGTGACCTGATTGAACACAACATGAATATAATCACAAGCATTTAGTAAGGCATTTATGAAATAATGAAACTTGTGGACAAGCCAGAATGCTGAAACTTACCTGGTTTGTATCATAAGAAGATGTGGAAATAACATGTACACTGTAATGGTTAGTATTAATGTTTTGTTATTGACATCAGGGTCAATGTTTAGTCTTTTGTCTTTGAAATTGATCATGTGAGGTAATGCATGGAGATAAACTTTACAGCACTACTTATGGAGACAACTGAAGTATTACAGAAGTACATGGAATAGATTACTGAAGACATTTAATGTGCTAGTACTATGTATTAATTTGACCAATTTGCACTGACATGGTGTTGTAGATGGCTCGGCTGCACAGCTTGTGTTTGCCAAGCCTTTGGATACTGCATAATTGCTGGTTGTACTCGTCACATTGCACAAGCCGAAGTGTGCAGATAGCACCCGTTGGGCTGTCTTGCTATTTTCAGCTGATACTGTTCGTCATTGTTGAGATCTTATTTTCAATATTTAATTTGTTCATGTTTAAACATCTTTTTCTTTGTTTCCTCTCCAGTTGTCATGTTGTTACTTTGTGAGGATATGTTGAATATGCAATATACATGTAGATGGGTCCACTCATTGTTAAAGTTTGTTTTTCTGTGAATATGTTTGCTTATTTACTTCCCCCACTTGGAAAACTGAAAGTGTATTTTTTCATGGGGCAATATCAGGTGATTGTAAATTAACATTTGATGCTGAAATGTCGAAATTGTTAATCTTAGAAATGTGAAAATTAGTCTGAATTTATTTTTGCAGTAGTGACCAAATTATGTTTTGTGGATTAAGATATGTAGTTGTTTCCCCATTAGGTTTCCCTACTAGTATAATATTGTTCTGACACATGGTACACCTGTTGCTGTTGCCTATATGTCCATTGTACAGAATCAACTTTGTACAGTAATTGCACTTTGATTATTTACAGTGATATATTATTATGATATTTCTGCATTGTAGAAGCTGTGTGATGAAGGTGGTAGGGGCAGAGTATACAGTGTGAACACAAGATGACATAGCTTATTGGTAGCAACAGGTGAAGGGAGGGCTTAGTTTTTGTTCATGACCAGCAACACCTTATATTAAAACAATATCATATCAAATGTCACAAAAAATTGTCAGTGATGAAACTAGATTATGGCATATTCATTACTTTTATTTATAAATATACAAATTCATCTACTTGTTTAGAAGAACTGTAAAGTAAGTAAAGCTAGTCGCAGGGACTCACAGAGCATGTACCAGCTCATTAACAGACAGTATACTTCACAGTGCCTTTCAGCTGATTATTTACTCTTGCATGTACCCACTTAGCGCAGCTTCTTATGTCCAGGACCATACCATGTACTATGTGCCAATTGTAGCTGAGGCGGGTACTCGCCATGTACATTGATCCATTACATAACACTATTTAAATTCTGTTGTGCTAGATTTGGCCTGTCTTTCCTTGGTAGCCATTGTAGTGTTGATCTGCAGAGCAGGTTATCCTTTCTGCCAGAGACGGCAAACAGAATTGTTACTAGTCACATATTGTTTTGTTTCAGGTTATCATTTGTAACATAGATTATCATTTATTGTAAGAATCCAATGCAGTTACCTGCTTGCCACGTATCAATAGGCTAGATGACATTAATCACTGAATAATTTACCAATGAGATTTTATGTTGATTTATTGTAATTAAGCATGTTAAGCATGTATTGGTCCATAGGTAGACTGTTCAGTAAATATCGGACCAGGTAACATGTTTCTGGTAACAAGCTACTGCCCCAGTATCGCCATGCCAACCAGGGAGGGTGTTGCCAGGTTCCTGCTGTGTCACAAGGAATGACAATGGTATGAGGTGCGGTTAAGGTTACAGTCACTGTTTCATTGTACACAAATGGCTGGCAAATCTTCTTTCCTGGTTGCAGTGACTGGGTCAGGTCACATGCTTCATTCACACTTGGTGGAGGGGCCTGCAGACTGGGCTATATGGGGGCCCCTTTGTCCAGTTTGTATGGAATCTCTAGTGATTGTTCACTGTGTGACTCATGTCCAGCATTGGTCAAGCTCAGTTAATAAAAGTTATGTCTCACCACTTCTTGTTTTGTTTTACCTGACATCTAAACTGTCTGCAGCTGCATATCATCAGCCATTGCCCATCTACCAAAGCGGTAGATGGCCCAAAACACCATAGCACATAGAGTTTACCCTTGTGGGACATTGTTCAGACAGAAAAAACAGGCATTTTAGCCATCAAATCTCCATTTTAGTTCCCTTACACAACAGGGAACCGGTCATGAATCATGATTACCTGAGCGAGTGAATGACTTACTGGAGTCAGCAATATGTCAGCAGTGTGTGCATGATCCAGTCAGACAGTGTGAGCAATGATTCATGTTAATGAAGTATGATCTCACACAATGAAGTCAAGTCACGTTATAATCACCTTATCCTTATCCTCATCTTTACTCTTTCAACAAGCTTCTGGTATCTATTATCCCATAGGATTCACGAGCACCATCACACTCTCGGAACAAAGTGGATTGCAAAAAGAACTGGAGGAGGTGTGAATGCCCAGGTCATCAATATAGAAACCAGAACGAGGAACTCCTGCCCCATCAAGAGCTGATCAAGACAAAGCTGCATTCAGGAAACACTGATAACACACTGTCCATTATTACACATTTATTTAACATACATGAGCATATGACTTGCAATGATAAATCCATTCATGAAACGAAACAGAAGAAATCTAAAATCATAGTTTAACATGGAGAGATATTCATAATTTATGAATACCAAACCCAATGTTTTACCTACTAGTCATCTTTTACTGTCATTAATATGACACCAATAAAAATCATTAAAAGTGATGCTAAAGGTAATAACTAGGTATGGTCTACTTGGTTTAAGTACACCTGAGTGCAGTGGAATGCAAGTGCACAACTAGCACAGTCATGTATGTACAGTCAACTCCGGTATCGGTTAGGTGGTCATCATAAAGCCAAGGCAATCAATGTTATGGGTCATTATTGTTCATGAGAATAACATACTATGTGCGTATAACATAATTTGAGGGTGCCTTGGAATCACACCTGAAGGGAACTTGATCCTACTGTTGGCCATAGTTCATGAGTTGCCAACTTTTGAATGATCTGCAGTCTCACATGAGCAAATCAAGTTTTTTTCAGTACCCAAGGTTGACAAAACAAGAAAGCATTTCAACCCATGGAATTGGGAGAGTGCGGCTCACTTTATAATTTATGGATACATATGACCTCTATCTCATCAACAAGAGATAACTATCCTTTCTGTACAACCAATATGACCATTCCTACACTGAAACTGGTACATGAAGATCAAAGTGAGAACATATCCTGGACCTAAATAGATTTATTTTAGTGTTAAAATGTCTTTGATAAATGTTTAAATAGAACACTTCTGAGGTAACAACATGTCAGTGAAATATGGGGGTGATCTCCGGTGCACAACAATAAGTGAGTGAGTATGGTTTTACGCCGCTTTTTTAAGCAATATTCCAGCAATATCACGTCGGGGAACACCAGAAATGGGCTTCACACATTGTACCCATGTGGGGAATCAAACCTGGGTCTTTGGTGTGACAAACAAACACTTTAACCACTAGGCTACCCCACTGCCCGACATGACAATAAAATATGATGGGATGACAATGTTCTTGTAGCAACTATTCAGTCCAGCGATGAACACAGTTGGAGTTGGTACATACGTAGTATAGTCGCATTCCTTCCTGAAAAAGAAAAGGTTAAACTAATTATTTGCTCTGTCAATAAAACGCATATGAACACTGGTTTACCACTCATAATCATCATCATCATTTAACATGGGTTAAACAGATGGGAACATGTAAACAAGTGGATTTACCTCAGCTTTAGTACTGTGAGACTGGAAAAACACAGACTCTTTGTGACCACACTTTGGGCATGGATGGTCTTCTGTGCGAGGGAGTGTTGGATCTGCAATGACGTCTCCTACAATTTGTGTCAGTTCACTGCAAGAGAGAAAACACTAATGCATCAGGCTTAGATCTAACTAGATAAATTGTACATAAAAAGTATTCACTGCTGTACACAATATGCTGTGCATCAATTTTCCAAAGGCAATATTTAGAACGATTTGCAATAATCCAGCTGACACCTACTCATGCTAGGTTTACCTTAACAAGCTTACAGCCTATCATGAGACACAATACTACAGCTGACTGAATAATACTATTACATTGGCTCTATATTACTTATATTAACCAGAAACATGAGTTGAACAAACTGGTTGATAACAACAATCTCTTGTTAGATGCCACAAGGAACATTCACAAAAAAACAGTCCTGCAACTGTATACATACATAGTGTGTGTGTGTGTATATATATATATATATATATATATAGAGAGAGGTAAGGTAAGAGAGAGAGAGAGAGAGAGAGAGAGAGAGAGAGAGAGAGAGAGAGAGAGAGAGAGACACACACACACACACACACACAGAGGTAATAACTGTAACTTTTAGTAATATTTAGGCAATAACATGTCAGTGAACTTCCCACAACCCCAGAATTTATCCAGCTTCTTTGTTTTGATGTCAAATAATTTTACCTCCCCTCCCTGCAATACATTAACAAGGATCTCAACGTAATGGTAATGAATTCACAACAAAAACAAGGACTAATATAGAATCTAAACGACACACAAATTCCTCCTGGCAGAGAAACCCTCCTGAGCCAAAACAATCAATCACATCAACATAAATTTGATATTTTTTTATCAACCATGTTTATTCTTGCATGTTCATTCACCTGAAGGGATGTGATATATTTCTTACTGCACATAATGCTTAGGTGCACACTGTAGTTGAGAAAAAAGATGTATCATTTTCACTCACTCGACTTCGTGCATGATCTTGTTGACGTAGATACACCGATTATCTGCTTCCTGCTGGTAGTCACAGTTCCGGCACTGTAACAACAACACTCTATCATGACCATACAGTATCAATCATTTCACAAAGAAGATAATTCTATGTATACATGATTTCTGTACTACAATGAATTTGACATTTTGTTATAGATACTAACACTGTCATCAAGAAAGTGAAATGGACCAAGTATCGTCACCAACAGTCATTGTAATAAAGGAGTTGTGTAAATAAAATGGGCTTCACACATTGTGCCTATGTGGGGAATTGGCGTGACAAACGAATGAACACTTTAACCACTAGGTTACGCCACCGCCCCAAACCTTCTTAAGAAATACATTACCTTCTAAATTATTAACCTCAGATATGTGTTCATACATGCTGTAGCGATTCACTCGCATGATATTCGAGTTGAATCGCTGGTGACTTCATGAATTCAATTCGTTATTAAGTGGTCACCAGAACCGAATATTAACGTATATTTATGAGGGTTTTTTAAAGATGATCATGTTTTACTTGAACCCTTATGTCCTTTCTAAAGTGAGATATGCAAGAATGGAACATGTACTAGCATTGCAGTCTGATTAGCAAGTCATGTTAGTTTGCCAAGACTGCACATGGTACTGTCGATTATAACTATTACATACCAAATTTGAGTGTCATGAGATCACTGGTTATTGCTGTGACAAATTAAACTGTCAACATTGTCTGACTTCCATACTGTATTCATCAATCAATTCGTTAACTACAATATTGTATATAAAATAATTATTACTATTCGTTAGGGAATATTCATGACCGACATGTATCATATTCGCCACATAGTGTATTCATTGCAGCCCTAATGTGTTCATACATGTAAATGTATATGAACATCCAAAACTTACTGCATAGAGAAGAACTCTGTTGTCTTTGTCTTCTTTTGGATACAACATGTTGTTGCTGAAATATAGGAATAGGAATCATTTAACCCACATTAAGTTAGTGGCCAAACATAAGATTAATTTTAAGAAGACTAGTAATCCTACATTATTGACAAAGACAGTGTCGTGGATGTCTAATTTTACTCTGAAGGAAACAAGTCAACAAATCTATATCATCGAGAACACTCACCATGTAAACTACACAAGTTCCTCCACAAGAGTACATTTGATTACTTATGGTATACAGACATTGACAAGGCAAAAAATATTATAAATATTCATTTCAAAGTTCTTAACTGAATTCTCTTTTACATTGTTGTTTGTTTCCATATCATTCTTAAAAATTGAGTCTGGCCAGGCACCCCAGTGGCTGATGTCAACTTTCTACATAATTGTTGTTCAGTCACATTATATGTCAAATATTGTAACCAACTAAGGTTTGAGTTAATTGGCACTAGTATCCTTACACAAATTTGTGTGCATGCATGCTTGTGTGTACGCAAATGTATCACTAAGTCATGATTGTTTATGTGTATGTGAATCACTTAAGTAAAAAGAATAATGAACACCAAAGGAGTTTTTACAATGTAAACAACTGGTTTGGTTTTCATTTTCATGTTTCACTTGCCCATTTGGATACAGGGGGTGCTATGACAAACTAACATGACTGTTTTGACTGAGCCACATTTCTTTTCAGAATGTGGATGTGCACTAAAAATAATGTTTTCACTGAAGAAGAAACAGTAAAACACTAGAGACTTTACAACATATCTGTCAGCCCAAGACACATCACGTACATTTCTGTAACCACTACTATTTAACATTTGACGGATACAGATAAACAAACAGTTTTTTACAATCACGTGATCTGATTTATACACAGATGATATCTTTTCACTGAGATGACTCTTTTCAAAATCTCTCAGGTCTTCTTGTAGTTTGTTCACAAGAACATTTGCACATCACAACTCAACAATAATCATACGTATTTTCCATATATTTACAGAGACATTACCATTCTTTACAAAATTTAATGCCAACGAAACCAGGGCCTGCATCGTGTGCTTCGAACAACGGGTCCATCGTTGATTCCGATCTGCGCAATAACAATCTGAAATGTTCGCCTTGCAAAATAAGCAAAACACACGCGAAAAGTACCCATAAGCTTTCTACAGTGTCGTCAATATAGAAAACACTTCGTCAAGCGAATCCTATATTCGCTGTTTGGAGAAATAAACCGGAAATGGAAACAACCTACTAGTTGTTGGCAACATATTGCACAAAGTCACAAAATAATTATTTGATAAACTTCTTAGCACCATTTGGTATCACAGTAATATACATAATTCCATTTATTTACATAAAACGTAAATTGCGGTTGGTTTGGTCAAATACATGGTAACAATAAGCAAGCTGATACCATCCATGAAGTGAACCCTTTAATGTGTCGTAAGTAAATATTACTTATGATGAACCGTAAACACATGTGCTCAGCAAAGATCTTGATTAAGAGAACTATTAGCTTGCATTTTACAGAATGAATCCCGGTTATGGATATAACACATTCGGCCAGTATGGGAATTCCAACCCTTACTCACAACAGAATGGCATGTTTAACCAACAATCGTGGAATCACGGAATGAACAGTCACCAGTTTCACCCAGGTCAGTTCCCCAGACCGCAGCCTGGACCTTGGCAATGTCCACCAAGAGGACCTCACGTACAAGGCCGAGGCACGACACAAGGGTTTAGACCGAGGTTCCAACAACGGTTTAGTAATCAGCATCAAAGACACAATAACCCACATCAGAATCCTCATAATGTGACAAAGACAGGTTTCCACAATAACATGCCAAACGACAAGAAGAAAAACAAAAAGGTATATCACAATTCCTATTTCCATTTCTGAAATGTATCGTTGGTCAAATTCAATTCACTTTTTCATATGAAAACTAAACTTTCAAGAGGAATTAGTAGCTGTTCACAAATAAACATGTTTTTAATTGACATAAGTATATCCTATGAGTTTATGTGTCATGATGTTGTTTGGATAGGATTTTTATAAATGGATATATGAATCAGACACTGCAATATTTTCAGTATAGTTAGCATGGACACAGTGTCTTGATATGGGGGTAACCGTATATTGCTTTAGCCATCAAACCTTCATCAAAAACATCGATTAATACCCTTGCTTTTAGCCACAGAGGAGATTCCTACCCATGTCTTTGCTGATACATGTACATCAGTTCTTCTTGTTTTCCACCTTGTACTTATGTATAATTACTATAAAATTTAACCATAACATAATACCTTCAAAACCAAACATGCCATAAACAGGAGAGCTAAACAGAGATGCCAACCCATATGATTTTACCGTATTCGGTATGAAAAAACAACACAAAATACACGACTATGATAGCAGTAAAAATATACGATTTTTAAAAACAACAACATTATATTAAATCATCAAATAGCATACGTACCATACACAATACATTTCGATCACATTTTATTCAGTATCAAGCTATATGTGGATACTTACTACAGATTTAGTTGAGTACAACGTTAATAACAAGGTCTTAGACTATATATTTAATTTTTTATTTAATATGAAAATTCTTTAGAAAAGTTAATACTAATTTTGTAATCACTTTTTGGCCAAAATACTAATTGGGCTAAATTAGGGTTGGCATCTCTGGCTATATGATCCACCAGTGTGTGGCGGCTGGTTTGTGGGATACATATATAACCAAGAACAGAGTTACTGATGGTCAGTTTTTCACCCCAATGAATTCACTGTATCTTTTTATTTTCTGATATTTTTCCAGAAGAGAATAGACAAGAGAGAACTTCCGGAAAACAACCAGTTCTTTTGTGACACATGTGACAGAGGATTTTGTTCTGATGAAAAGTACCAAGAACATGTTTTGCAACATGAAAAGGTTTGTTTTGTATAGCTGATAGTTTCTGATTCGAAATCAATTTCAAATAGTCAAAGATGAAGGTTATATACTAAATAAATAATGCCACTTTACATCATTTTGTAATTCTGATGCGTGACATCAAAACCTGTTTGTCATCAGTGGAATGTCGCTGCGTATGAACAGTGTTGAAAATATTTGACAATGTAACCTTGTGTCAAACTTGGATGTGTAAATATCCCAGTTGTCTTGAAGTCACCTTTCAGTTGATGCTAATTCCTTCAGATTCGACATCATTATGCTCATTTTTATTAGTTTTGTTTAAGAAAGTATATCATCAAAATGACACTACTTCTAGCTTGTTATAAGTGTCTGTATTAATCTGATAGTGCACGTGGTGGTTTATGCTGGATTAGAAGACCTAGATTCAAGCATGTACAAGGCCACTGTGGTAAAGCTGATTCAGAACTTGTTGACTTTCACCATGTTGACTCCCTCCATCACCAATAACATTTTGAGAACTTTTTTCTTAAAGACTTCTGATTTTAGAATGATGAACTGAATGTCTCATATGATGTACATTTTAGTGTTCAGATCCAGCCTGTTCATATGTGGCTGCCCCGAAGCTGGTCAAGCTCCACTTCCAGATGGTGAGACATTTTTGTATCAAGTTGAAACCGAAACAAAAGTACCAAGTAGAGCCCATCAAAATTATATAGCAAGCTGTCTGAATGTGGATATGAGTTGAGTGTCAGTTTTAGAACACAGCACAAGGACATAGATAGGGAATTTGCCTGGCCCATAGCAATACTTCTTACAACGTAGAAGGAGGTTTTAGTTTTAGATTAGGTGATCAGGATTGTTTGTGATGTAAAACAAATGTGAGAATATAAGGCCCCTGAGACATGAGGCAAACTAATTACCCAGTACCCCATGTTTGTCATGAAGGCTGGGTCAGTAGGGTAGCCTAGTGGTTAAAGCATTCACCTGTCACGATAAAAACCCGTGTTCAGTTTCCCGCATGGGTACAATGTGTGAAGCCCATTTCTGGTGTCCCCTGCTGGAATATTGCTAAAAATTGTTTGGTCCAGTTGAAAAGTGAACTTAGTTTTGGCACTTCCAACAAACCTCTTATGGTTGTGTGGGACTATTTGCCATTAGGAATAATGACCTTTGTAATAATCCAGTAGGTTGTTGAATGCCATTCTTTGCAGAATATGAGGTGAGTCTGACACTACTATATTGTGCTGAGAACCAGTAAACATCATGGACTAGTAGCATGATTAGGGCTCTAATTCTGAGCCAGTTTGCAATTTTTAATTTAGTAACAAATTGGAATTGAATAAATCTGACAGAATGCGTAAACATAGTAAACCCTCTTGTCATATTTAAGCAGAACTAGCTACTAAGTCTACAGCTAGTGAAATAAGGTTTACACTAGTCTCTTTTGACAAGCTGTGAAAACATATTGTTCTGATTTGTACAACGCCCAGGATGACAAACTGTCGCTATGTTGTTATGTCATGGATCTATTTTCATTGATATGTCAGACCTGTGAAGATAGGGGTTAGAATTGATCTTCAGTAATCCATACTTGTCGTAATAGGTGACTGATGGGATGGGACAGTCAGGTTTGCTGACTTGGTTGACACATGTCATCGTATCCCAATTGTGTAGATCAATGTTCATGCTGTTGATCACTGGATTGTCTGGTCCAGACTCGATTGTTTACAGAACGCTGCCATATAGCTGTGATATTGCTGAGTGTGGCATAAAATTAAACTATCTCACTCACTCATTGATACGTCGTGAAACTTGACACATACTCTGTTACTGCTTCAGACTGACTCTGGGTGATTCCACATGTATCTTTGAGGCCTTGGGTCACTGATTGAATCACTACAGGAAGTGTTTTGTCTATTTCAGCAACATCAAACAGGTCTTGCTCACAAGATATGGAAGCTTGAATCACCAGAAGACATCAAGAAATGGATTGATGAGAGAAAAAGGTAACAATGCAGCTGTTTGGTCTTGGTCACTGATATCACAAATATGTTCCCATATATAGCCGACAGATGACCCATGATTCTCATCAGAAGTGTCCTCAGTCTCTAATAATCTGCAGAAAAGTTTTGTGCAGAATTGCATCCGTATATGATATCTAATGTTTCTCTTCATGAATTTAGGGCAGTGGGGTAGCCTAGTGGTTAAAGTGTTCGCTTGTTATACCGAAGAACCAGGTTCGATTCCACACATGGGTACAATGTGTGAAGCCTGCTTCTGGTGTCCCCAGTCATGATATTGCTGGAATATTGCTAAAAACGGCTTATAACTAAAAAGTTAGCAGTTTGTCAGCACTGTGGGTGCATTTACCAGAGGATCAACTGAAATATGCTGTTCAATGTTGTGTTAAGCCCAACTTGTACACTCACTCACTTTCACTGTAAATGATCTTTTATGCATGCTTTAAACGTGTTCCAACAAATGACATTTCCATTACTGCAGGAATTTCCCAACAGCAGCCAACATAGAGAGGAAGAAGGCGATGGAGACGGAGAGAAGATCTCGAGGGGAGAGACTGGACACGAAGTATTTTGGGTTCGTCAAGTTTTAGTTCATTTGCACAGTTCGATCACCCAATCCCCTATTTTTTAGAAGGCAAAATGTACCTGATTCTTGTTCAGGGATGGTGGGTAGCTTAGTCAGTTTAAGCATGTGCTCGTCCATACACTGCTTATACTGAGTCTAACAAACCCTAGTAGAAGGTCGCGTCATCTAACCTTTGAGTGACCTATGACCGTCCAATCAAATCCGAACAGATTTAACGAATCAGAAAACGGCTACTGTTTAGGGTTCGGCAGGACTTACAAAATTCCCCGGTCACTGACACTGATCTCTCAACAGATGAAAATCCGATAAAACACAGATATTTTACCTGCAGTATATACGCTTAGGGCTTTCTGATGACATGGTTACCATTAGCTAATATTTCCGCATGCTGACATCCTTGAATATTGACAAAAATGCTATTTTCCTCAACTGTTTGCTCAATGTTGTGGCGTACTCCATGTGCATCACTCTGAAAGCGATCATACGGAAAATAGCATTTGGAATCGTTCGGGTACAAACTTTTTCGAGGTAAAAGTGCGAATGTCAACTTTTGAGATTTGGTAAGCTGTGTTCTGATTGGTCAATTGGATCGGTTAGCTGACACGACCTTCTACTAGGGTTTGTTAGACTCTGTATAAGCAGTGTAACAAATAATACTGAGCCTAAGTTTACTTAGGCAATGTGTGAAGAACATTTCTGGTACCCATCACTGTGATATTGCTGGAATTATTCCCAAAGTGTCGTTAAAACTCAATCACTCAAAAGTTAGAAAAAGAAACACAACCTCCTCCATATCCTGTTCTTAGATGAACTGAAAAAGGCAATATGCATAATATTTTGAGGAGCTTGACATGTGTTGCTTTGGGCCTTCCTCTCTACATCATGTACATGGTGAAAATAACTCTGCCATATTTCATAAATCTGTTACAGAAAGATGAAGGGTGGAAGGAACGGAAATAAATGGGGCAACAGGAAACGCCACTTCAATGATACTGAATCTGACATGCAACATTCCCCCACAAAAAAACCAAACATGGCAGAACAGACAGTATGTGTTGTTTTCCTCTACAGTTGTCTATGTTGTTTCATTATCCCCTGCCGCGGGTTTAGCTCGAAGCGGGGGATATAGTATTAGGCTCCGTCCGTACATACGTACGAATTGAAATATCTTAAGAACTGTTCACTAGATTCTTTTCCTATTTGGTACCTGGGTTCATCACACTATAAGAAAGGTCCAAGTCAGGTTTGGTGACGTTGACCTTCATTTCAAGGTCACAAGGGGACTTTCACGTTTTACCTGCATGTTAAGCTATCTCAAGAACCGTTCACTGGATTTTCTTCATATTCAATACCAAGCTTTATCTCGGGCAGGCGCAGGGCCCAGTCAATTTTGGTGACCTTCACATAAATTTCAAGGTCATGGCGACACTTTGAAGATTTCAGCATGTAAACCTGCATGTAAAGCTATCTCAAGAACCGTTCACTGGATTTTTTCCATATTCAACCCCAAGCTTTATCCAGGGAAAGCGCAGGGCCCAGTCAGTTCTGGTGACCTTCACTTAATTTTCAAGGTCACAGAGACACTTTGAAGATTTCAGCATGTTAAATTGCTTGTTAAGATAGTCAGCAAGATATCGCAAAAAATATTCAGTGGATTTTCTTCATATTTGACACCAAGCTTCATCTAGGGAAGGCCCAGGGCCCAGTCAGTTTTGCTGACCTTCACATAATTTGTAGGGTCACGATGACACTATGAAGATTTCAGAATGTTAACCTGAATTGTCAGCAAGATATTTTAAGAACGGTTCACTGGATTTCTTCATAGACTTTCAAAACCTCCCTTGAATGTTTTTCAATAAGCAATTTCTTTAGTACTAGTTTTGCATATTTCATACACTATGACATTCATGTCAAGGTCAAAGTCAGTCTTGAAAATTTGTGTGTGTTTGAACAACTAAAGAGCAAGATAATGTTTTTGTTGACATTTAACTTCATCTTAAACTTTCATTACTTTATAAGTTTGATTTGATAATTTGGTGTGGGGGATTATGTCACCTTAGTGACAATGCTTGTTGTCAAGTATGATGGGAGGAACACACTGCTTAGATTGTACACCTTGGTTCAAGTTGTCATGCTGTTCTTTAGCTGTCCTGAAGTGAATGTAGTCTATGTGTTTACATTTGCAGTTACACCCTTTGATTCATATGTCCTCTTCTATGATAGATACATATATTTCTTTCAGAGTGCCTTCATATTATTCTAATCGGACTGATTTTCTTTGTAAATGAAGCCTTTCCTCAGTGTAATATATTTTCCAGATACTAACAAACGGAAGCCTTAAGACTGAGGATCCTTTGGCAGCCGTTTTGATGCAGCCTCAATCTGAAACTTGCACTGACTCTATCCCTGATCAAATGAGTGTTGCTGGGGGGACTAGCGTCCCTCATGGCATCTTATGGAGCAGATTCAGAACCGGAGGAATTGCCAAACACATCATACATCAAGTCAAAACAAGGTTAGTCACAGAATGGATCATCTGCACATGTGATAATGCATTTCCTGTCATCCGTATGTCTATTTTCCTCTCTGATTCTCTGTAGCAGACAAAATGCAGGTGACAGATTTTGATCTCCCAGATTAAATTATTTACATGCTGAAGTCATGATGGTGGAATGATGCTCACATATGAATTGACTCAGCGTTCGAAATAATCGCCGGCCCAGAGGCCCTAGCTCCAGTTGTTATTGTATGGGGCCGGCAGTTTCAAATATCTGCAGGCCCATGTGGCCTTCGGTAAATTATCTGTCTTTTTTTTCAGCTTGTATCTTTCCCTTGGTTTTTTGGGGGGTGGCTTTGTTGGTTTTTGGTTTTCTTTATTAACGTTCAGGAATCATCCATCCATGATCCATCATGTTACGATAACTTATGGTTTAATGTCCTGGTATTTCAGCGCTTTGCGCATAGGAATGTCAACACCAGTCTTTACCAAATAAAAACGTCTCTCTGTGCCATAGGCTTCGCTAATTGATTTTGTAGAAACAGTGTGAAACTGTGTACAGTGTAGTCTATTTTGTTTTTATTGGTTTGACTTAAAATGGGCCTGCAGATTTCATTCAGGGCCTGTAGATTTTAAAGCCTGCAGCGGCAGCAGGCCCTGATGGCAAACTGGCAAATTGAAGTATTGCAAAACTGAATTGACTGCATAATTGTAAACATAACAAATCGTGGTATAACTCAAAGAGGGTTAGATCAAGGTGTGACAACCAGTTTTTGTATGACTTCCAAAGTGCAAAAAAGATATTAAAATCATTTTGTTATTAAGATGTAATTTGCAATATTGGCTTAACAAACTACTTTTTCAGATGTTTTGTCTTAAAATAAATTTAGACATTATTCAGCGGAATATTGGAACAAACAAACACATGCCCACTCATTCTATTATCAACAGAAGTCAGCAGAAATGGTAGTCAATTAGTGGGAAGGATGTGATTTTTGTTTAGTGTATAGTATAACCATTGCTACTCTTCACTAGACTCCTCAATGTACAAAATTGTTGAAATACTGACTAGGTTATCTCCCTTACATTTCCAATGGGTACTTTTACAGGCACATCTCCATCAAAATCTTGTGGCAACAACCAAAATAAGCCAGACAGTACCCAGAAGCCCATGTCAAATAGACAGAGGAAAAATCAGAAGAAACAAAATGGCAACTCGAAGATGCAGAATTCAAAACGTTCAACACTACTAGAACGGGTGAGTCAGACAGAGTATATAGTGCAGCTGTTCAACTCACTTTACCATGTGGGAGGTTCTTTAGGGGCAGTGCTGTAGGTACATGGTTAAAGCATGGGATTGTCACAAGATATGTCTGATTCTCTATAGGGTCCAGAGGGCAGGAGTTTGGTGGTTTGATTCTTGGCTGTACCATACCAAGATGTTAATAGATGGAGCTATTCGTAGCTTTGGCTGCTTGGGATTATAGGATTCAACTAGGACTCAGCTTGGAGTCAGTATACTGTGTGTGTGGATGGGATGTCCAAGTTAACAGGCATTGTATTACCAATTTAGTCCATACAAGTACAAACTGCCACTGTGGTGTGGTCTTGTGCATAGAGCTCAGGTCACAAATCAATGTTTGGTGCAGAGAATCCTTGGATGAGTGACCATGTTTGGCAGCTTGACTCCTGAGATTCTTTTTTATATATTCCTCCTTGGGGTACTTATAAGCATTTAAATGTCCATTTAAAATCCCTACGACAGTTGTAACAATATTTGAATAAAATATTTACAAAACAAAAACTACGTTTTGTCTTGTGAGACCACCCTTACAGGGCCCTCTGGCCCCCTACAGCCAAGAGCAGGTAACTCTAGACCGTAACCTCGCACCTCACTTTCCATGCTGTCGTTTCCCGACATAGACGTGGGTCCATTACAAGAAAGTTTTCTATTCCCGGCGAGAATTATGAGTGGGTCAGAAACAGCAATTGTATGTATGGTTCTCTTTTTTTGCATAGGCGATTTGAAGACTTGTTCTGAACTTTTTCATTCATAATTTTTAGTTGTAACTTGGTACCTGAATGCGTCGGCTCGCTCGCCGAGTGCATGCCAAGATGGCTGACCAGGTACCTTCGCTAGCATCACTGTTCATTGGTTTCCCGTGTGGTTTTTCAATGTTACAGGTGGGGTTAGTAATTTTACGTATATGTGGTTACATGTAGGGCGTTTTCCACTGCTTGCATTTTCTATCTTACGATATAAAAAGTCGTAGTTATGTCAGTGCGTATTATGGTTATTGTCAACTGTATGCTACGTTGTCGCATTAGTTGTGTCGCCCATGCGTGTTTTTTCATATATGTATGTGTGTATGGGGTTGATTGCTGCACAGGTTGTTTACTTGTTGCAGTTTAAATCCTGTACTTCGTGCCTTGCGGCCATTCCCGTCAAGGACACACATACGAGGTCTGCTTACGTTGCCTCACCCAAACTGACCATGAGGAAGAGGGGTGTGTGGCATGTGCCACTTTTACACCTCAAACGATTAGAGCACGACGAGCGGATCTGCTGTTCTACAGCAATCTGATGCTCGACCGGGAGATATTCGGGATTATCTCCCAGTTGTTCGGGTCGTTCCAGGTGGATCTGTTTGCGTCTGGGGTGACGAACCAGATTCCTGTGTTTTGCTCCCGGATTCCGGATCCGGGAGCGTTAGTCAACGACGCCTTTCAGCTCGATTGGACGGACAGGGTACTGTGGGCGTTCCCCCCGATACCACTGATTTCCAGGGTCCTGTCACAGCTGACCGCACAACCAGCTCGGCTACTTTTGCTTCTTTGGTCGGCACAACGCTGGTTTCCGGTAATTCTCAGGTTTCTGTTCTATTACCTTTTCGGCCGGACCTCCTATCCCAGAACGGAGCGCCCCACCAATCCCAGATTCAGTGGGTGGCCTGGCAGCTGTCAGGGATAGCCTCCGTCGAAGCGAATTCCTGCACCAGTTGCAGACACAATTCTGGCTTCAGGAGGGATTCGACAAGCGTTCAATATGAGGATAGATGGGCCTGTTATTCGCTGCTGGTGTCAACAGGGGATTCTTGATCCCTTTTCTACAGATTTAGTCTGTGTTTTAGAATTCCTCCAGTCTCGGTTGGGCGCCGGTCTAGCGGCTTCAGCGGTTCGAGGATATTCTACAGCTATTTCTGCGTTTCATATACCTGTTGACGGTGCTCTCTTGGGGCAGCACCCTCTGGTACAGCGCTTTTAGCGATGGCGTGGACAGAATCCGTCCGGTTGTCCGCGGATTAGTCCCCGTGGGACTTGTCAATCGTTCTTGATTGGCTGTCCGGTCCACTGTTTCACAATCTGTCGGCTCTTTCCTCCCACTGTTGACGTGGAAGACGGCGTTTCTTGTGGCGGTGACTTCAGGCAAGCGGGTTGGCGATATTCATGCAATGTCGGCCGATCCCGCTTACTGTATTTCACAAAGACAGAGTTAGCATACGGCTGCCTGATACTTACCGTCCTAAGAAGGATAGTCCCTTCCATGTGACGGCCTATTGAGCTCCCAGCTTTCCTCAGCCTTCCCTGTCCGGTACCTCTCTCACGACGTGCTCCGTCTTAGATGTCCGTAAGACACTTAAGGCTTATATCAAGCGAACAAGGGGTACCCGTAAAGGGTAACCAATTGTTTTGTTGTTATGGCGGGTTCAGGCTGGTCTTCCGGCGACCAAGCAAACCATTTCTCGTGGCTTGTCTCTGCCATACATATTAGCTATACTCAAACAGGCGTATCCGCCTGTTGGGTTGAAAGCTCATTCGGTTAGGGCAGTTGCTACATCGAAGCTTACGCTGCAGCCCTGCCCATTGAGGAGATCTGCTGCTCGGCTATTTGGAGCCGTCCGAATGCGTTCATCCGTCATTACCAACTTGACAAACTCTCCAGTGGCGTGCTCGATTCGGTCAGTCAGTTCTCTCCAGTGGGCATGGTTCCACCTCTCTAGCCGATTGAGCTTTAGAAAGTATGTGAACCATTCTATGCCAACTTTTTAACACTGGTGTTGGGTTTTAAAAATCTTGTTTACATATTCCCTTGGTGACGGGTTTTATGTGGTGATGGTTTTTATTCCCATGTCTTTTGCATTCTGCTCTAGACTTTACTGGCCTTGGAAGCTTTGCTAAATATATACATATTAAGGCATTTCGTTTCTGGCAGCTTATTGCGGGACCCTTATCTTCGCTTCCCGAGTAGATTACGGGAAGGAGGGAGGTGTGTCTCGTTAGTTTGCTTTAGCGAGGGTTTAGCTGGGCAATTTACATATGTTCGACCCTGACCCTGGTTCATGCCCCTGCCTGATTGGCTATGGTGGACACGTGACCGGTTAAGTGTGCTTTTTCTGCTATAATTAGCTTGGGAAATTCCACTTCTTGTCGGGGTGTTTTCTGCAGACAGAATGCGCTCCTTAGCTCCGATCTTTAGGAGTCTGTCTTATGCTTATAAGTACCCCAAGGAGGAATATATAAAAAAGAATCGAACTAACCTGTATAGGTTTCAGATTCTTTGAATATATTCCTCCTTCGGGTCGCCGCCCTACCTCCCCACATTCTGTCTGATGTCGTTCAGCATGGAAAGTGAGGTGCGAGGTTACGGTCTAGAGTTACCTGCTCTTGGCTGTAGGGGGCCAGAGGGCCCTGTAAGGGTGGTCTCACAAGACAAAACGTAGTTTTTGTTTTGTAAATATTTTATTCAAATATTGTTACAACTGTCGTAGGGATTTTAAATGGACATTTAAATGCTTATAAGTACCCCAAGGAGGAATATATTCAAAGAATCTGAAACCTATACAGGTTAGTTCGAATTTCTAGGGCTTCCCTCCTGCCCCACATCGAAGTACATGTGACACATGTGGTCTCACCTTAAGCAAGTGAGATAGTTCAAAATTGCCACTGTGCATCGTGAATGTGATGTTGACCCTGTCTCACATCACATTAAGTCATGTGGCAACAAACAGCAATATTTTTAAACTTATCCTATCTCATGGTATGCACCATCTCTCTCTTCTACGACCATGTGTGGAAACGTGCTGTCAGCTAAGTTGAGTCAAATCTAACTGTCCTCTGACCGCCCTGACCTCTGCCCCAACCCCGACATCAACGCCTGTCAATCATCCACCAAAGCGTGCAGCTCGCCCAAATGATCACATGACCACCTGGTGACGAAACCCTGCATCAAGTTGACTTCAATACAATTTATGTAGTCCATGTGTGCTTGTCACGGACATATCATGTCAAGTATTAAAGTCAACTTTTGAATGTAACCTAAATCTTGTATCATGCAACTAGGCCCATAATACTCAGATTTCAGTCTATATGGTCTAATTTATATAAACTTGTTTATTTTGGGAGAAATGCAGTCTTTTCCTCGATTAATCCCAGTGGAAGACTATTTTCAAGTCTTTATTGAAACTATATCTTCATTATTAGTCAATGTAGAACAATTAAAATCATATGTGACGGTAGCCACTAACGTCTGCTATCACATGTCCAGATTTGACTCATAAGATTAATGAATATTTTTTGGCTATATATTAAAACTTGATGCTTGAGAAACACAGTCTCTAAGTTTCAAGTATCATTTTCAATCTTTCTTGGTCAAGTCAGAGGTTGTCCCCTCTGACGTCCGGCAAGGCCCTATAAATTCCAAACCATTGTAGTTGGGGGTAGTTCCCACGGTGGACTCACACCAACTAGGACCTCTTGGAACGCTGGACACAGGAATATGTTGGTAAGTTCCTTGTAATCTTACCTTCAGTCTGGCGTTCCACTTATTACTTCATGTAATAGACTATTCCTGTCAGGGGTATTTTTATTATTACTGATTCTTCATGTCCATATAGGCTTAATAGGAGTTCAGCTCATTGATACATATTGCAACTTTAATTTTGGTTATTCAGGTCTACATGTATAGTCCTAATAAATGTATTAGCATTACAGTTGGGTTGTGCTCTTTTTCATATATATTATTTTATCTTAGTTCACTGGTGCGGTCATTATGGTGTCTCTAGACGACCACACATGGTTGAGCCAATGACCCTTAATGCATAGGTCATTACCGCTGCCAGCACCGTGACACACCTCTACCTGTCATTCTCTTTCTTGACGCTACGTTGTGTGGACGTGTGTTTGTCTATAAGAGAGTTTGATTGTGTTTCTACAATGGGAAAATCGAATCGTTATGGTTCTAATAAACGCAAACATTGCGATAACTGCAACAGTAATTTCTCAGCGGCAGACCCACATAACCTATGTGTTGACTGTTTAGGCCGGTGTGAATGGTCTAGATGTTGCACTTTGTGTGCAAATCGTGACAACGATGCGCTTTCAGAATATCGCCGGGTAGCTTGGAGACGCAAGTTTGACAGAGATTGTCGGAATCCATCTGAGGGTCTGAGTAGTAAACGTCCTAAGTTAGATCGCCGTTTGATATCTGCAGTACGATGTTCGAAGTCGAAGTTTCCTAATGAAGATTTCTTAGAGAGGTGTCTGATTCCTACCTCAGTGAAAATCTGCATCAACTCTTCCGTCCGCATTCTTATAGCCTCATTACTCTAGAAGATTCTTCACCACCACGAGTTGTTGTGTTATCTACGTCTGGTATTCATCCCGGCCGTCTTTGGTGGTGAATGTTCCTTTACGTTTCAGAGGTGGGGACTACTCACGCGGCGCTTTTTGTGATTCTTAACATTACATCACAAGTGACGTTTATTTCCAGTTCGACGCTTACATCAGGAGTTACCTCAGTTTAGAGCGCCGCTTGTCACTGATTCCACGTGTTTGCTCAGAGCGCCACTTACTTCCAGTTCGGCGCTTTTCTACCAGTGCGCCGCTTACTTTTGAAGCGACGCTTACATCAGAACAGTTATCTCACGATTAGGCTGCTTGTCCGCGGATCCCACGTGTTTGGTCAGGCGCCACTTACTTCCAGTTCGGCTCTTTTCTACCAGTGCGCCGCTTACTTTTGACGCCTCGCTTCCATCAGGACAGTTATCTACGATTAGAGCGCCGAATGTCACGGATCCCATATGTTTGGTCAGAGCGCCGCTTACTTCCAGTTCGGCGCTCTTGTTTGGTTCCGGTTCGACGCTTCCTCCCAGTTCGGCGCTTTTCCCAGTGTTCCCGGTTCGGCGCTTTTCCCAGTGTTCCTGGTTCGGCGCTTCCTCCCGAATCTGCGCTTCCTCCCAGTGTTCCTGGTTAGGCGCTTCCTCCCGGAGTTACTGGCTTGGCGCTTCCTCCTGGCGCTCCCAGTTCGGCGTTTCATCCTGGACTCCCGGTTCGGCGCTTACTCATATTGATGAGAATTGATTTTTCGCTACGATGACCGTGGAAAAGGATGTCACGCTGAGGACTGCGACAATGCCAATGCTAGGCCAGTGATAACTGTCAAGCTTTCCCCTTCCTCACAAGAGTCAAGCACGCTGATGTATAAGTTCTGCAATGGGAGTCGTAGATGAACTTGTAGCTCCACAAGAACCTTTATGTATTCAACACAATTGGTTATTTTACGGCGCTTCATTGAGACCGATGACTACAGTCTACAAGTAACAGCGTTAAGCAAGTATGAGCTTCAGCTGATCATCTGTATAAGATGACGATTACATTGTCTTCAGTGAAGAAGGAAACAATCACAACAGCCAGGGAGACAGTCTACTTACATTGGTATTACCTTCGGAATTCCTCGGTTACAGATGTGGAAGGTCAGCATCAGTTTGGTCCTTTGGTCCTGGCGCAGTTGTCATCAACCCGTGTTTGCAGATAAAGCAATCCTTTCTTGATCTGTTTGCTATGTACCTAATAGAAGATATCGATGTAATCCATATCTTGGTACTTTTTTTCTCTTGGGCTTAGATCATTCTCACCTATGGTAGTAGGGCGTGTCAGCACTGTCATAAGTTATGACTTGATAGACTGTGAGGCAAGTCTTGTGCAACATGCAGAGATGGTCGACATTCCGCTTACTGACCTCTACTCTTTGAGCAATCACGTCAGTGAAGTGTTGATTTCCGATTACCTGCGTGGTTTTCAAAGCGTTCTGCTCCTAAGTCCTTTCTCACCTTTGGTAAGTTAGGGAGATTGGTACTGAACATTAAACTAGTTGAGCAACCGGGCTATTCCTTCTTTCACCGCCTTCCAGCGTGTGTCTGTGGGGGATAGTTTCGAAGCAGGGACTGTCCAGATTAAGGTCCTCAACTTTAATTCACTGGGGTCACCTGATAAATCGCGGGGCGGCCGGGCCTACTTGCCAAACTGCGTCCTTTTGCTTGTCAAAAGTTGTGGCTGAAAACCACATTAATTCGGGAGCGCCCACTCCCTAGAGTTTTGTGCTGTGTAAGCCAAGGGGTTACCTGAAAAAAAACATCTCAAGTTTGGAGTTTGCATATCGGGAGTTGGTGCTTTCTCCTGGCCTCCTTGGGTTATGTGTTTTCCTGGTGGTAGTAACGGGGTAATCTGCAATCCACCTACCAACCGTGGGATTATGCATACTGTGAGATAGGATAAGTTTAAAAATTTGAAAATTTTATAATAAATTGTTTATTTATATACCGGTACTTATCCTATCTCACGCGATAGGACCCACCTGACCTGCCCCACATCACAGATTACTGGAAGCTCCAAAACGAGAATGACAGGTAGAGGTGGTCATGTGATCATTTGGGGAGCTGCACGCTTTGGTGGATGATTGACAGGCGTTGATGTCGGGGTGGGGGCAGAGGTCAGGGCGGGTCAGAGGACAGTTAGATTTGACTCAACTTAGCTGACAGCACGTTTCCACACATGGTCGTAGAAGAGAGAGATGGTACATACTGTGAGATAGGATAAGTATGTAAATATACAATTAAATAAAAAAAAATTTCAATTTCTGAGAAACCATGAGCACAGAATTTATCTTTGTCAGGATAAGTATCCAGTTATCAAAAATGTTTAGGTTTTACTAATATTCACACCTACAATGTTACAGTTGCTTGCAAAGGAGATCCGGCATGAGCGGAACGTCTTGCTTCAGTGTGTGCACTACATTGTCAAACAGAACTTCCTTGGTGTTGACCCGGAGGGAAAAAAGAACAATGTGGGCTCAAGATGACATTTTAGTAAAAATGCCGTTGAAATGGACAGTATGAGTTAGTTTCCTTGGACTATACATGATGAGGATGATGTTCACTCGTCATGTCTTAAATTTTAGTTTTGAAAACATTATGTCTTATCATTTTAACAGATCGTTACATTTCTTTGTTGTAATTTTCTGAAAAATACAAATATATGCAATGTTTTGATGTTTTTTATTCTCTGTTATTACGTTTGTGAAAGCAACAGTCATGATTTCTTCACAATGAATGCTGTCTGAAGCTACCAGAAAGCTGCATATATCAGGCTGTTCTACAAAGGGTGGATTTTCTGTTTTGCCTGTTTCGGGTAGTTTGTTTTTGTACATTTTAATATTTGGAGCCCAGTCATGCCAAAAATTGGTGCATCTATATTTTATTCATTTTGTATCTGCATGGGAATGTGAGAAACCTTTTGTTTTGGTTTTGTTTGGTTTTTGTTTAACGCAGCACTCATACTACTCCAACTATAAGATGGCACACTGTAAATAATCAAGTCTGGACCAGACAGTCCAGTGATCAACAATATGAGCATTGTCTACACAATTGGGCTACAATGACATTTGTGAAACAAGTCAGCGAGTCTGACCACCTGACCCAAGTAGTCACCTCCTATGACAAGCATGGGTTGCTGAAGACCAATTCTGACTTCTCCACAGGTGGAAGAAACCTTTGATCTTGGGTTCGAATCACTTGTAGCCCTGAATGGCCCCCACCATAACACTGAGTATGGCTTTAAACAACCAACCATCCAACCATTCGCTCACTTTATGTATGGAAAACATGCATAAAATCTACAGCACAAAGCACATGGCTATCCGACGTCATTAGCCAATCATATCATATGTACTGTACTTGCAAAGTTATCTCCTATCTATGAAACAGTGCTTAGTCAGCTTGAATAGATGGTTCTAATTTTATTCAAGGTCAGGTGACAGGTCAAGGTTTCACTAAGCTCACCAGAAGTGTGTCATGGCGACCCAGCATGGAGACTCAAATCAACTCCTGTCCCTCTGGTGTGTGTGTGTGCTCATCCTTGTTGACACTTGGCAGACCACTGTGATAAAGATCAAAGCCGTCTCATTAAACATGAACACCTGACCACTCATGCAACAAGTAAATGCAAGTGCAGCTGTTGTCTGTCAACAGCTGCGTAAGTATAAACACAAACTGGGCCTATTCTGGTGATCGAAACTGAATGTGAGACTGGTTATATGGAGCTGACTAACAGTGTCAGTGTGTGCAGGGGCATGAGCAGCAAAAGAAGAGACCTCTCAACAGACAGTCCAGTCACCTCAGAGCACCTGTGGGGGGTCTTGTTTGGGTCTAGGACAATTGCCACCTGGACAATTGAACACTTGATCTTCTCAGCACTTTAATCTTAAAGGTCACATGCAACGTAAAACACAACTTTGCAGATTCTGTTACCTTTCGGTATGGACTTACCGAAACAAATCATCAAAAATGCAAATTCAACTTATACAGTTGAAAAATAACGTGATGAAAAAAAACGCGCGAAATCATAGTTCAAACGATTCACGAATTTTCCCCCGGCGCTTGGGGGAATTGAAGTGGTTTCAACAGCTGGGATTGAGCATGAGCTCGTATTTACAAAACCCAACATCTCTATATATATACACACACAATGAGCCGTGAGGGAATCTGCAAATGAACCAGCTGTTACACTTGAGTGCACACCCACCCGCTCTGACTGGGTTCGGTATCCCGGCTGCTTCGTTTCTAGGGAAGTAAACCTAAGTACAAAATATTGCACTTTTGATTTGCGATTGTACGCTTATAATTTTGTTTATATGTTTTTTCATAACCAGCAATGTATATTATATGTCATGAATAAGTGATAATTGTGTTTTAATTATGTTTGCTATTTGGGTTGCATGTGACCTTTAAGTTTCCTTAGTGCTTTTAAAAACATTCGCTCAGTTATGTTTATTGTACTTTATTCTCAATAGACCACCAATGGTGGTATAAGAGTACATAATACACACATCAATTATTACATAGTCAAAATGGTGGCGGAGTATAAGAAATATATTGTAGAAAATCAGTTGTTGGTATTACGTGTCTAATATCTAACTTTGGTTATAGTAGAAAAGATAACATTTATAACATTGCTAGGTTTTTGTTAAAAGTTGATCAAGTTACATAAATTTCTGGGTGGCAATTGTCCACACTATTACAGTAAAAATAACTGGGTGGCAATTGGTTTGCCTCCATGCAAACACCCTGTGTAGGGGTGCATCCCATCCGGTTTGAGCATACATTACATTAATTTAGTTTCACAATGTTAATAATGTTTTTTATAAAGTATATATTTAGTAACAAAATACTGATGCACTGATATACATTTAGTGGTAATGCTGAACACATTGACAATTCACAAAATGTACTACTTTTCCAAACATTTGTGTCTTCACTTGACCATGGCGAAACTTGTTTACAATGATATAGTTGGACAGCTACATATATGGCATAAAACAACATGCATTCACAATTACATAACAACATGGATGGACAGTAAAACTGCTGACCAAGTCATTTACTCACACCGTCCACCAGTGATTTGCTTGGTCCAAGACTCGTAGCACTGCTGGTGATACAGGTGAGAATGTGAAAATCGGAAAATATCAACAGTTTCCGATCTTGTCTCAAAACCATCCTCTTCAAATGAGCATTCGACTAAACGCACATGAGCAGGACTCTGGATATGTAGCGCTATACAAATGTCTAATTTGATTTTTTTATTTGATTGGATGTTGCATGCACTAACATCCTAGTGTGGACCAATACCCACATTGCCATTGTCTGTGCAGGCCTGATTATTGTCAGGCTGTCGGCACACAGCTGGAAACTTGAGTTCTGCTTCAGACAGCAAACAAACTTGACCTCAGGATTACAATATTAGGATCTAAACTTCATATTTGACTCTTGTGAAAAAGATCTGAAAGTTTGCATCAAGTTATCATTGATAAAAAAGTTTCTATTTCAAACTGATATATGAGGTTTTTATTCCCAAAATGATGGGCAAAATTTGTAAGGCACACAGGTTTTTATTGGGACAGATTTAGTTAAACAAAATTTAAGTAGTCTGCAATAATGAAACAACAGTGATTTTCCAATGTAAGTGATAATTTAGTACTGTACTTAATTAGTAGGCTTCGCTGTGGACTACACAGTGACTTCCATCTTCCCTATAGACAATATTTTGTCCAGACAAGCCAACATCTTAAAAGTCCTCAAAGCATGGCTATTGGACACTAATGAGTTTGAGAATGACACATATCTGATTTATTTTCCTTTGAAATCAGTTTGTTTTGAAGTTAAAAAACAATTCAATTGTATTAATTCATTTTTATGTAATATAGATATTCATATCCCTCTGTGAGAGCACTAGTACAATTATTTTCAGGGGACAAAATGTCAGCTCACAGAAGTTAAAACTTAGTTTCAGACTGTTTATAATAAGGAGTAAATGATATTTAATTATTTCATCTTCAGTCCCCATAAAAAAACCAAAAAAAACATGCACTATACAGTACAGTTCGGAACTATTATGTGATCCACCTCAATTAACACGTAAGGCGACTTTATGAAGAAAAAAAAATCAGAAAAAAACATACTACGCTCGCATCTGGTTGCAATAATACAGTTTGAGTCATTCTCTCATGATGGCACCAAGTCGCCCTGTAGCCAACCAAAACAGTCTGTTTGAGCTCCTATCACCGCGCTATTATCTTCGTAATAAGATGGTACGTCAAGGGAACCCTACAGGTCGGTGCGTGGAGCTTGAGGTTTTGGAGCACCTGCACAGTTTGAGAGACGTGGAAGTTAATAACTGATTGACTGCTCTTGGGGAAACTGACCGTCAAAATGTCGACAGGTGAAAGTGCACGAAAATATGACATTGTAATCTTCGGTGCCACCGGGTTTACTGGTCAGTTTGTGGTAGACGAAGTGGCCCGAATAGCTGAAGAAGAGGGGGTGACATGGGCGGTAGCGGGGAGGAAGATGGACAGACTACAGAAAGTCCTGGAACAGTCCGGGCAGAGAACAGGTCAGCATTTCTGAATTTGTACGTTATCAGTGATATAGTGCAGTGACAGCTCACACACCACATCCACAAACAACACACACGTGTTTTGTGACGCACCGCCACCATCGGGATGTTTCAAATATTTTTGATTGCATTGATAACTCCACGAGATGCAAGACATCTGTAGTTTACGTTACTGGCTCTTAAACATGTTTTAGTGTTATTCCTGAGTCTTTTCTTCTTGTCTAGCCATGAATGTGAATGTATCTTCACGTGTTGCAATGCTTTAATAAACAATACAGGCTGTAACATTTACACATTAACATTTCAATCTATCATTGTTTTTAATTTTCAAATAAAAGTGCAGACCCAATTTTAAACAGCACAGTTGCTTTAATGACCTGTGAGTTTTATGCCATTTAATTCACAAAATAAATACAGAGCACATTTTTTCAGTCATGGTTTGACATCTTATGGCTTGTTAAGGATACATGTTAAAAGAGTTTAAGACCTTGAATGAGTCATCATCCATCATCACTTCCTGATGAAACATCTGTTTCCGTGGCTGTGACAGCTCACCATGTGCAGCGGCTCATGATGATAAATGTCTATGTACACTATATAGCCTTTGGTACGAATGATAAGCATGTGGACATGATAGGTATATTAGTGTTGGTAAGAAAAAAATGATGCTGGTGTGTTCTGTATATTTCTGGGGGAAGGAAATGTTATAATCTCTCCATCTGAAAATCCATCGTAACTACACCATAACAAAAGAGGACAGGAATTGTTTTAAAAGTTTGCTGGGTGTCTTCTTGGTCAGAAAAAATGCACAATGTAAGGGCTAACACTGTTGGAGCTGTTGCTACTTTGCAGGGGATCTCATTGAAACGGTTATTGATCAATATTCTGTTTAAGTTTAATGAGATTATTGTCATTAATGTTCCACCAGCAATCTTCATTGTTTTGTACTGGGATCATTCCAGAAATTAAACTTTATCAACTCAGATAATGTTTCAGTTCCACCAGGCTTCATGCAATAACTGGAAATATACAATACACTATGTTTGCTTGTCTCTGATAATTAATAGAAAGTGTTGATTTCTGAATCCCAAACTGGATTGTTTGAAAAATGTGTCATCAGTAATTTACACTTTGAAAAGTGTAATCATCATAATAAATACCCTATCCCCAATTAACTGCTCTTGTCGTTAATACCGTAATTGGCTGTATTGAGCATTCTGCTTCAGTAACTTCTTTCTAACTCTTTACAACAATCCGTACCTCATTTTCAAAAGTGACCCGGATTAATAGAGGGGTATAATCTGAAAAGTTACATTGTCTGAATTAATGTTTTTCAATACCATTTGATCTCTGAAAACCAATTTGATCCAAGTATGGTTATGATAGGTGCCTGTGTGTCAGTTTTCAAAGGGCACTTATAAAAGTAAATATTAGTGGTGGTCCGATTAATTGAAATAATCGAAGATTGGTCGCAGTGACTAAACGACCAAGCAACCGATCATGTTTTCTCATAATCGAAAACAAACAATTCTAGAACACTTGTTTTCATTAACAGTATTTTTCACTAGGGTGGTTTTGTCTGTTACATTTCATAAGCACTACAAGCTCGTTCCAAGTCATGATTGAATTTATCATAAAGACTCTAAGAAATTTATGTTCGATGATTGATCGGTTGTAATGAACCAATCATCAATTATGAGATTTTAACCAATTCCCAACACTAGTAAATATCGTACTAAGACGTGAATATTTGCAAACCTTTTGCTTCATCTAGTACCTCATTGATACGAATCATGGTTATCAACAGTGTATTAAATTCCTCCCTAAATCTGATGTACAGTTATCTCTAATACCTCCTGCTGTGACAACAAGTTAAGTTCAGTCATACAGTACACCATGTATATGTATGTCCATCTGTGATTCATGCCAGACTACTATTGGAGGCTGCCCACCAGTGGAACAATGGAATGCATCAGTCAGGCCTATTAGTAACACTGTCTGGTGTTAAAGTCTACATATTTCAACAATGTGTAAACTGACAATGCAGTATTTGCTATTTTAATGCAGACACATCTAGCTCCATCACTGTTTGATGAGTTTTACACATTCCTGTGTGGGCGTTTCAGCTTGCCTGGTGACTATATTCGGACATGTGAACCCTGTTTGACTCTAGGGTCAACCTAGCTCTTCACAATACCTTTCATGTTTAGGTTTTTGAAGTGATTAAGTGGTTAAGTTGGTTGCCTTGGTAATCAATTCAGGTCTGTCTCTTGAATTCAGGTACAGAACAGTTCTAATGATATGAGTGGTATACTCAGAATTAAGTCCTCAATACTATGGGTTAGAATTGATCTTCAGCAACCCATGCTTGTTGTAAGAGGCGACTAACACGGTAAGGTGGTCAGGTGCATTAACTTGGTTGGCACTTGTCATTGCATAGTTTGATACACGCTGTTGATCACTGGATTGTGTGGTCCAGACTTGGTTATTTACAGATTACTGTCATTTGGCTGGAAAATTGCTGAATAATGGTTAAACAGCAAACAAAACAACATCGTACAGTCAAATATTTGGAACACCTGGAATCACATGTTCACATTGATACTTGTACCACGAATGAGTGCAGCTGTAACATAAGATCCAACATTCAATTTGGTGAGAACTGTTGGACTAAAAAGTGCAGCTATGATCAGAATCACACATTTGAGTTTGCCAATAACTACCGTAAAAAAGTGCATCTGTTAACTCAGGATAACACATTTGAGTTTGCCATTAACTGTACCACCGAAAAGTGCAGCTGTAGCTTAGGATCACACTGAATACTATCTGTACTTTACTGAAAACTATCCTGTTGAAGTGCAGCTGTAACCTAGGATCTGTAACTGTAACCAGTGTTTAAAACTCCCAAAATGCCAAGCCAGACAGCCGGACTGGTAACTTTTGAAATTTACCAGTCCAAATACAAACTTGCCTGTTCGGTTTTCAACAATGAAAAACAATCAGGTTTCTGAATACTTTACTGTTTGTAGGCATCGCAATGAACAACATAGCACTAATAGGCAATGCACCCAGTTTAGGTAAACTGAAAGTACACGTGTTGTGATTGGTTATTGTAAAATGAACTGTCCAATCGTAAATAGTTTAACATAATTATCATAATACCTTAAACACCTCAAACTGACGACAAGAGAACCTGTCTGATATTATGAAATATTTACTGTTAGGGGTAAACACATCTATCAGACCACCGGACAGGCTACTTTTGAAATTTGACAGTCCGAGATGAAAATAGACCGTTCCGGACGGTCGGGCAGGCAGGAATCTTAAACGCTGCTGTAACTCAATATTAGGATCACACATTTGAGTTTGCTGAGAACTATCATGTTGAAGTGCAGCAATTGGTGTATTAGGATCTATTAAAATTATTGAAGTTATTGTCACATGTAATTCTGATACTAAGTGATTTATGAAAGCCCAGTATCAGTAGAATGGCATTTTTTACTTATTGTTGAAACCTTTGTATATGAAATGTGTATGTGGTCTTAAAATATTGTCAGTGTAATTTCTCCGACTTAATTATGTGCATTGTGTCCAAAATACTTTTATTGATCTACTCATGAGAGTTATTGGTTAATCAGTGTGTATTTACAGATAATGAGCATGTTGTGTAAGAAGTATTCAATAATGTTTCACATATTCCAGGACATTCAGTGAGCAATAAAATTTTCTCTTAACTGGTTCTGCATCATATGGATGGTCAGGCTTGCTGACTTGGTTGACTCATGTCCCAATTGTGTAGATCGATGTTCATGCTGATCACAGGATTGTCTGGTCCAGACTCATGTATTTACTGGCCACAGCCATTGCTCAGTGTGGTGTTAATCAATCAAACTGCATCATATAGGAAGGTTGAGTCTGAAAGACTTTACTATACATAATCTATGTATGAAGTCAAGGACAGTGGATGTGATTTGTTAGGTATCCTTGATATTTTCCAGATCTATTTTAATTTCTGTATTTTACTTCTATTTATAGAGAAGGGGCATCAAAGTTTTGTAAGAAACCTGACTCATAGCAGTAGCAGATGGACATGTAATGTATGGTATGGAGTAACATGGGCAAATCTTTGCTTCAAACTATGATGACTGGGTGGTATTCTGCAACCAAGTAACTGATTTGAATAATAGACACTTGGTAGATTTTCATTTGATATATATATATATATATATATACAAACAATAAAGTCAGAATTTCCAGAAATGAAATCTGAAGCAAGAAGAACTGTTGATACAAAAGTAAATTCTGCATGTTTTTTCTTCAGTTGTTAGTGAAGGCATAGATGTACTATGATTAGAATTCTAATTCAACTTAGTATGTTACACGAGTTCTGATTGGTCAATGCGATAAATTTCCGACCGTATGATCAGCATATACGGTTGCTATTTAAGAACCCACTTAACAAAAGTTTTGAATATAACCACATAAGGCCTAAAAAAAAAAGCTTGTAGTTCCGATTTCCCGACCGACCCTAAATATTCCCGCTGAGCCTAACAATTTTACTCACCACATAATAAATTAAATTTATTTTCTGACACCTGAGTAATGTAAAAATATTTTGCAAAAAAAACCAAACCCCTACCTACCTACCCTAGTTCTGAAATGTAGGAAATCGGAACCACAACATTTATTTTTGTTGGCCTAATAACTAAATTTTCGGCTATATAACCACCGGTAAACATCCCCAATTCATCAAACACAATACAGTTATCCCCTAAATCTCTGATAAAGTCCTGCCAAAGGATACCTGTGCGCTGCAGATTTGATCCATGGTAGTATGAGATCTATTTATCAGCTGTGAATGATGCAGTAGTTAGAGTTTGTCATTGGAAATGTAACACAAGGGCTGATCAATGTAGCGTGTTTGCATTATTTCATCAATGCGATGTTGCCCTAAGACTTACAATGCCTCGAGGGGTGGTGGGGTATTCTAGTGGTTAAAGCGTTGGCTCGTCACGCCGAAGACCCGGGTTCGAATCCCCACATGGGTACAATGAGTGAAGCCCATTTCTGGTGTCCCTCGCCGTGATATTGCTGGAATATTGCTAAAAGCGGCGTAAAACCAAACCCAGTCAGTCAGTCAGTACAATGCCTCGTGTTCTGTTGTTGTAAATGCTGTGACAATATACCGTTTTTCATGTCATTTTCCCTCATCTTCCATCAAGACAATTAATATTTCAGTGGATAACTAAACAAATAATGCTGTTTAAAACTAAGAATCACCTATAATGAGCAAGAGGGTAATGCGTGAGCTCTGCCTTTTCATGTCAACAGGGGCGGTGGGGTAGCATAGTGGTTAAAGCGTTGGCTCGTCACGCCGAAGACCCGGGTTCGATTCCCCACATGGGCACAATGTGTTAAGCCCATTTCTGGTGTCCCCTGCCGTGATATTGCTGGAATATTGCTAAAAGTGGCGTAAAACCAAACTCAGTCAGTCAGTCAATCATGTCAACAGCATAGTCAGGAACCAGACCTGCAGCAAGAAGTTGGACTGTTGTTCATTTATTTTCAAAATGAGAATTATCACCCTTTCTAACAAAATAATCACCTATTACTTATAACTTTCTTGTTAAAGTAGCCAGAGGTGTGGATTTTACATGAAATAATTTAATACATTTAACATATAGGTTGTTTCCCCAATAAGAAGTGATGTCATTTGACTGCAAGCAGTGCCATGAGATCAGGGTAGCAGATGATATTTGTATTGGACTTTGGAATTTTAGGTCGTGTTTTTCAGATCACAAGTAAGTCATCAGACTGTAAATGCTTTTAGGTGGCTACTTACAGTTGGAGGGAAGGTAGTAGTGATCTGGATGTAGTTTGTATATTTTTCCCCATCCAGAAGGAAATGGTATCAGCCAGGAAATGCATGGTGGTTTGGAATGATTTCAGGATCCTGCTGGAAATGACGGTGAAGTGTCTGCATCTGTTTTGAGAGTACTTGTAAACACTTTCCTAGGTATTTTGTAATTACCACAGATCATGCAGACTTCCAGTCATGTCTAGCAACCTCACGTCACCTAATTTACAGAAATGTGTGTTGACTTTTTGTCAAGGTTAATTCTGTAATGCTAGTTTCTGCCAGAGGGTTTTTGTGGATAGAACATCAGCCTGGTGATCAATAGGTTCCAACCAAGGTTCATACCATAAGCTGTTAAATATGGTGTTTGTTAGCGTGTTTGGTATTAAAGGGAGAAATAGACAGGAAGTCATGTACTGTGTCTGAATGGGGTATCATGATAAACTCCAAATATAAATTATTTGCATCCAAAGTAAATTAGGGGTAGTGGAGTAGCCTTTTGGTTAAAGTGTAAGTGCTCGTCATGCCGAAGACCCAAGTTCGATTCCCCACATGGGTGAAGCACATGTCTTGTGTTGTCCACCGTGACATTGCTGGAATATTGCTAAAAGCTGTGTAAAACTCAACTCAACACACCCAAACTATATTTTGTAGGAAGAATGAGGACTTTTTTTATGGATATACTTCTTGATTCTGTATAGGCGACGTTTCGACATAGATTCTAATGTCGTTGTCAAGCAAGTGGTGACGACGCTTGCTTGACAACGACATTAGAATTAATGTTGAAACGTCACCTATACAGAATAAAGAAGTTGTAAATCCATGAAAATAGTCCTCATTCTTCGTCTACCCAACTTCTTGAATGCCAATCAAAGAAGTATATTTTGTAGGATTGAATATGTAGTGTAAAACATTGAACATGAGATTTTTGTCTTAATTCATATCAGTTATGTATATATCATGTAAGTTGTTGGATATGAGCATGTCTATTGTGTTTGAATAGTGTTCTTTCATTTACCTGGTCTTCTTTACCCATTACGCATGTGTCCCAGTCATCCTATTTGGTGCTATGTTCTCGTCAGGATATGGCTGCAATATTGCCGATGTGACGTTAAATAATAACACACTCACTCACTCACTCCTATTTGGTGCAATTGGGTTTGCAGAGTTGCCTTCCATATATGCCAGTAATGGCTCAACATGGATTCGAATCCCTGTTAATACAATTATTTTCTGTGTTTGTTGGCAAATAACACATGCTTTCACTGAAGTGGTAAAAGTATTGTGACCTGCATCACTTAGGACCTTACTCCAATATTTTGCTGGCCCATGGAATATTGTTGAAGCTGAAATATAACTAACCCACACTCTTCTTTACAATTTTATGACCTTCCCGATCTGATATAATGTTCCCCACAAAGTCCCATGAGCTTGAAAGCCTTCTAATTGTCCCCCGCCGCAACGCGGAATAGGGGACTATGTATTCAGCGGCATCCGTCCGTCTGTACGTACGGCCCGATTCTTGTTAAAGCAATATCTCATGAACTGTTGTATCGAGACACCAGTCAATTTGGGTGACCTTGACCTTATTTTCAAGGTCACCACGACACTTTGACCACTTTTCAAACTGTTCTTAATGTGATATCTCATGCACTGTGGTCTCCAATATCTTCAAATTTGGTGACAGCCTACATTGGGGGATTACGATTACATCAGTTGATTTGGGTGACCTTGACCTTACTTCAAGGTCACCACGACACTGAAACATTGCATCCAATGTTTTCAAGTATTTTGACAGCCTACATTGGGTGATTATGCAGACACCAGTCATTTCAGGCATCTTGGATGTGACCAAAAATACAAAGTAGTAAATATAGATATTCCATTCTTTAGCGGCGGGGGACATTGCCATATCAGTGGCAAACACTTGTTCTGGCTTGTATTTATTCTCCATCACCTCATAACTACAGATTACTAAGAATGAGCAAATATGTTGCATCAGTTTTTTTCTGATCCACCATATAGGAAAAGAGATTTAGTTGGTAGCATCATCTGAAATCATGTAAACTAAAAATAGATAATTGGTCTCACAAAGGAAAATACTCATTTGTGTTTTCATTCTACCCTGTGAAACACAAAAAATACCACAATAAACATACAACAACCTGTGTTTTATTACTTTATTTGTTTTGGGAATCCTTTTCATTTTATAGATATATATTTGGACTAGAATTTCACACAAAATACTCAATACCTGTAAAACAGTTTGTGTCATTGTAATAATATGTTTTTGTAATATATATCTTATACTTGCTAATTTGGACATATCCATAAACTTTTCACCTAGAATTTGACACTGGGAATAATATCAATATTTAATGCCATCGATTGCAATATAGCATGCGGTAGAGATGTCAGCGTACCCAGATGAGGATCTCACTCCACACATTAGCTGATCAGTATTGATCTTTATCCGTCGCCCAGCTGGGTGATACAGATTATTACATCCCACCTAGGACCTCCCTTTTCTCTGAGATATGACAAATAGTCTCTCTATCACTATGTTGAAGGGGGTAAAGACATGGAAGCTACCACTGTCATGTTTAGACCCTGAAGCATAACTACTCAGTTTTTCTTTGTTAAATTTTGCACAGGTGTCCTTCAAGTTATGAACTGAGGCCTTAGGTTAGGAATTTTGGAAAATGATTTTTGGTTTTCACAACAAATCCACATCAGTGTACCATTTGTATTTCCTCACTTATCCATCAAGTGGTTAACTGCTGACTTTCAGGCATTTGGAGGATGTTTTTTGTCTTTTAATATTTTCTGATTCCCTTGACACATATGGAAAGCCCCTGATTAGCCAGTTATAATCACTCCTCCCTGTGATCTTACATTGTAATTAGTTCCAGAGTGAGCTGGCAAATCAATTTGGACTTGGTGTGATTGAACAAAGAGCCTTTGTGGTCGAGGGCTTAATCTTCCACATCAATAGAACATACCATGTGCAGGGATACCAGTATTTCATACATAATGATTTATTACTCTGTTACTTTAATTACCAACATATGAAATATTTATGACCACACCATGCCAGAAATGAAAGTGTTCTGTATTATCGCCTATAATCATATTCATTGTGGCTCTTTGTTTACTTTCAAAGCAGAGAATAAACATGACAATAATTCATGGTAATCATTCATATCAACAAGCCATGCTATTAGTACGGCCATAATGAAGTATGTTACTAGTTATCACCAGGTGGTTAATGATTTTGTCAATATTTTGTAAACCAGGAAAATGCTTAGAATAAATCCTTGACCCTTGTTTACGCAGAAAATCCATGCTAGGTCAGACTGACCCAGGCAGTGAAGTGAGCCTGCCTGCCTGCCTGTCTGTCTGTTGCAATTCATTGTGGCTTGAGGTCAAAATGACCTGAAAAAAATGTCTGCCTCTCAGTATTGGTTCTATTTGTGCTTCTATTTCAAAGTACGATTATTAAAGAACCAGATTTTCTTCTTCATTTTATGAAGTATTTTTATTGTAGAAATAACAAATGCAAATCACTAGAGGATATGTTATTACTGAAATACTGGTTGTAATTGTATTGTGGTTGACAGACATAATCCCAAACTGTCATTGGTTTAATGGTATGTGGGGCGATGGGGTAGCTTAGTGGTTAAAGTGTTTGCTTGTCATGCCAATGAACTGGGTTCAATTCCCCACATGGGTACAATGTGTGAAGCCCATTTCTGGTGTCCCCTGACATGATATTGCTGGAATATTGCTAAAAGCAGTGTAAAACTAAACTCACTCACTCATTTATTGGTATATGGGAGAATATGATAACTTGTGTTGTATTTGCCAGCACACAGCCGCTGTGACTGAGTGGACACGGTAGACCACGGCATCTTAATCTCCATCCTTGAACGTAGAATCAGGGTCACTGGTCTAGCGTTAAAGTGGATCAGATCGTACTTATCAAACCGACTTCAGTCAGTGTGTATTAATGGAACAATTTCGGAGAAGGAAGAACTTCAATTTGGAGTGCCTCAAGGGTCAGTCCTCGGTCCGATTCTGTTTGTCATTTATACATCACCACTTGGAGACATAGCCCGATCACACAACCTTGCTTTTCACTTGTACGCAGATCGATACCCAACTCTACCTAGGTTTCAAGCCTCTGCAGTCGTCATCCTGCGATGCAGCATGTTCGACAATTCAAAATTGTATTGCTGATATCCAAAATGGATGACCAGACATTTCCTGAAGCTGAATCAAGACAAAACAGAAATGCTCATTCTCTGTTCAAGTTCAACCACGACAAAGGTTGTCTTCAATAAGACTTCGAAATTAATGAGTGTATCATTGAACCCACTGATCATGCTGCGCCGCAATCTTGGGGTGATGTTGACAGCACTATTAGCCTTGAAAAGCACGTCAATAAAATGTGCAAGAATGCCTACTATTTCATCCATAACATAGGCTTAATCAGGAAGTACATCAACCAGCAAACTGCTGCAACATTGATGCAAGCATATGTAGTATCTCGGTTGGACTATTGCAATGCTCTGCTGCAGGGGATTCCAGAATATCTTCTGAGCAAGTTACAGAGAGTCAGAACTCAGCTGCCCGAGTTGTGACACGCACAAAGAAGACAGAGCATATAACACCTGTTCTGATCACATTGCACTGGTTACCCATCCGACAACGTATCCATCACAAAATATTGATACTGATGTTCAAAGCCTTGCACAACATGGCACCAGTTTATCTCTCAGACCTTGTGCAAGAATATCAACCAACCGCGCCATCTGAGGTCATCACAACAACACATGTGCCAGACTGTAGTCAGCCGGACCAAGACATTTGGTGAACGGTCTTTTCAGGTTGCCGGCCCAGCTTTGTGGAACAAATTACCCCTCTCTCTTCGATCAGTACAGACATTCAATATTTTCAAATCCAGATTAAAAACTCACTTGTTCAGCATTGCATACTGAGTTCAGCAGCGCTCTTGAGCAGTCTTCTGAAGACTGGATATTAGCGCTATATAAATGTATATAAATGTAAATGTAAATGATTAGAGCGCTGACTTTGTGTGCTAACGATTAGGTGCCTGACCCTGAAATGTGGGTTCGAATCCCATATGGGACTCGGCCTAAAAATAGTACTAGAATTTGTACTTGACTGAAAAAGTGTAATCCCAAGTGTAACTTATGTAATATTTTTGTGCATCCATGACACCTTTGGTCGATTCTACGTATATTTTTCAGCAAGCCAGTGTAGCGTCTTAGATATGACATTTAAACGAGCCACAATCCTGTTTACATCTATATGTAACATTTGATAACATTTAAAGGCACTGTGTATTCATCCTTCCAGTTAGATAAGCAATGACACCAGTGCCAAGTGTATGTAACATAAGTTACATTTGACCATTCTCTAAACAGCATTGTGTATTCGTATGGTAGCTTGTACTGCACCGAGTTATTTCATCATTAGACACATATACACAATTATTTGAGTCGTATGCTATCAGTTCCAGTCTAGGGGATATGTTATGGTTTTATTTTGTTCTGACAGCATCCAGTTTGGAAATGATGTTGTAAAATACAGTCAGACCTCGTTTATCCGAACTTCAGATATCCGAATACCTCGGTTTCGAACATTCTTCACAAAAATCGAAATTTTCTAGTTACAATTTACCTCGTATATCCGAATGTTCGGTTTCCGTATCCGAACGGGCAATTTTGGTAACGTAACAACAAAATATGTACAAATTTGCCTCGTATATCCGAACACCAAGGCTGTCGTCGGCAAGATATCTGATGTTTACCGCTCCTCAACAGTGCTATCATGTCTACTGCTTGTCAAAACATTGTGCTGGCTGCTAGTTAATTCATTGTTTATTGAATATTTATCACAGGGCATGTAGGTTAATTAGAGAAGAAACAATTAAAGTTTGACATTGAGTTGACACTGATTCGAATTGTTGATTGAGTAAGCGTAAATAAAGATAGAGGTGTATGCTAGATAAAGAAACAACACAAAGGCGTGGATGACAGCAGAGCTGTTTTGTGATTGGCTGCTGTCTTTTGATCGACAGATGAGGTCACGTGTAAGGCGGGTCATTTTGCTTGTTGACAATGCAGCTTGTCACAACTGTAAAAATCTGAAACAGTCCATTTCCTGCCACCCAACACAACCGCACACATTCAACCAATGGATGCAATGGATTTGAAAATGTCGGCGACCTCACAAGCCTGGAGCTGTTGTTAAAAATCCAAGCAGCGAATAACAACTTTGTCCGTCAACAATCATCAATCAAAGACTTTTTCAAGCCGATGTAATTTATGTTATGTTATGTTATGCAAGATGTTATGTTAAGTAAAGATGTAGTTATGTTTCAATGTTATTTTTAGTTGTTTTGTTTTCATGTGTAGCCGAAGGGGCGGTGGGGTAGCCTAGTGGTGAAGGCGTTCGCTCGTCACGCCAAAGACTCGGGTTTCGATTCCCCACATGGGTACAATGTGAGAAGCCCATTTCTGGTGTCCCCCGCCGTGATATTGCTGGAATATTGCTAAAAGCGGCGTAAAACCAAACTCACTCACTCACTCACTCACTCACTCACTCATGGGTAGCCGACCGCCTAGGTCCTGATTCAGATATCCGAAGGATTCGTTTGTCCGAACAATTCAATAAAAAACCAAAGTGTTCGGATAAACGAGGTCTGACTGTACTGTTTTATAATTATATTTTTTGTTAGTGACATGACACATAGTTTCTCTACAATCAGAACGTGTGTGTGTGTGTGTTTTTGTAGAAATAGGAGCATGATTGTGTATCAGTGATTGAAAACCAGTTTGCAGGCACCCTTCCGTAAAATAGCACATGTAATAGAATTAAAAATCCTTTCCTATCCAGTGTTCATGGGCAACCTAGTTCTTTTTTGCACAGGCAACACAGATGTGAAGAAATGTTATTAATAATTAATTTGTCAATTTAGTTAATTCTGCTCCTTTTCAACAAAATAGAAATTATAATTATCATAATAATACTTGAAATATCACAATGTCATGAAAAATGTGACTGCAGTAACTGGGAATAACGGATAGATTTCAGCGTGATAGTATTATTATACCGTGTATCATCTGCCATCCAGCAATGTATTCTTGATCAGTCTTCACTGATGCAGATGCAGCCATGATCATATGCGATTCTGGTTGCAGTATTACAACTTTCAGTCAATTTTTTAACCCTGTTTGCAGGAAAGACTTTGGAGGACACGCCCATCATTATAGCTGACTCGAGTGCGGAGCAGTCAATCTTGGACATGTGTAAACAGGCCAGAGTCGTGCTGAACTGCGTGGGACCGGTAAGGCCTCAACTACACTGATCCTACTTCATAGTAATGCTGAAACATTTCATTGTTGCACAACTCGGAGGACATCAACTGGAACGAACGCTAATGTTTGTTTAGAATTAATATGAAAATGAAAATCTTCGGCATTCTAGACAATGTGATAAATGAGCTGTTTCAGCTAATACGGAACTTGCAAACACTCTTCCAGCCAATCTTTGGTGTTCTTCATGAAAAAACAGGGTTGTTGGGGTAGCATAGTGGTTAAAGCGTTTGCTCGTCATGCCAAAACCCCGGGTTTGATTCCCTACATGGGTACATTGTGTGAAGCCCATTTCTGGTGTCCCCCAGTGTGATATTGCTGGAATATTGCAATAAGAGGCCTAAAACTTAACACTCACACACTCTATGGGATGTTTGCCGTGGCAGCAGGAGGCCAATGGTTGTATCCCCCAGCATGTCATACGAAAAGAGGTCAAAAGTTGACACTAGTTGTCACCCTGCCTCGCATTCAGCGTTAATTGGGATAAGACAAGGAATGATCAGTTCAGTCAGTATATTTTTGTGACCATTATAAATCATATCTTTCTTCACAAACCTATAATTTGTCCAGACAAGCAGCGATGAACGCATGCATGTGTAACACATCCATCAATAATCTGAACAACACTAGACCCCATTTCCCCTCACATGCGGACAAGTCAGTATGTAAGTGTAATTAAGACTTTAAACCAATCTTATTTCACCTTGGGTAGAAAGGGTACCTGTGTTAAGAACTAACTGAAATGAAGATAAGATTGTTGTAAGGTGTTACGTAACTGGCTATGAAACTTCACCATTTCAATGGGTGGTGGGGTAGCCCAATGGTTAAAGCATCAGCTCATCACACTGAAGACCCGGGTTAGATTCCCCACATGTGTGCAATATGTGAAGCCCATTTCTAGTGTCCCCCGCCATGATATTACTGGAATATAGTTAAAAGCGGCGTAAAACCATACTCACTCATCATTTTAAGTTTGTCTAAATGTTTTTCCAGACTCGATTATTTACCAACTGTTGAGGTGTGACTGGAATATTATCAAGTGAGGCATTTAACTATATTAGCTTTCACGCATGGATGTCAATGTTTCATCAGTTGTGTCTATGTAATGGGATATTAGCAAGTATTTTGAGAAACGATTTAAATGTGTAGTGACAGTTCGACTGTATTGTATTAAATTGCATTGTATTTCAAGTTACTTTACATTACAATATTGGCAGAAAGGCCACAAAAATCAAATTAATTAAACACAGCAATGTCAGTATTGGGAGTCATTTGAGAGGAGTACTTTCACAACAATTCATTGTTGGATGGTTGAAGAACCGCATGCTACTGTTATGTGCAAAATTGTTTCAGTAATGTACATGATTATATAGTGACATGTTGCTGACTTTCTCATATTTTTATGTGACTTTGTGTGTTATCAAACCAGTAATTGGACATGCGTTCAACATTTGATTAATCAAGGCAGCACAAGGTAGTTGGGGTTTATAATGGCTTGAAGAGGAAAGTTGACATTGTAATATTTACAAATATTGATAGACCATTCTGTTGACAGTAATTGTTTGTTAACTTCCTGTGATGGTGGGTACCATGTTTGTATGCGTGGTATGGAATAATATTTTTAATTTTGGTTTCAATTTGATACCATTTCAAGTAGGAAAAATCCCAGTTCATTGACATGACGAAATTAGATAGTGTCTTTCCATGCTACAAATAGCATACCATTAGGTCATGTATCGATATATAACAATACAGGTATATACAAGGGTGAATAATCGCCTGCGGTACAGTAGGTCATGTATCAATACAAAACAATACAAGTATATACAGTGAATACACATTGCCTTATAGAAAGTGTTCCAATGTAACATGTGTTATATATGGATCATATTTTCTCAGTTAAGTACAGATTCGCGTACCTTTTGGGGTTATAGAGTTCGTTTCGTGATTAGAACCCACACTCTCAAGAGTCGGGAACCGTATCGTCAGCACACAATGTCAGCCATATGACATTCAGCCTCCACTGCTTCCACAAAAGTACATAACGTCTTTTACAAGTATATACAGCGTTGAAAGTATATAAATAGTAGACCATGTAGTAATTACCAGGCAAGAAACAATAGAAGTATATATAAGGGTGAAATATATATAAGAAGCTATAGCAAGTCATGTATCAGTCCAAAACAATGCAAATATATATATTCAAGGGTGAATATATACAAATAGTGTATTGCTAAGTGTTATGTACAAGGATGAAAGTACACAAATAGTATGTTCATTGTCCATATATGGATGCAAACAACTCGTCTATAGAGTGAGTGAGTGAATATATACAAATAGTGTATTGCTAAGTGTTATGTACAAGGATGAAAGTACACAAATAGTATGTTCATTGTCCATATATTGATACAAACAACTCGTCTATAGAAGGGTGAATATATACAAATAGTGTATTGGGGTAGATATAGACATGTTGTTTGCATTGACTATATAGATCATGTGTACACTTATATTCCATATATATCTCATGTACATTTAGATCCCATTACATGTGCTATGCATAAAGCTAGCTTATGTGTTATCTAATAATGTAATTTTTCCTTATCCTGACTCATGACGAACAAAAGATCATGAGTCAGGATAAGTAAAAATATCGATTTTACTTAAAAAATTACATTGTTTCATAGTTTCTGTAAATCATTTATGTTCCAGTACCGTTTCCATGGCAACCAGGTGGTGAGAGCTTGTATCGAGGGAGGAGCAAGCCACATTGACATAAGTGGAGAACCCCAGGTATATATGGAACCATGTAATTAACAGCAATGAATAGGTTTTTAGGTTTGATTGGAATTTCATCAATGTGCCTGCATTAGGAATGTGTGAATTGCAGACTTCACAGAAATACATTGTAAGAGTAATGGCAAGGGAATTACACTGAGCAATATAATATAGACATGATACAGGAGATACAAATACAGTAGTGGGGGTGTCAAGGGAATTCAGTGCCAGTAGTACATTTACAGGTACACATGAGGCCACAAATATCATTCACTCTCACACTCTAGATATGCCTGTCCTGGAAGCTTCAGAAGAGATGCCTAGATATAGTAGCATTTGTGTAATAGGAATGTGTAAATATTGTATTTGCACTTGTTGAGGTACATATGCCAGGCTAATTAGCTGGTTCGGAATCTAGATGTCCTCAGCATCATACAGCTGCAGCCTCAAGACATTTGGGCATGTTTCTGGTGGTAAACCACTGCTGAAGACATGAGCACATTCTTCTTGTGATGTGGTTGTAGTGTACAATATTGAAAAAAAATGTAGATATGTTTCAGATGGCTTGATCAAACAATGTTCACAAGAGACAAAAATTGGAGATACATGCTGGGCTGTTTTTAGAAATTTAATTCTAATTTAAAAGTTTGAAAATCATTTTTGCAGATATTATTTAACTGTTGGGTCCAAAACAATATTTGATGATTAGGGACATATCATGTTATTTAAGTTAACCACTTAAATCATGACAGATAAACTGTTTTTAGTAGTGTATCAAGAATTTCTCTACACCTGCTATGGGGGAATATTAGGCCCCGACTGAGCCACAAATGACATTTAAAAAATTGAGTTTCAAATTTCTGGGTTTTTTATAATACATGAACATAAAATCATTGCCATAACTCAATTTAAAAACAAAACATAACCTTTTTTTTCTTCCCCACTCTCCATCTCTCTCTCTCTCCTTAAGGGTACTTTGTTTGAAATCCTATACAAAAGCATGTATATTAAAAAAATGGGACTGTTTCTTTCTGTTGCTGAGATTGTTGTCGTCAACAGTTGTATATCACGACAGTCTGTAAGCTGCACTACATCAATCATCTGGTAGTTACAGGACGTGCCCAGACCGGTGTGTTTCTCGGAATGTATGGTTCGCTGCTTGTCTTGTGTAGCACACACTGGCTGCTGTGACACGGCTCTGATAATCTGGTGCTGTGTTAAATGAGATTCACTCGCATACTCAGTACTATGAACACAAACAAGGAAATAGATGATGCTGTATATATAAGATATATTTACATGTAACACATTATGTTAGCTAATGGAAATCTTATGTTCACTAATGTAGCCTACTGGTTAAATTATTTGATTATTTCACTAAAGGACTCACTCAATAGCCCACAAGCTTGCCCATTTTTTAAGATAAGGTCTTAAACCATTGCAATAGTGCTAATTCATGGTTGAAGGTTGCTAATGATTTCAAAGTATTATGTTTTTTTATCTTGGCAGAATCGTTGGGTCCAAAATCCTTGTAGATCACTAACCAGTGAAGACAAGCTTTATTTGTGGATTTTAGTGTCGCCATTCTTTCAGTGCAATATTTGGTAAAGGCGCTAGGCAAAATTTAGCTGCTGTACCGAAACTTAGTACAGCAGGATTAAATCTGTTGAAGTTCATATGTCAATTCTCTCTCCTTCAATACTACAGCTACCAAAATGCCACGTGAAGATGTAGTTCATGTATCACTTGATCCTGCCTCTTTGTTCCAGTTCCTTGAGAACATGCAGCTGTTGTACAACACCAAGGCTAAGGAGGCCGGCATCTACATCGTGGGCAGCTGTGGTTTCGACAGCATCCCTGCAGACCTAGGCATTGTCTTCCTGAAATCTAAGTTTCAGGGTATGTTCTGGGGTAACCTAGTGATTAACGCGTTTACTCGTTACAGCAAAGGACTGAGTTTGATCCCCACATTGGCACAATGTGTGTCCCCCGCGTGTTAGTGCTGGAATATTGCTAAAAGGGACATAAAACCAAAATCTCTCACTCTGAACTTAAGATCGAAGTGTTGAAGGGATATCTGTCCTGTGTAGTCAACTAAGTTACAGAGCGGAATACACAGCCAGTCAGCATTGCATCAGTAACACTACACTTGTATAAATGTATTTGTCAATGGTTTCATTTATTTGTAAGCGGCATATCTAGTGTTTTAAATGTTTGGCATATTGTGGAATTTAAGAGTATTTATAGTCATTGTAATGTGGAGCTCAGGAACATATTTCTCCGCTATGACTACACACCAGGAGGATCAAATATCAGATGTTTTCGTCTGTTTCAGGTGATTTGAATTCTGTGGAGTGTTATGTCAGCTTGAAATCAGGACCAGAGGTAGGTGATGAAAGCTGGTAATGTATGATGGAACAATATATATGTGTATAAGCTAAAACATTGATGGATGTTACATATGTTCCTACAGTTTGACATTTGATGTTTACACATGTCTTCACCATCGATAGCTTGTCATAAGAGGTGATACATGGGGTCAGGCTCACTGACTGGGTCATCCTTTACCATCTTGACAGGGTGATCAGAGTTATCTCCCATGGTCCACTGGACTATTTGAAACTGCCATTGTCACATTCATTGGAGGTTGATTTAGGATGAACTGGATGATTTGCCCCTTTCTAAGCTTCATATCTGTTTGAACCTGTACATCTTTCTAGGGAGCTGCAATTAACTATGCGACTTACGAGTCCGCCGTCCATGGCTTTGCACACCAAGGGGAGCTGCCTGACATCAGGAAGCAACTGTTTCCCAGCCCCTTGCCACGCAGTAAACACAAGGCCCCAAGAAGGTCAGAAACCATGGCAACAACTGCCATACATGTTTATATTGTTCACTGTTTGAAGTTGGATATGTAAATTGTTACTGTTGTGTGTGTTTTCTAGAATTATACAGTGAAGCCTCGTTAATCCGGACGGTTCGTTTCTCAGTAAATTAGTCCGGATTAGAATAGTCGGACTACTGAATCAAGACCCAAGTTGCTTCCCTAACTATTACAAAAAGCGACACGAATCTGGATAAAACAAATAAGCATTTAATGTAAAGCTTAATTCATCACATCAATAATTTTACCGAGTGACATCCATGTTGATCCGGCGTGTCTGATCCGTCCTTCCTCAGCACAGGTGAGGTAATGTCTAACAAGCGATCTATTGTAGTATGCCTTGAATGTCGAATTATTCCTGCATCCATCGGTTGAATATGAGGCGTGGTATTTGGTCACATTTAGCAAAGTTAGCGAAGCACACTTGTGACTTGCAGCATTGTCGTAAAACAAAATCACTTTAAGTCCGCGTGACTGCATCTGTCTGTCAAAGTACATTAACCAATCACAAAACAGCTCACTTGTCATCCGCCTTTGTATTGTGGTGTCAATCAAAGTGTAAATGTACAGTATCTTCAGTCGGGGAGCTTTTAATGTCTAATTAAAACAACAACCCAGTTGGCCAGTTAATTAAGTAAACATCGCGCGGGGAGGTGTTGTTACGGTTAAGTGAACCACGACTTACAGCGTCGGACTGTGAAGCAATTTACTGTTTATTTTACTGATTGGTGACAGCTACTTACCGTCGGTTCGAGCGAATTTCCGAATTTCGGATTATCGAGGCAAATTATATAGGCATAGATTGGTAACAAGCTGAAATCGCCGGGCCCGAGACATCCGGATTATCCTTGAGTCGGACTAGCGAGGCTTCACTGTACTTGGGAGTGATAAGTCAGTTGTAACCAGAACACAAAGATACAATTACGATGTGAAAAAGTCACGCCCAGTAAGTTGCCGCTCCCTACCTCAACATTCATGGAGTAACATTACATAACAATGCCTCATAGTATCCAGGGTAACCATGGTGTACAACCATGGAAGACTTCTAACTATACAGGTGTTGCAATTCTCTTTGGAGAGTTGCGTTGCTTTGTGTACCAGGATTCAAGGATCATGAGTTAGAATCACAGATTTTTCTTATGATCCTACAGTATATTCAGCTTTCGAACACTCCTGCTAATCCACCAGACTGCTGAAATGTTTTGAGGACATCTAAAATCCTCATTGACTTAAGTCACTGCTTCAATAATGCTACAGAGAGGAATTATAAAATAGTGATAGTAAACAGTGTAGTCTGCATGTTCTGAAGTTTAGTGATAAGAAGGTCTACACAAGTTCTCTTTGAATGTGTATGGTTGTACCTGTGCTGGTCGTAAAAGGTCATTTATTGGATTAAATGGTCAAGCTTGATGCTCGTCATGCCGAAGGCCCGGATTCGATTCCCCACATGGGTACAATGAGTGAAGCCCATTTCTGGTATTGCTGGAACAGTAGTGTATAACGTCTCCCTGGCGGGAATCCATGATGGCGGCACTTCCGGTTAACGCTATCCAAGATGGCGGCACTTTCGGTAAGGGGAGGTAACTCCGGTTCCGGTGTGTGCTGCGCATTGCGATGACGTCACATCCGGGCCAACATGGCGGACGCGTTTCAAGATGGCGGCCCATCCGGTGGGATCTCGTGGAGTCTCCCGGGATCTCGCGTTTGTAGACACCCTGCAAGATGGCGGACGGAAGGAGAGGGAGGGAGGGAGAATGGCGAGAGGAACGAAGGGGAGACTTAGCAGAGAAGTGTGTGTGTGTGGTTCAAGCATTGGTACGTCAAGTTTCTTTCGAGCGAGGTGGGTGGCCCTGAAAAGGGCCATTGTGATGGTATGGACGGGGAGGTGAGACCTCACTTTGTGATGGTGATGGTACATAGACAGAGCAGGTCGAGGCCCGGAAAAAAAATTCCTGGGGCAGACTTCGTCGTGGAGATGGTTAGCCCCTTTGCGGACGCCGCCCCCGCAGTAGGTACACACGTAGTACGGTGCACCTGGAGCGACATCGAAATGGTTGGACGGCAAGGCTTTCCAACATGTTTGGCATATAATGAGCTTCCAATTGGGTGGTAGACATTGCCATGCCGGTGGCGGCGGTGGTACTGCCGTGGATGGTTCGGCTGCCGTGGGTGCTGTCATTGTTGATGTAGCTCTCCCTGTTGATGTAGCTCTCCCTTTGTTGGTGGTGGTGAGACTGCCTCTTTCATCCTGATGTTGATCTTCTTCTTTTTCTTCAGGGTGGGACTACAGCGAAGGCAATTATCTCTTTGACAATTTTTCTGAAAGACTTTCAACTTCATGTCGCATCGAGATAACGCTCCCTTCCCCCATCCCAGTGTTTATATATCAGCGATGACGTAACGTCGATGACGTGGGATCCATGACATCATGAACGCGAGTGAGGGTAATGATGTAGTTCCGATGATGTCACCGTGAGGTGGTGGTGCCCCCATAGCCTTGGATTGGCTGAGCTCTCCCTATATATGATGAGAGGGATGACCGAAGCCAGCAATAATGTCTGGAGAAAATTGGGATTTAGAGTTAATGGACACAACATCACCATCGTCACCCTTGCCACCATGGCAGTGCCATCGTTGCCATGGATGCCTGTCCGTCTACGCCAAAGCGACTGATGGCTATAACGGAACATTTCTATGCGTCTACTGCAAGACAGTGTTAAAGGACACCTACATGCACCGGCTGACGCATGGTAGTAAGCGTGTGGTGAGGCGAGTGCAGTGATGCACTGTGGACACTGTGAGTGTGAGTGAATCACACTGTGAGTGAGTAACACTGTACAACGGCCCTTTTCAGGGCCACCCCATCTCTCTCAAAAGATTGCTACATTCATTGCCAACAACAATAACAACAATAGGTTGCCATTTTTTCAAACGTTTTATTTTCCCACACTAACAAGAACACTTTGACAAAAGATGCAGGATTAGGGGCGTCCCTGATCTTTTGTTTACAAACAGTATGAACTGTAACATCAAAACATCATAACTGTAACATCATAACATCAGAACGATAAGGTTGTGTCCTTTGGCAGGGTTGTGGATCATGGGAGTTGTTGTTGTCTGTCAGGCGTGTGGGTTGAAACCAACGTCTTACACGTTCTTCATTGATGAGGGTATCATAGGGATCAAACTGTTCCATCACTTCGTCAAAAGACCATCCACGGGCACGATGAGCCAGTACATACAAACAGTACATCCCACAAGAGGCACTGAACCAGGGTTGAAGTGGCTGGCCATTCCACTGACATTCCGAAAGTCTGGATGCTGTTGGTAGGGATGGAGTCCATAACTGTCAAAGTAGTCAATGGCACCTGGTGCTGGGCGATACACGCACACACCCAGTGTTGTCCTGGGAGATGACTGGGGTCCGTGTTGACAATGTAGGCTTTAGGATAATGTCCCTGCTGTTCACACAGCATGGTGGTTGCAAAGTGATCTCGGGCAAAGGTACCTTGGTAGAGAGGCCGAAGCAGGGGATCCTGTTGTACGTAGGCGTTCAACTGTTTGGTCGTCAAGCCAGTGTTGTCCATCCTTAGACCATCAGAGCATTGCGTATTCGTATTTCGTATTCCTCGTAGCAGATGAGGGTGACGGGACGTGGCAGCGGTTCTGTGGGTTCTGTCAGATCCACCACCCACGCCGTGAATCCGTTCAAATCGACACTCGGCATCTCCAGCACTCATCAAGTAGAAATCACTCGGGCTGCGAATCAGTTCTAGTTTCATGGGGACTCCATCCACCAGGTACCGGTCTTGGAGAAACAGGTCACAGTGGAGACGTCCTGTCAGTTCCACGTCTCAGGTGGGTAGAATGACCCCTCGTCGTGCGACAAGTCCTGCGTTGGCCTTCCCGGGGTGACAGCATTAAAGTGATCCATTTTCCAGCTTCATCTGTGTACCATCCTGGACACTGGAGATGGGTCCCTTTGGCTGCCTTCCCATAACTGTCACGTTTCCAAATAGGCTCGATAGGGATAGGTACCCATGGAAGGAGTAATTTCCAGCTGGTTGTGTCCCACTTGCACACGCACTTCACGAAAGAGGGAATGCATCATGTTCACCGTGGACACGGCAAGTGCGTGATAGCCTTCATGAACTGCATCCGTACCATCTGTATTCTTGATTTTGAGGCAGATGTGGAGGTAACACTGGCTTGAATCGATGTAGGCATTCACAGGGTTAGCAATGTTAAATTGGAGGGAACCCGCGACCGAAGGGGGTGCAAGAGGACTGTATCAAATCCACTGACCTTCTTGGACCGAGGTCACCACAGGGGGCACAGAAAAGAGATCCAGTTGTGCCTTGGAACATTCGCAGGCATCCCGGCACATCATCTTGACAGCTGATCTGGACAACAGGTCTGCACAACAGGTCTTGATCGTACGGTTGAACTGAACTCCTTTCCCATCGGGGTGGGTCTTTATTCTTCTCTCTCAAAACAATGCTTTACGTTTCGTGGTGAATCCCACGGCCTGTTTCCGTTTTCTTTTGCGCGCGGGTGATCCTGGTGGTGGGTGCTGTCGCAAGGTGGCGAATAAGGCTTGTTTCCCATGATGTTTCAAACTGTCCCCCACACTTTGGTGTCCTGAACTGATATCTTGCACTAATCCCGGCAGCATCTTGACGCCTGTTTTGAGAGCTGATTTTCCCACCGTCTTGAGGATAGAGAGAGCTGAACGTCCCAAGTTTCCCAAGATGTTTCCGAGACCGCTCCCTCGTTGATGGATGCGTCTTCGGTACACGGTTAAGCCGCCTCCTCGCTGCTGTCCACCCAAGCCGCTGCCGCCGCGGTGTCTGATACACTGGTATCCTACCATGCTGATTCTCAGTACGTACCCAGGCGTCGGGGACGGAAATGAAGTGTCACGATGGTCTTGCCACTCTGGAATGGCACGAGACGGGGGATGAGGGTGACCATGGCATCCACCAGGTCTGACCCTGAAGAGAGAGAGACGAGACAACCCATTTCATTTGAATTCACATTTTAATGAATGAACAAGGCAAACATTGAATGAATGAACAATAATGCATCGATTAATCATTAACAACAGTACATCAACAGAGGATGTCAGCAACAAATGTTCATGGGTATTTCTTCACTCTTTGTACCCATAGGGGAGAGTTTCCACGGGGACGCCTTGTGAGTCATACTGGACTTGGCGTTTGGTGTAGACTGGACGATACACTTTGGTAGTGTCCTTGGACAGCAAAGCGTTGCCCTGGCGAAGTCCTCCGCGAATGATTTTGTGAGGGTACAGGACAGTGATGCTGCCTTGATCCCTCTGACAGACGAGGTTCTTTATGTTGTCAAAGTGGACATGTTGGCTCGCCCTGTGATTCAGAGTAAATCCTCGGACTTTGCTGGTGCCCACACTACCGTCAGGTTGAGGATGGCGCAGCTTGTAGGCGTAGTTCTTGGGTCCTCCCGAGACAAAGGTTTGAATGCTGTTGCCCCCTCCTCCCAGTTCATCGGTCAGCTCCCGTAAGGTTTGTCCCAGTGGAGGGTTGTAGATGTCAGGGTGGTCACTGTTCTGCGCACGGTGAATGTAGATGATGGTGTCCGTGTCAAAATAGAGGACGCGCCGATCCAAGGGTTTCAAGCAGGAATACAGCTTGAGACGGGCTTGTGCCGTCACCCAGGCTGCAATGGCCACATTGTGGGAGGGATGCGGGTCGTGAAATTCTGCCTGAGGTTCGTAAATGACATACGCGAGCTCCTCGTTGGGGAAGTGCACATCCTTTACCACACAACGTTCATCCTGGAAGAGGGCAAAGAATCTCTGAGGGGAACTGATGTAGACCGTTTTGTCAAACCCGACGCGTTGGCCAAACTTGCCCCAGTGGCTGTTCAGGCAACCTTTAGCCATGGCACGTAGTCCTGGGTTTTTGCGGATGTGAGCGGGATCCAAGGTGACTCCTTCTTTTCGCTGAATCTCCCTGATGTAAGCGTCTGGGTCTGAACAACCTTCGGGGTATCCGCTGGCCTCTTGCTTGATCTTGAAGAAATTGTTCACATACTTGGCAAACAGGCCTCCCTCTTGAGTGTCAGGGTCGTAGGTGGTGAGCGTGTCAAAGTGCCAAGCCTCAAAGATGTGAAGCACTTGATAGCCACACTCTCGAACGGCATACTGAAGCTCCTTGCTGACGTACGTGCCAATCCATGCACGGTCTTTATCCTCATGGGGGCAGGAACCATCCCACTGTGCTTCAGCACAAGTACGACACAGAGGAAATAACAACTTGCCCTGGCCGTGGTAAGGAAGAAGGGGATGGTACAGGTCGGTGGGTGGCAAGACTCGGCACTGGATGAGACCGTGGAGGTCGAACAAGTCTGACGCGGGAGGATGATCTTTGATATCAGGATGCCCCACGGGGTAAGTGCCATACTTGCAGATGTAAGGGTACAGCGAACAAACGTCCACATATTTGATTTCTTCATCTTCTTTTGCTTCGTAGTACAACTTGGTGGCGTTGGTGCGTCCTCCATAGAAGGCTTTCCTGGGATCCAACGGGTCAGGCATGTAGGCATGAGGGTCTTGCAGTGTGGTCAGGAACGCTCTCAGATCAGTGTTGTCTTTCTGTTCTTTCCGATAGCCGCATTCCCACAGGGTGACCACTTGGGCGATGTTGGGATGTTGACGCAACACCCCCAGTCGATACCTCGTATGATGGTATTGTTCCCAAGGGGTTGTACCCAAGGTCCTGTGGGGTACACCTCGCTCCGTCTTGTAACAGCAAGTACATCCATGCCAGAAACAGCCCAAGTATTCGTACACGGTGCATGCCTCGGCATCGTAGCCGTCCACCGTGTAGCGACTGCCGTCAGCACAGTCAAAGCCTACTTCTCCGCCATTCCGGGCATGCTGGATGTGGAGGTCGGGGTGTTGGTGCATGACCCAGTTGAGCCAGTGGAGACACTGCAGAGAGTATCGGCGCTGGGGACGGTAACCTTGAGGAGGTATGATGGCGATGGTGCGGGGTTCCAAAAACAGTTTTCGGAAGGTGTGCATGCAAGCCATGGGTAGAGTTATTGCTTCATAGAATGGATCCACGTCCACAGGTTCCTCTTCAAGTTCATCTTCGTTCATTCGTGGTGACAGCATGATGAGAACTGACAAGACCCACGCTGAGCCTGGTTTATATAGCCAACGTCACCCTATGACATCACCATAGGTTTTCCCCATGGGTTTTCCCCATAACATCGCACACACCCTAGAACGTCATGGGTTTTTCCCATGGATTTTTCCAATGGGTTTTGCCCATGACGTCACACACCCTATGACGTCACGCCACACTAACCCGACGGCCCAAAATGGCATCATAAAACCTCAGCTATAAATCTCATCCAATGCTTGAACCACACACACACACTTCTCTGCTATGTCTCCCCTTCGTTCCTTTTGCCATTCTCCCTCCCTCTCCTTTCCTCCCTCTCCTTCCCCACGTCTGTTCCGTCCGTCCGCCATCTTGCATGGTGTCTACACTTGCGAGATCTCGCGAGACTCCATGAGATCCCACCGGATGGTCTGCCATCTTGAAACGCGTCCGCCATCTTGGCCCGGAGGTGACGTCATCGGGATGCGCCCGCACACACCGGAACCGGACGTGACGTCATCGCGATGCGCTCGCACACACTGAAACCGGAACTCGAGTTACCTACCCTGACTGGAAGTGCCGCCATCTTGGACCGGAAGTGCCCACATGGGCGCCGCCATCTTGAAAACGTAGGCAGGGTGACATGGTAGACTACTTGGAATATTGCTAAAACCGGTATAAAACCCAACTCAGTAAGTCAAGCTTGATGGCTTGGTGGAATGAAATAGCTGTATTATCTGGTCAAGAATCTATTTTTAACATAGTGCCATCTCATGACTGCAATGTTACCATGTGCCGCATTACACAAGGAAACAAATCTCTGAGCCTTTGTCGAGATGTTGCACAAAACGACATACACATGTAGAAAGTATATCAGCTTTAACTTCTCCCAGTGACAGCATCCATCATGTTTCTCTCCCCAGATTCAGTTCTCCCCGTATCTGTGTATTGACAGCTTCCTGTACATGGTCCTCATGGTTGTGTTTGGAACTCTCTTCGGACTCTTCGCCAAGTTTAGTATAACTCGTAGCATCCTCCTGCAGGTGAGTGCAGCCCATGCAAGGTGTTTCTTGTAAAAAGATACACATCATTCTAAATTCTCATCAAATCTATGACCAGATATCCAGCAAATTCATCAAAGTGTATGTTGAAAAACAAGGCTTGTTTTACTTACTGACATAAATGTATGTGCTACCTGCATGTACAATTTATATTTACATGCATGAGGTATCTTATTTCTGTATCAAAGTATTATCGTCACTTTTAAATGCCCAAATGTATAATTAATTTCAGAAACAGGATAAATGTTGTTCTTTTGAAAACTAACCAATGCATCCTCTGTGGGTATACAAATACAGTTGAGTATAGACTAATCTCATCATTTTCTCCACAGTTCCCAGGCTTGTTCACTGTTGGCCTGGTGAAGAAAGGTGGGCCCAGCAAGAAACAGGTGGGGACATTTTTTTTTACGATAATGAGATAGATACAATGAATCTTGTTAATTCAACTACATCAATCAGTTTGGGTGGTGGGGTAGCCTTGTGGTTGAAGCATTCGTTCTTCACACGGAAGACCCAGGTTCGATTCCCCACATAGGTACAATGTGTGAAGCCCATTTTGTGGTGATAATGCTGAAATATTGCTAAATGCGGCGTAAAACTAAACTCACTCACTTGTTAATCTGTTATGTTGTTTATATTCTCGTTCCACAGAATGTATTTTGTGATTATATATAGCAAAGTTGTCAGAAGAAATTTGTGTTCTAAATAACTCTTAAAAAGTAGAAATTCCTGCTGTTTATTGGTAGATATCTATATTAGATCCAGGTTTACTGTCATGCATATACATTAACGATATGTATATGACTTAGTCTGCATATCTTCATGTTGACATCATTAGTTTTATACATTAATTCATTCAAATATTGACACATTTTCTACAACTGTATCAAAATTGTTATGTACATTCAACAGATTGAAGGAACATCTTTCTCCATGACATTCTTTGGCGAGGGATACAGTGACAAGCTGGATGACCCAGAGGCACAGCATGAGACCCCTCCAGACAAGAAAATACAGACCAAGGTCATTGGACCAGGTATATGCTCATCATTTACCCAGCTGGAATGTTATGATCCTATTAATCATTGTAGGTAGTGACCTTCTATTGTGCAGAGTTGTCTGCCTTATATTTGCCAGAATCCTGTTATTTTGGGATTCAGGTCTCGGTGAATTAGTTAAAAGTTATCATCACATGGTCATTATGACCCTAGTCATGCTGCTTAACTTCTCGGCATCTAATACCCATGATTTTTGGTTACACTAATGAGAGTAGCATCTGAGACCTGGATCACCTCCGACTCACCAACCACTCACTCACTTATTCAATACAGCAGTTAAGATGGGATTTCAATCATTTAAAAATATATGCGAAATTATTTGAACATCGTTGGAAATATTTATTTGAGCAAATTGACAAATTCATTCATGAATTTTGTAAATATGGATTTGAATGGAGAATAGTGACTGAAATCAAAGAAATTTGTTTTACTTTCACTGACTGGTTTGGCCAAGTACTCTAATGATAGTCTGTGTTAGCCTTTAGGTGAATTATCAGTTCTGGTTTTACATGTTTTCTTCATATACCACAGATCTCTGATTTTAATGCTTTAGAATTACTATGAACATTCTTTCTTCAAACTGTTTTGGATCCATTGTTGTTCCTTATCTTTGAGATATGTTTTGAATGTTTGAACAATACTTCCAGTAAAGTAACTTCAGTGTTCTTTATTTTGTTCAATCATGAATTTAAAATTGAATTTATTTGGTTACAGAGCCTGGCTATGTGACCACCCCAATCTGCATGGTACAATCTGGACTCATGATCCTCAAGGAAAAGTCCAAGCTTCCCTCTGAGTAAGTCTCATTCACAGTATGACTACCATGGCATCTAGTTCAATTCCCAAACTATACCAATTTTGCACGTAAGGATTAAACAAATGTTAACAATTTGTGTTGTTTTGGAACTTATCATTTTCAAATTTAATTGTGAAACAGCTAGTGTTCTGCTGTAAAGTTAATAGTTGATTGATTTTCTCATTGCTTAGTCAGCAGTCTGCTCTGTCTAAGTCAGACATACTGGTTTGATAATTAACTGCACTTTATTTGTTGTCTGTTGAATTTCACCCAAAAGGGATACAACTTTAACTTAGTCAGACAGGTGATGTTAGTTAGCGGTCACCAGACGCGGTCACCAGACTGACCGATTTGGAAATGTTTCAAAATACATAATAAGGAGTGGATATACATTCAATGAAAAATGGTTAATATGAAAAGTTTCAATATGTCGTAATTATTTTGGGATTCAGAGAAGGTTGGACTGTATCTATAACTGCTTGTAATGCAAGGAATTTCCAGATTTCTTTTTTGAGTTTGACCGTCTGTGTTTCCAGTGGTGGTGTCTACACACCTGGTGCTGCTTTTGGTGAGACGAGTCTGATCACGAGACTGGATAAAAGAAACGTGAAGTTCCAAGTGTTGGAGTCGTAATGTGACAGACAAAAGACATCCTTTGATGATCAGGCCTTCTTGTCTACATGTTGGAACGAGGAACATAGACACCTTACCAAATATTCAGCAGTAAACCTTGTTATATATTTAACTGTGTTTACAAAAGCAGGGACGATAATTGAGCAGACGTCATATCATGTCAGATTTGTTTTTGAATTTACAAACAACAGGAACTGACAATGATGAGTTTCTGTCAAATCTTGGCATAAAAAAGCTCCAGGGATGATCAGTAAGTTAGTGAGGAACTTAACAAAAACATTCATCAGCAGTGCTCTTTGATTAGATCAGATTAGACATGATACATAATATCCAACATCACCATTTTTGACTGATTGTTTTCACAGACAAATCATACTTAATGAGATATATTTTGATCATACCAACAAATTTGTATTTATATTACACTTAACCCACTGTGTGGCATATATTTCTGGCCACCCCAGTTCCACCTCAAACAGCATTTATACATGTGAAGGCCTGATACAGGGAATCTTTCACTGAAGCATTATATGAAGTGTCTTTCAACTTGAGGCCCATGAGAGCGGGTGATATCAGTGCTGCCGATAGTCCTCCTGGACCGTCCTGTTACGTGTTGTTCTAGTTTTGTAGTTGCTTGCCATATACTTATAGCAATAAGTAGTTAGCTTCATGATAGATGAGCTTGATCAATTCAGTCTTTAAGATTTGGGTATTGTTTGAAATGCCATACCGATTCAGCTCATTGTTATACATTGTACCCAACTGATGCGACTATATGAGTTCTGTTTATACATTACAATCAAAGTCTGCACATGGAAGACAGATGTCATGGTGTGATAAGGATTTGTTAAAAGCTGTGTTCAGGTGGTTTTCAACCTATTCCATAACATCAGAAGATTTTTGTGCATGTGGTCACATTGTATTAGAAGACTCCCTCTATGTCAGCCACAAGTGACTCAGTCTCTCTACTGTTATATGCATCATGTGGGCTAGAGATTCTTGCTAGTAAGGGTACTCATATAAACTCAAATAAAAAAGGGACTATGAATACTTTGTGGGATATTGCATATGAAAGTGTGTGCTCAGTCTTGAATTGGCTACCAAAACAAAATCCAAAATATTTAGATTCCCTAACTTCTTTCTGTTGAGTATATGAACACTGGGGTGTGTGCTCAGTCTTTGCTAACGAAACAATCTCTAAATTATTTAGGACACCAAACATCTTTTATTCACTGTTTAGGCTACCATAATTTGAGTTCTCATCTGCCATACAGCTAGTAAACAAATGTATTGATGGGACAGAATTGTCCACAGCTGCAATTGGGAGGTGATTTAGATCATTTCTACATTTTTTCACTGCCCTGTTTTATCTGGTCATTGACTAAACACTTTGCTTATTAGGTATGCATGTACTTTAGTTTGTAAAAACATGGTGTTATGTTGATTATATGTGTTGTATGTTGACCATATCAATCATGAATATTGTAGCAATTCTTTGGTTTACGACCATTATTACCTGGTAACATTGAGCGGGAAATGGTATAATCAGACAGGCCACATTTATCTGACTACTGACTCCAATAATTGAACATTCTCCGGTATTTCTTGACTGAGTCATAAAAACACATGAAAGTTAAATTTATGAGCATGGAATTTTATCCTTCACAAATGGTGCTCCCTTTCAAAATAAATAATTTAAGTGAATTCCACAAATGAGTTATCATGCTGCTTAAAAGAAGTTGAGACCGACCAAATTCTTAAATATTTCTGTAGTTAATCTCTTCACCATGACAACACCTAAACAATCAGATGGTTACTACTTTCTTTTGAGTAGTATGGCTTATTTATGGAAAACTTTGGAGAAGAAAATAGCGATGTTTTTTTGTTTAGAAAGGGTCATCATCTAGATTGTACCTGTCCATATCATTTCCCCTATGACGGTGTATTGGCTGAATGTTTTCCTGACACTTGGGACCATGGCAATGATGAACGACAGACCAATATGGAAGGGGAAATATAAAGGCCTATTTTTGTTGCTGTCTATTTATTTGCTTGTTGCTGTTTTCTATTGTTTCAAAGGAACATTTTCTCTATTTTGTCATACCACTTTTTACCACTTTTGACAATGTTTCTTCAAGTCAAGGAGTATCATGTTCAAAATTTGTACTTATTACACATTTATTCCAACTTCTGCATCACAAACATTGATTTATGCGAGTTAAGTAACAAAACCTTCTGCTATTCAAATATCAATTTGAAAAATATTATGAACAATTTTCTGTATTAAGCTGTGTATCTTGTTCAATAAAGATATTTACTCCTATTATTTGTTCCTATTGTTATTCTGCCATTTGCAAACATTCAGTGTGAATGCATTATTTCATTCCAGTCATTAATGCTAATCAAAAGTGGCATCTAGAATGTGAATCATGGCCACAGGTAGCCGAGTCTAAGATGATGCTATTTGCTGTGCAGAGGTACATGTTGAACCCAACTTGTCAGTGGTATAACTGCAATACTATTACTAGCAATGTTAAAACCAACTTGTCAGTGGTTAACTGCAATACTGTTAATAGTGATGTTAACCCCATCTCTGTCAGTGGTATAACTGCAATACTGTTAATAGTGATGTTAAACCCAACTTGTCAGTTGTATAACTGCAATACTGTTAATAGTGATGTTAACCCCATCTCTGTCAGTGGTATAACTGCAATACTGTTAATAGTGATGTTAGACCCATCTCTGTCAGTGGTATAACTGCAATACTGTTAATAGTGATGTTAGACCCAACTCGGTCAGTGGTATAACTGCAATACTGTTAATAGTGATGTTAAACCCATCTCTGTCAGTGGTATAACTGCAATACTGTTAATAGCGATGATAAACCCAACTCGGTCACTAGAATAAGAATACGATCCCACAATGGCTACCGAGTGCATAAGTATCTCTCTCCGATGACAGAGCATCTAAAACAATCAACATCTTTCTGGTATCATCTCTTTCTTAGTTCTGAAGTGAAGAGACTGAAAGAATCCTATTTCTATTAAACCTCCCATATTTATTTCAAGGAATGTTGGTTAATCAACTTAATGTGGTTTCAAAAACGACACTGCAGGAGGTGTAATCTCACCTGGCCTTGCTGCAGTTGCCCTAATGTGACCCTCAGTTGGCAAGATGACATGGCCTTGTTGCGGTGGACCTTATGTTTACTGCCTGTTTCATGATTTACATCAAAACTATAAGGTTACACAAATACAAACTATAGAATAATGAGGCCCTAATGTCTCCCCTCAGTTGGCCAGCTGACATGGCCTTGTTGCGGTGAACCTAATGTGTCCCCTCAGTTGGCCAGCTGACATGGCCTTGTTGTGTGGACCTAATGTGTCCCCTCAGTAGCCAGCTGACATGGCCTTGTTGTGGACCTAATGTGTCCCCTCAGTTGGCCAGCTGACATGGCCTTGTTGTGTGGACCTAATGTGTCCCCCCAGTTGGCCAGCTGTCATGGCCTTGTTGCGGTGAACCTAATGTGTCCCCTCAGTAGCCAGCTGACATGGCCTTGTTGTGTGGACCTAATGTGTCCCCTCAGTAGCCAGCTGACATGGCCTTGTTGCGGTGAACCTAATGTGTCCCCCCAGTTGGCCAGCTGTCATGGCCTTGTTGCGGTGAACCTAATGTGTCCCCTCAGTTGGCCAGCTGACATGGCCTTGTTGTGTGGACCTAATGTGTCCCCTCAGTAGCCAGCTGACATGGCCTTGTTGTGGACCTAATGTGTCCCCTCAGTTGGCCAGCTGACATGGCCTTGTTGTGTGGACCTAATGTGTCCCCCCAGTTGGCCAGCTGTCATGGCCTTGTTGCGGTGAACCTAATGTGTCCCCTCAGTAGCCAGCTGACATGGCCTTGTTGTGTGGACCTAATGTGTCCCCTCAGTAGCCAGCTGACATGGCCTTGTTGCGGTGAACCTAATGTGTCCCCCCAGTTGGCCAGCTGTCATGGCCTTGTTGCGGTGAACCTAATGTGTCCCCTCAGTAGCCAGCTGACATGGCCTTGTTGCGGTGGACCTAATGTGTCCCCTCAGTAGCCAGCTGTCATGGCCTTGTTGCGGTGAACCTAATGTGTCCCCTCAGTAGCCAGCTGACATGGCCTTGTTGTGGACCTAATGTGTCCCCTCAGTAGCCAGCTGACATGGCCTTGTTGCGGTGAACCTAATGTGTCCCCCCAGTTGGCCAGCTGTCATGGCCTTGTTGTGGACCTGTTGTGTGGACCTAATGTGTCCCCTCAGTAGCCAGCTGACATGGCCTTGTTGTGTGGACCTAATGTGTCCCCCCAGTTGGCCAGCTGTCATGGCCTTGTTGCGGTGAACCTAATGTGTCCCCTCAGTAGCCAGCTGACATGGCCTTGTTGTGGACCTAATGTGTCCCCTCAGTAGCCAGCTGACATGGCCTTGTTGTGTGGACCTAATGTGTCCCCTCAGTAGCCAGCTGACATGGCCTTGTTGTGGTGGACCTAATGTGTCCCCCCAGTTGGCCAGCTGTCATGGCCTTGTTGTGGACCTAATGTGTCCCCTCAGTAGCCAGCTGACATGGCCTTGTTGTGTGGACCTAATGTGTCCCCTCAGTAGCCAGCTGACATGGCCTTGTTGTGGTGGACCTAATGTGTTCCCTCAGTTTAACTTACTCTTCAGTTGTCCTGCAGAATTCTTTGAATTTTGTTGAGGAGGGACATTTGTGTAGTTTTTGCCTTTTTATCAAACCCGTTTCATGGTATTAAGTGGAAATATACATTGTTTACAAAAAATGAAAATACGAAGTCAACTATTTTAAGATACTTTGTCCAAATTTGACTCCATTTAGATCTGATGCATTATTTGTTGTCCTATATATTTCTGTGCACTTTGCTATCCATAAACATTGGAAAATTGCCATCAAACAATTCAAACTTTTTGTTTTATCAAACTTAAATTGAAATTGACTAAAGTACTGTCGGAAACGCTAGAAAAATGCTTTTTGACTTATATTTAAAATTCAGAGGTATTACAGTTCCTTAAATAACAAATATCACTTTCAGAAACATCTACCTAATGTAGACCGAGGGAATAAATTTTGAGACATGCCCTAAAATGTGTTTTTACTGATGAAAATACCTAAAACTTAGAAAAATAAGGGGTAGTGGGACGTTATTTGATACAAACATTAACTGCCTGTGTTACGTCATCAGCATGCACGGTATCGACAGGTGAAATTGACACCTGAGCACACGCTTGGGCGAGGTGTCATCTCAATAGATGTTTTCTTCAAAATGTTGAATATGTGTATGTATAGTACACGTATTGGTTATGTAAGGGATCATTTGTGTAGGTGTGTTTGTTTTGAAATAAACATATGAATTACTGTACATTGGAAAGAATCCTATCACTTGTGTTATCTTATCTATTGATTGAAGAAATGTGCAACGTTTTAATAGATGTTTTGTATGTCAACAGTATATTTCATTGCAAAAATATGGATGTAATTCGGTCAGTTTAATCTAGTTGTGAACATTGGCCAAAGATTTAACGAAGTCACTGGTGTAGCTTCTTTTGAATATATATATATTATTCTTCTTCTAAAGTTTGTAGACCGCCCGTCTAAGTACTCCCTTGTCAAAGTTGTCAAGGATGGTTGTACGTCCCGGATTTGCTTTTGAGACGGTCCCTGTCTTGTCTGATTTGTTTACAATATTGTAAACTTGTTGGTAAGACATACCAACAGCTCTACAAGTTCTGTAATAGACCCTTCTAAACTAATGAAAGGTTTACCTCTGTCTTTTTCAAGCACAAAAAAACTTATAAACCTTTGCAACAATCGTCTGCAAATAGTTGGCCATAGTGGACGGTGTGATAAAGATGTGCATGCATGATGGGAAACTTATTTATCAAGACTTAACATTTATATTAATATTTCTCCAATAAAGAAACGATAATCAAGTAAAGTAACACAAACATTCAACATTTATTTGTTTAAGAAAAACGTTAATGCATATTTTTACACCACCTGTATTATTAGCATAAATTTAAAGACTATTTCATATTTCTGTTGTTGAACTCTGAAAAATTCTTAAATTGTTGTTTTGGTACCAAATTCTCTCCTGTAAACTGCCCTTTAAATGCATGGGAATGTTAAATCGATTGAAATAAAAATTAGGTACACTATAGGCGAGTTGATATATTGACAACGTAGTACATGTATCACATTTATTAAGATATATGGGCAAAAAAGCATTTTTCTAGAATTTCCGACAGTACTTTAGTAAAAAGCCTATATGGCTAATGGAAATACTGCTGCCTGTTTGATGATTACATCACAACTATAAGGTTAAGCAAATACAAACAATAGAATAATGAGGGTGGTCACGTTCCCAAGGCTACAACCGCTTGCATATGAGACTATTATATATTTATACTCATTTCACAAACATACAACTATTTTTAATGAAATTGTGGAGAGACATAAGTATGTTGTGGTTGATAAATTCCTGTTACCACACAATACTGTTTTCAGATCAATGTTTATCCTTGATTTCAAATCACAAGTAACATCAATAACAGTCAATATCGATGACATCACATCGTTCATTTCATTTTGTATTGTATGTGAGCGGTGTTTACATAAACTGTACATAAACTTGTTCACCAATCCCAATTCATTTTTGATGAATAAAAATATGTTTAAACCACATCACAAGTAAATGTGGCATATGTGATAATCAGGATGACACTTTCTCCATACAGAAAATACCTATGATGACTACTGTTTGAACACATACATCTATAAAATTAATACATAACTCGTCCAATCTAGAGCATTTGACTAACAAATTTGTTTATGTATTTTGTTGATCAGTATTAGTCCGTGCAGCACCACATGTGCTGAACACTGAACTACTTGTACACATTATCTGTAGTGTATTTTTATAACAAAAAATGTATAAAACTTGACACAGTTGCAGTGTACAAATGTAACTTTGAATGTTCTAGTAATTATGGCCTATAAAGAAGTAAGGTGGAGCCTCTGACCCAAAACCACATGCTTTTAGATGCTATATTCTTTGAAATATGTCTTTCAACTCCATGAAGGCTAAGATCATTGCCCCAAATATTTCAAAGCACATAGACTGTTTGGGACCACACATTTAAAATTGTTCAGGTCAGCATCCCTCTTAATCCATACCCCATCCATTTCAACCCTTGGTCTGTGTGTTTGTGGGATTTTATATACTTTCTGTTCTTAAAACACGAAGAGCCAGGTTTTTAGTATTGAACTGTCGTCACCTCTCTACTCTTGATGT